TATCACTATCATCATCACCACCCACAGTACATCTTTAACACACTCTATATAAGTAATTAGGAGTGAGCATCCCAAAACACTTAGCATAAATATATAATCACAACACTAGGGGATGTTGAGGAGAGGTAGTATTGCCATATGTTTATCAAATTCCACCATGTTGGTCGGCTGGTGCCGGCCACGGAGGCGGCTGAGAAGGCGGAGAGGGAGCACGATATGGCTAGGAAATAAGCGCCGCGGGTTCTGCCTAGGGTCACGGCCGGCGCTACAATGGGGGGCCGTGGTCGGCCCTATAAGGATGCTGAAGAAGATGTTCATGGATATGGTACCTAATGAAAGGTGGATAGAAGCTTACAATTGGTCTGTGCCATTTTTACGTCCTCAAATATTTCCTCTTTGTTAGTTGCCGCTAACTGCAACTTCTTTTTCGCTTGTTTTTCATTTCTTCTTATTGAAATCTGTAAGGAGCGGCCAGCAACAGAAAGCTCTTCTTTATTGAAAAGACAGATTTCTTTGTTTATAATGAGTTACCATCAAAGAAAATCAAATATTGGAAGTTGAATGTGTGTAATATTGCCCAAGCTTTAAAATTGAAATCAGGCTTTGATATTTACTGAAAATCTAACAGAAGGGGTCACCAAGATCTTTATGTTTACAAGAAACTAGTACAAATGGAGTGACCACCATATTTAACAAAGATCCTAAATCTTGGATTTCAGTAAAATCAGATATTCGGATACACTACATATACAGAAATGATAGCTACACTTCCTAGCCACAAAAATAGAGAGGGGGGGATCTGGCAGACTACAGGACCGTAGATTGATTGCAAAACAGAAAACTTCATTTCTGTCTTCCTACGAATCAAAATTATCAACCCGTGTCCATATAAACATGTGGTGTGTACTAAGGAAATCTGAAGTTCATGCAAACAAAACTAGCTTTTTCCGAAGTACGAAAATAGGGTAGGTTGCTTGTCAAGAGAACTCTTCGGGTTAACCTTCTTCTTTGCTGGGCTAGCTGATATCTCACTAGTTTCATAAGCAACTGGCTTAGAGTCAGCCGAAAACTCTTCATAGTCTCGCTTTGTTTGGCCCTTAGATGCACCCTCTTGAGATAATGTAGAGACACTACACTTTGAATCATTTTCACATTTTTCTGTAGAGGCTGGTTGTTCTGTTTTCTCTTTGCTTTCAGGTTCTTCCTTCACACGTTTTGGCAAATCATTCTTCACAGATAAGTCGTAAAAACTTGCGTCCTTTGGGTTTAATTCTTCTTTTTTGGTTCCTTTCGACATGAAAAACTTTGTGATTGAATTATTCCCCTCTGTCTTCAGCTGTATCTGCAGAATAATAATACAATCAGTAACTAGCTGTATTGTAACCTTTAGTAAGCAATCATGAACTTGACACATTTTTACCCGCTCAACCCCACCCTAGCTAAAGAAGGGAAATCCCAAATCCTCCGAAAACCTAATGAATACAGAATTTGGTCCTACAAATCTAAAGTGACAATCAAGACACAAGACACATTACCAAACCATAAAACTGGATATAATTAACAAAAAGTTACTCCATAGAAAGCATCATTTTGTTAATTGTATGGACCACTAAACCACGCAACACATGATGAGAGGGGAAACAAGTAAAAAAATGCCAGTCTCTAACAAGTTGTTACAACTTGGGTGGGGAATGTTACAGCAGGATTCCGTTGTTAGGAAAGTTTTCCATGAGACCACCTAGACACCTTTAACTTGTCACTTCCATAAAGTTTCCATCTCAAATGGAACACTAACTAATGGAAGAAACAAAAGTGTAAGAATCATTTCCTCTGATTCAAAGTTGCCAGTCAAAATTTCTCAGTTTACCCCGACATAGAGATCTTGGTGAAGATTATTGGGTTTAAATCCCTCCTATTGTCCAAATGATAAGCATCATATATGTAAAAGAAAACACAAAACTGTCACACCTCATTGATGCACTCTGGTCCATCAAAAGACACCTTGCCCATTGCTGGTGTCACCGGGTACCATACCTGGTGATTAAAAAATTTCCAATAAATGCACTTTGAATGTTTCACACTCATCAATACTAAATAGTAAATGTTAGGCCTCTCATTTGTAAAGTTCAACAACCACTTACCAAATCTGGACCTTCATATGGTTTAAGTAATGAATCAAAATTGGAAGTTGAAGAACAACTTAGCCATGAGTCGGTAGATCCCTTGTCACCCAAAATAACAGGCATCCTGTCTGTAATGATAAATTAATACTACACAACTTTGGCAAAGAGTGCCACAACAGGAACGCACAAATTAACTAGTGGGAGCAAAGGATTCCACTTAACACTCTTAACAAGTTAGGGGAGCCAAAGAAATGTAAATACAAAAGTACAAATTATCAGATAAACTGATATAAAAGAAATTATAGATCAATAAAGTAATGCATAACCTATAGCAGTATCCAGACATATTACAGTATTAGAAAATAAATTATAGATCAATAAAACTGAGCAGGACTCACCATGCAGCCACCCTAGGGCTGAAGATGAAGACGTTGTAATGATAGTGAAGGTGTAAAGTTTCTCGCCTGCAGGGTAACATACAGTGGATATATCATTGCCTAGATATAAACAAACTTCATTTCAACACATATTGATGAACAAATTTCAGATAAAATTAATTTTAATGAAATTTAATATCACCTAGACCAAAACAAATACAAACATAACAGCAAAACAAATTAACAGAAGTTGTGGTGGTGGGGAGGGGAGTTTAATAACAAAATGTTTGTCACTATCTACCTTCAGAGTTCTCCCAAGAATCATAAAGAGCAGCAAACAGAAGCGGTCGGCCGTCATTAAAGTGGACATAGTAAGGCTGCTTTTTAGAACCATCTTTTTTCCATTCATAAAATCTGGCCAATGCCAAATAAATAAATTATAAATTTAAAAACAAAAACAAAAACGCTTCAAGCATTGAATAGAAAGAATGAAAAGGAAAGATTCACAGAGTCCTCCAACACGACAAAAATTGAAAAGATGTCAATCATTCATAGCACAAAACATACCCTTCAACTGCAATGAGGCAGCGGTTTTTAGGAACTAGACGTCGAAAAGAGGCCTTTTCGCAAATGGACTCAGACCTAGCATTAAACTGCAATTTTTTTTTCAAACACATATCACATCTCAACGCAATCCAAGCTTACTTATATGGAAAATCAAGATTGAAATTTTAAGAAAGACAACAAATTTAAACTACCATCACTGGAAAGCATCAACCACAAATGTAACTGCTATTACCATCTTATAGTGATCGGGCTTCTCGGTTTTCTTGGTGAAACTAGGGATCAGCCCCCATTTCATACAGTGAACAACAACGCCGTCGCCGTCTGCTCCGTCTTCTCTACGAACAACAGGCAAATTCGACCCCGGCGACGCATTGAACAGCGGGCGAAACCTAAGCACACACCAAAAAATTCGTTCCAATCAGTAAGATTAAGCAATCAATGAGACCATAACAGGCAAGGAAATCTGTTTGGTTGCTAGGAAAGTAGGAGAAAAGTAAAGTTCGAATTGGAAATTAATAAAGGAAAAAAATAGGAGGAGTTTTGAGTTTTGCTCACCGGTCCATGTTAACAGTACGGACGGGGCCATGGCTGCGGTGGCAAGCCCTAGGGATGTCGTCGGCTCTGAGAGTACAGCGAGCCCTCCCACACATTTTCTCCAAGAAACTGAACCAGGGCGGGAAGCGAGTGTTCTGTGCGCGGTGACTTTTTCTCTGTATCGCACTATAGCTATTAGCCTATTGCTGGAGTAACTGGGGACCGTTGGATATCAACTGAGTTCGAGATTCGAGTTCCTCCTCCCATCCCCTGGCAGTTTTCGCGGTTTCCAAATGTTTGATGCTCTGATTTAGACACGTGTAATGGATCGTTACGACTTTCGAAACATTTGTAGTTGGGCTGGGTAGGGGTTACTGTCTTTTTCCAGCCCAAATGGGTCTATATTACCGCCGCTCGGCTATACTCGATGTTTCTAATTTTTTTAAAAGGAATAGTCATATAGCCGCTCGGATATACTTGGTTATTTGAATTTTTTTTAAAGAAATAGTATAGCCACCCGGAATAGCCAATCACTTGCATACCTCATGTAGAATATGTTTGTTTTGCCAGCTCCTGTTGGAGCACAAATCTGCAAGTAAATGGAAATCACATTCAAGCATAACATATCAGCACTTTCACTGCAATGGAAAATGCGCAAATTATTATGGCTAGTTTATACAAATGATGGAACTACAAATGGCTAGTTTCACTGCAATGGAGATTCCATATGTTTTTCTTTTATGAAGAAAGGGGGAAAACCCCAAGACACCAAACCCCAACGAAACATCAAGCAACAGAGCCCAGGAACCCAAGCCAGGCAGGACTCTCCTGTCTCCTCAAAAAAGCAGCAGCACAGATCCAAGTTGTGACTCCAAGTAGCCAAACAATCAGCTACAGAATTCCTCTATCTATATATATGCTGAAGCTTAATCCTTCCAAAGAAATTCATGAGCCTTTTACAGCTACTAACTGATTCTATATGTTGCTGATGAAATACTCGGTTTTTTCAAATTGTTTTTTAAGAAATCGTATAGCCACTGGGCTATACTCGGTTTTTTGAAATTGTTTTTTTTTAAGAAATCGTATAGCCGGGCGCTATACTGGGTATTTCTAATTATTTTTAAAGAAATAGTATATCCGCGGCTATACAAATTTTTCCAAATCTTTTAAAAACAAATAGTATAGCCGTTCGGCTATACTCAGTTTTTAATGTTTTTTCGAGGAGATAATACGGCTATACTCCGCCTTAATTGTTTTTTAAAAATTAGTATAGCCGCTCGGCTATACCCGGGGTTCCTAATTTTTAACAAGGAATAGTATAGCCGAGCGGCTAGACCCGGTTTTTTTCTAATTTTTTTGTTTTGTCGAACCGGGGTTCCCTCATATTACTAGTACTGCCACTATTAACAATACTCGGCACCAAAGCCGCGAACTGTGCTTCCCAAATGCTCTCCCTCGCAAAACGACTCAAGAACTCACCTTCATGCTTCCAGGCCGCCGTCAACCAAATCCGGTGGGTCCGGACCGAGTCCGGCCCGTCCCGGCGCCGTCAAAGGCACAAGTCTCCCGCCCTGGCTATGAGGAAGTCGGAGGAGAAGTCCGAGTGGTGGATAGTCGACGGCGAAATCCACGAGATCGGCGATCACGTGCCTCCACGTGAGCGGTTCGTCATTCCCAGAGATAACATCCCCAACAAGCGTCGAAAGCAGCTCAGAGAACAGTTCATGCGCCGCACTCGCCTTGTTCTCAAGGAAACGGTCAGTTCAGAATCAGATTAGAGCTTTCGGTTTTTTTTTTTCTCTTTCACAAATTGTGTGGTTTGGAAATTGGGTTGTTTGGTATTTTTGTAAATATGGTTTTACTCTTTTACATTGAAAGGAACATGAACCTTGGTGCAAAAGGTACATGGAACTCTACCAGGAGCTTCGAGAAAATTGGGAGAGGCTGTATTGGGACGAGGGTTACTCCAAAAAAATTGCCATGGACCATGCGAATTACGACTCTGCTGAAGATGATGACCATGATTTCTCTCCGTACAGGTGTTTCTGCTTGACTAATTTCTGGGATTGTTTTCAGTATTTCAAGAATTAATATGAAAGAAGAGAAGTTAATTGAAAATCCAAACTGATTTATTTGTGTAAAATCTCACTTTCCATTGTGTTGTATTATGACATCCAGGCCCTGATTTTACTCTGTTTTGCTTGTGTTTCAGGAGCAAGCGGTCCCATAGCGAGCCATTCAAGGTACGAATTTGATACAATCAGTTTTGGACCTGATAAATAGATCTGAAGATAGTTACATAATTACATGGGTTCTCTGTGCACCTACACCTGAATAATTACACGTCAGGAATAATAAGTAGGCAGCCCCACATTTCACGTAGTTTTCCATTATCAGCAGAGTTCTATACATTCATATAACCTGCAATCCTGAACCTAATATATTGTTTGTATTATCTTCAAAAGTTTCTTCTTTGTGTTGTTGTGAATGTGATTGTTTCTCTCTGTCCGCTTGCTGTAAATGAAGCCATTCCAAGCAAACTTTGTAACCAAAGTAAATAGGATTTTGTAATCGAATAGCCCGTTCAATTCATTTGATCAGTCACCTAGTTGCCTGTTAACTCTTGTACTTCATCATGTCACGGTTCTCTAGATTCCTTGTCATGCTCTTGATTATTGATGTGACACCATGATTTGTTTTTGGTGTAAGATACCCTGTAGCCATGGTACTACTTACTATACAAGAGGGTTGCTTGTGATATCTCTTGCTTTAGATCTATTTGAGTACTTTGGTCCTTTGGTTATGACTCTTCACTCAACTGACTTGATTTTGTTGCAGGACAATAGTTTCGGAAACAGGCAAGGCGATACCTGGGAAAAGGTCAACCAGATCCGAGATAAGTTCGAGTATGACAGAGAAAGGAGAATGAGAGAGAAAGGTCAGTTGAACGTAGTTTGACAAGTTTTGTGTTGTGAACTTTTGCTTTTGTGATTTGGTTTTCGGATTAAAGTTGGCCTGTTGTACTACAGTAGTTGAAGAATGCTCTTTTACAGATTCTCTATCAATATCTTTGATTGTAGATTGAGCATGGTTAGATTATTTGGTATTCATTAGTTGGATTCTCCAGGTCTATACTCGAGTCTTTTTTAGATTTCTTTTTTTGAAAGGGCTATAGAACTTCAAAAATTATGTTGATTGACAATTTAGTGTGCTAAGAATTCCAGATTTTGACTATTGATCCATTCTACATATTGTAGCCACTAGAGAGCTCACTATTCACATTTCTATTTCTTGCAATTTGAGAAAGATGGTCATATGAACATACAATTTGCAAACTGTGTAAAAGGATGATGTATTTCAAATTGACATTTAAATATGCCCTAGATATGCTAATCTTCTTTTTCCTCATTTCTTTTTCTGTTCAATAATTTCAGTTGGAAAATTGTCTAAAGTGTGCAGTTCTCATTAGTTTCATGTATTTGAGTTGCAGCATTTGCACCCATGTCTGGAGAACGTGCTTCTTCTAACTTCCATGATATGAACTCCCGGAGACAGCCATTTGACACCCACAGATACTTCCCAGATAATGAAAGAGAGTGAAGAACTGCAAATGGGGTCTATGCACTTGTATATGTATCACGACTCACGAGAGGCTCGGAATGGTGCTCCATTTCCATTTCATCTCTTCCTCAACCGTCACTGTGACACTTCTGACATCTATCCTACTATTGACACCAGGCAGCTTAATCTTGTAACCGTTGGCATTTTTGAATTGACTGATATTGTGCTTCCAAAATGCATAGTAATTTTGTGATTTTGAGCAAAATGTCAGGAGAAGCGTAGGGGTTTAGGCTTCAGAACCACGAGTGTTGCTTGACATTGTCATATGTTATGCAATATACATGGGACTGTTATAAACGTTTTAACAAAATCTTTTGATGATGCTATTGTTTGTATTGTAGCCATATAAATTTTTTGTATGATCGGCTTTATTTTAATTGGAAACATTATATTTTAAGTGAGAACAGCAATTTTAATTTACGAATTTGCATAATTAAGATTGATTTGATCATATAATTACGAAGTTTGTAATTTGTAAATCTGCCCAGCAGTTAAAACTTTCATCTCAATTCAAAACGAAGCGAAAAGGACAGGTTTGTCCACAACGTACAACTAACAGAAGCACGTAGTACTCATCATCCGCCGAAATAACAAAACGCAATCGTAAACGGCAAAAGAAAACTTTGAATTAATTTTGAGGCAAAACAAAGGAGACGACGTCAATTTGCAAAGGCCGGCGCCAAAACGTCCCAAACTTCACTCTCTCTCTCTCTCTGTCGCTGACAAAATTTTGAAATTGAAAGCTGAAAAATCACAAGATCTGATTCCGAGGGACCGCCATTGGCGACAGAAGAAGAGCAAAGATAAGATAACGATCGGGAAATGAGCGGGGCGACTCTGTGCGCTCTGTTGGGTGAATTAGGGTACGAAGGGGCTGATGCATTGGACCCTGACAGCTTCGAATGGCCCTTCCAATACGATGACGCACGACCCATCCTCGACTGGATCTGCTCCAGCCTTCGACCCTCCAACGTTCTCTCTCTCCCCGAGCTCTCACAGTTACTCTCTCTTTCTCTCTCTTTCTCCCTCCCAATTTTGCTGTCATTTGGTTGAATTTTAGATTTTGTAATTTATTATTAAGCGAAAATTTGTATTTGTTTTTTCTTGTTTAGGTACGAGCAGTTTCTACAGGAAGGGAAGCTATTGGAGGTAGAAAATTACCATGGTTGAGTTTTCATATGTTGTGTTCAAACTTCATAAGTATATATGCATTGATACTTGGTGACTTTACAGGGGGAAGATTTGGACTTTGCTTATGATAGCATTTCAGCTTTTGCTTCCAGGCCAGATAACCAGGAGGCAGTTTTCGCAGCCGAGGAGGGACTCAAAGATATCCGGTACCATACGTTTACCACACCGTGTTCGCATTTATTTGTGATGCATTAGTTAATATGTATCTTCTGGCCTATATATGAGGAAGATGATATTTTGGTGTGATAAATCACTGCGGTATCCTGCTCCCGCTACTTATGGATTTCTTTTCTTCCTTAGGGATGCAACTCAGGCATATAAAGCTGAAGCTCTACAGTTGCAGAGACAGCTTAGGCACTTGCATTCTCAATTCGACATGCTTACTGGTCAGGCTTCTGCTTTGATCCAAGGGAGACGGGCTCGAGTTGCTGCAACATCTACTGTCAATGGGCATCTGGCAACTATAGATGATAGCCTTTCTGCAAGAAATTTGCAGGTATATTAGGGAAAAAAAGTATTCGGAATGGATTGTCATTTTCTTGACTATGTTGGAAAAGGAATACTTTTGACATCGGTTGTGTTGCAAATTGAGGACAATGGTTATTGATAAGTTTTATGCATATAGTTTTTCCAATATTATCAATATGTTTGATTGGGTTTGGTTTTCCATATATATATATATATATATACATATATTATAGAACCATTCACATGTGAATGTCCATTGGTGAGCATGTGAGTGATCGTTCATATGCCCACTGAAATTTCCGCATGCTGACGTCTGCAGTTGAACCTGCATCTATGTACACACACATGCACACAGGCGTATGTGTGTGAATGTAAGATCGATACAAGCTCATAAAAGTATTAGTTTGATGCATGGATTTTAATTAATTTTTTGAAGAGAAAAGTACTTGTAGAAATATATTGCTACGTAAAAATTCCAGAATTTTTTTAATTCTTTCATTGTATTCTAGATGAATGCAGTTCTTGGAAGGATGGCTTCTACAGCACAAGAGTTGGCTCATTATCATTCTGGAGACGGTATTATTCTTTTACCTTATAGTACTTGTATTATTCTGCATGTACTATTTGAATAATCATGCACAACTGAAGGAAGAATCCAAGATTTTTTTTTTCTTTGAAAAGAAGGAAGAATCCAAGAGCACTTTTCTGCTTACAAATTCAAGAATCAAGATCACTTTTCTGCTTCCGCCTGATGATTAGTTTTAGCGCTACTTGCAGGGGATGGCATCTATTTAGCTTACTCAGACTTTCATCCATACTTAATTGGAGATTCATCTTGTATCAAGGAGTTAAATCAGTGGTTTGCTAAGCAGTTGGATACGGTGTGTATTCCCTCCTTTAAGGCATTGCTAATCTTAATTACTAATGATGTATGAGTGTGCATCTTTTTTCTTTTCCAGCTTAAAGCATTGCTAATCTAATTGGTGATGGATCAGTGTGTCAGTGTTGCTTTCAATTAGGACAAAACTTTAGCAATTGTTGTTGCAACTTACTTTTCAGATATCCATTAAAACTTTGTGCCCCCTCCTTTAAGGCATTGCTAATCTTAATTACTGATGATGTATGAGTGTGCATCTTTTTTCTTTTCCAGCTTAAAGCATTGCTAATCTAATTGGTGATGGATCAGTGTATCAGTGTTGCTTTCAATTAGGACAAAACTTTAGCAATTGTTGTTGCAACTTACTTTTCAGATATCCATTAAAACTTTGTGCCAGCTGTTATTTCTAGAATCCTCTGCATTGGGAAGTAGACTATAAACTCTCTTCCAGTTTTCCAGTCTTTTGTGAATAATTTCAAAATTGCTATTTATATACAGAGTTCTAGTATTCATATTTCAAAGTAGCTCATCTCATGGAATTATATCTTTGTTAGTATTGCTAATCTTCTGGATGAGTTCTTAAAACCTCGTCTCTTGTAGATTTCTTCCTATCTCTTAGGTTGTATCTATTTTGTTTTCTCCAGTTTTTCTCTTGCGTTCTCCCCAGTTTTTCTCTTGCACCTTTAAAAAAGAATACTTACTAAAAGATCAAAAGTCTTACTGTGTGAAATGAACAGGTACCTTTTCGTTTAGTTGCTGAAGAGGGCAAGTCTAAGTGTTCGTGGGTGAGTCTTGAAGACATCTCAAATATCATCGTAAGAGGTAATATTTCCTGTTGCTTTTCCAGCTTTATTTTCACGCTTTTATTTTTTCTCTTCTCTCCCCATTATCTAGAGTTGCCTAGGTATCCAGATATCTTATGACGTTTTAACTTATATAAAGTAGCAAATATCGACTCCTTTTATTTGGCGTGTTGATTGCAGCAGATTTAGAAAAATCCCATCATCAGCGTGTCTCTGAGTTGCAACGGCTTCGTTCAATGTAAGTAACATTTTTCCACTATTCACAGAGTTTCTAACTTATATTAATTGATATGTATGATACCTACTTATTTGTTCAGAGAGGTCTCAGATTCACTACATCCTCTATAAGAAATTAGAACAATGGCTGTTATCGTTTACTTTGATCCCGTTTGTTGATAAAAAAATTTAGAAAGAAGGTACAAGAAGTTGACAGTTTGATTTTCATAATCAGAGTTAAGAGGGCATATTCTAGTCGTTAATTATTTTACTCTTCTGAGACTTGAGAGGTACAACTTTTTTATGTATTTATTCTATTTTATCTTTCTCCAACACATTCCTTGATGTGATGTGGTATTTGATAATTCAACCCTACTTTTGTTGTTTGGATTATTTTTTCTATTTCTGGTTGATTAGGTTTTAAGCCTTTCTTGGAAAACATGAGATCAATAATTTTTAGAGGAGCTGCAGTTTGATTTTTTCTCGTGGTCAGTTCATGCTGACAATGTTGTTTTTGATAATTTTAAAATGCCTGCCGTTGGACTTAATTGTAACTGTTGAATTATGAGCAGTTTTGGGACAAGTGAAAGACAATGGGTGGAAGCCCAAGTTGAGAATGCTAAACAGCAAGCGATTCTAATGGTGCTTAAATCTCAAGTATCATCAGATGAAGCGCACATTCATCTTGATCTTCATTCCCTTAGGTACAATGCAGTTTTACTCGTCAATTCATTATGCTTTGTAGTAGACTTTTAAGTTTCTTATCATCAACATTTCACAATATTTTTGGAATAAAGAGTATCTAATATATGTGCACAGGAGAAAGCATTCGGAACTTGTTGGAGAACTATCAAATTCTTATCACAAGGAAGAGAAGTTGTTATCTGAGGTTTGTTAAGTTTACTACGTTTTACCTGCTATATCCGAATTTCCAAAATCTTCTGCGGGCAAGTTGAATTCCAACTTTAGTCATAGGGAGGAGTCACATAAGGAAAGTATCATGGCAATGCTACCTGCTAATCACGTTGCTTGTATTTATTCTTTTATGTATTCCTCCTGGAGCTTATGAACTGCTCAATTTAAGCATTTAAAATTTCCTTCCATTGTTTTGTCCTTTCTCCTCTTCTGAGGTTCTCTATATGCTTTTTATTCTTGGGGTGTGGAGTGCATATTTTGATACTCTTAGAAGATTCTTCTTTACAATGTGCTTCTTTCTGCCTTCAAAATGCTTCATTTCATTGATTTAGTTTGAGTGTATAATCTTAGACTTACTGTGTATTTCTTTTTTTAAGACTATTCCGGATCTTTGTTGGGAGCTGGCTCAACTCCAAGACACGTATATATTGCAAGGTATTATTTGTAACTACACCATTCTAGAAGTGCAGAGTGAAACACCATCAAATTATTTGTCTTTATTGCCTAGAAATCTCTTTTTTGCTAATGTGATCTGATTTATCAATTTGTAGGTGATTATGACTTAAAGGTGATGCGACAAGAATATTATATTAACCGGCAGAAAGCGGTATGGTTAGCTACCTGTCTTTTTGTTTTTATTTTTGTTTTAATGTGATTTTGTAGATGTTTGTTTGATCCAAAGGTCTGGCTTTGAAAATAATTGATTGCAGTATGTGAAGCAATTATATGAGAACGGTGTTCAGTTTCATAATTAATTTTTGCACTAGTTGTGTTAGCACAATTAAAAGAGCAATGAGTTCATATCACAAAGCTTCCTGATCTTCTGGACTAACATTTCTTTGTTTCAATTTCTCTTGGCAGTTTATAAATCATCTTGTTAATCAGCTTGCAAGGCATCAGTTCTTAAAAATAGCTTGTCAGCTGGAAAAGAAAAACATGCTCGGAGCATACTCCTTGCTTAAAGTTATTGAATCAGAGGTGCAAGCCTACCTATCAGCAACAAAAGGCCGTGTGGTATATATTAATCCATCTATCACCTTTATAAATTATTCTCTCTTATCTCTTAGATTTTAGTTATTTTCCCACTATATCTCCTCTCTTCCTTCTTAATCACTGAAGGAATTGAAGCAAATAGTTTATTTGTCATAAGATCATGCATTTTACTGTTAAATGAAATTCTAGATGCACCCAAAACTTAAGTGATAAGACATCTTAATGGAATACTGTTATGAATTTGCTCAGAACTGGGTAGTGATTTTGCTTCATATTATTTGGGAAACCTTGTGGCATGCTTCAATCCTTCATTTTTTCCCCTAATAATGGCTGATGATGTTCCTTTGTTATCATTATAGGGTCGTTGCCTGGCACTAATTCAAGCTGCATCTGATGTACAAGAACAGGGAGGAGTGGATGATCAGGATCACTTTTTGCATGGTGTCAGAGATCTTTTAAGTATCCATTCAAGTAATGACAGCACATTAAATTTGGATAAACATAAACGTTTGTTAGATTTTCTATTAATCCTATTGCTCCTTTTTATTTTGCTTATCTGCACTTTTCATTAGATGCTCAAGTTGGGCTATCAACATATGTATCAGCTCCGGGTATTGTTCAGCAGATAACTAGTCTTCATTCAGACTTGATGACCCTTCAGTCTGATCTTGAGAACTCTCTTCCAGAGGACAGAAATAGATGTGTCAATGAGCTGTGAGTTACTCCAGTTTTTCTTAATCATCAAGAGTATTAGTCTAACAGTTATTGACTGGGCTCATAAATAGCATGTGAAAATGAATTAACATACCTTGTATTGTCTGGAGTACATTTCAATACTCTTTCTGGCTGCCAATTTTGTCTGCTTTGTGCACAGAAGTATCTATGATGAATTTGTGTGTGTTGTTCTTCATCCCTTTTTTTATGGGAAAGCATCTCATTTCTTTGTCATTTGTATTAGGTGCACTCTAATTCAAAGTTTGCAGCAATTGCTATTTGCATCTTCAACAACCGCACAACCAATACTGACCCCTCGGGTATGACCTCACCATTACACTTATATTTTCTGTTCTTGCCTTTGTTCCTATGCGAAGGTTATATCTTTTTCTTTTTCTTCCAGCCATTGATGAAAGAGCTTGATGAAATGGAGAAGATAAATGCAAAACTCTCCGCTGCAGTTGAAGAGGTGACACTGGAGCATCGCAAGAAAAATGAGGTGAGCTTTGTTTATATGTTTCTCTCTGTCTGTCTCCTGATTGGATATGATTTTGCACTGTGAGCACAAATAAGGTCTTGCTGTAGGCTTTCAAGATCAAGACTCGGTGTTAAATGTGGTGAAAACATACAAACACGTACATGATAAGAATTTGGCTACTTTTACACACAAATTAACGAAGTTATCTTTCTAGTTGCTCCCTAACTAATATTCTATTTAAGTTATACAACTGAATTAGCAACAGATTTGAAAATCGCGGTCAGACACAGACGCATTGATTGGTTTAATTTAACTCTTTCCGGACCTTGATCCTGTTATCGGTGATATAAACTACTCACATGTAATGTAATGGTATATGACATGCAGATTGTAAAACATCACGCCAAGGAAATCGGGCTTCAACGGGGTGTCTTTGTTGATTTCTTCTGTAATCCTGAGCGTCTGAGGAGTCAAGTTCGGGAGCTAACTGCACGTGTCAGAGCTTTGCAGGTTTCATAATTCTTGTATATGTACATATATATACACATTGTCTCTGCCTGTGTGTGTGTGAGAGAGAGATAGAGTGGTTGGTGCCTCTGTCCTCAAATCCATTATTCCATGCCTATGAATGTGTGATCGTGCATTTTTTTTCTTCTTGTTCAACATTAACGATGCGCCTTTTCTCTTGTTCATACCAGTTAGATTAAGCTAAAAAATAATAAAAGAAACGAACCCAAAGAAAAAAAAAAAAAAACCCCTTTCAGCCATAGCTAAGAATAATTTACCGTGTAAGGTTGGATTTGAGAATTAGTTTCGACATTTTGTCAATGAAATGGCTGACCATGAACATTATTGGGTTGGAAATGTACGAGGTTTGATAGTCTGATGCTAAATTGTTCAGAGAATTAGAAATCAAGCCAGGTATGAATATTGAATTGTGTTTTCATTAACGATGCACTTCTCTTGTTAACACATCAGTTCAAATATCAGTTTCAATTGTTACAAGAGGGTTTATTTTTTGGTTGAATTGTTACAAGAGGGTAGCAGTTATAATACTAGGCAAGAATTTTGAGGTGTTTGGTGTAACATTTTGGAATTCCAATGTTGTACTTCAAATAACTACAACCGTTAAAATTTAGGAATATAGCTAAAAAGGAAAGAAGTAGCCAAATAATTAAATCAGTTAAGTTAAACAAATGCACAAATAAACAAATACAAGGAGAACAAGAAAAATGAAAAGAAAATATGCGACAAACCTATCATAATCCTAACTCATTTCAACACCTTCCCTCGCCCATTCGGACAAACCCAAGGCTTAAGGATTTACAACTTTATTCCTAAGAGTTGCCAGAGGATTTCTCCTTTAAGAACTCGGTTGAATCCAGAAACACGGTGTCCCAAAGGTAGGGAATTTTGCTTCTTTCAAAGCAAAACTAGGGGAGCCAAAGTGCTGCTCAAATCTTCCGTCTTCCATATGAAAAATACCCATGTTTATGTTCTCTTCTGAACGTACGAGCCAATCACCCCGCTCGGGATATATGTACTGGCGATATATACATGTCAACACCTTCCCTCGCCCATTCAGACAAACCCAAGGCTTGAGGATTTACAACTTTATTCCTAAGAGTTGCCAGAGGATTTCTCCTTTAGGAACTCGGTTGAATCCAGAAACACGGTGTGCCAAAGGTAGGGAATTTTGCTTCTTTCAAAGCAAAACTAGGGGAGCCAAAGTGCTGCTCAAATCTTCCGTCTTCCATATGAAAAATACCCATGTTTATGTTCTCTTCTGAACGTACGAGCCAATCACCCCGCTCGGGATATATGTACTGGCGATATATACATGAAAAAAAGTATATGCAATTCGGCTTGCATCCAGAGTAGTCCGAGGCCATAACAGAGAATGAAGAATTATTATCACCCAAAAATAGGGTTCTGTTACCCAAGTCCTTCACTACCGATTTTGAGGGCCTCTTCCCATCCCTCAAAACCTTAGAAACCCTAAACCTAGGAGCTTGTCGGTATATATCTCCGTAAGAGAAAACTACTAATAAGTCCCCTGCTGATTCCACCATATATGTCTTTGTGCCAAAAGAAGCATGTACATGTCGACGTAGTGGCCCTTGAACAACCACCCTTGTCTTTGCTTGCTTAGGGTTTTCAATGTCGAAAACCAAAACCCCATTATAGCACATGGCATAAAATCGTCCCTTATAACAAGTTATATCCAGTGGATGTTCCTCTAAAACCATACTTGTCCAATATTTATGTTCTCTTGGTTTGCAAAATGCCAAATGTTCATGGTCATAAAGAACCATGATTGCAAAATCTGATGTCCAAGAAGGGTTTGATGATAAGACAAATTTCTTTACCGTATGAAAATGTGACATGTTTGTTGGTGAAAGTCGTCCATCAGAATCTCTAAAATCAGGCAACTTTATTTGGGCACGATTGAAAGGATGCAACAGAGTAAATTTCAAACCTTCTAAAGTGATCAGCCATCCTGAACAATAACACAATAGTTTGCCCTCGGCTTCTGGCAGATTGACCTTCTGAACCTTATCTTTTGTGAAGCTGTAGAACTCACGGATGGCAGCTCCATCTTCCCCTGGGAGCATAAGGAATGGATGTGATAATCGACCAGTAAAGTTTTCCTTCGTAGCGACCGATCTCCATGGTTTGCAAACCGCACCAAAAGCAGCAAAATCCTCCATGAAAGCTATCCGGTTGGCGATGAAGATAACAAGTTCTTGAGGAAGATCAGACCAGTCAGCCCCCATCAGGGTTTTTCTTTTTCGGTTACAGGCCATCTTCAAAACTTACCAATTTCCCTCCACAACTCACTGTTTATTGAAAACGTGGTGTACTTACAAAGAGAAGGCTTAATGGAGCACTACGTGTAGAAGAGAGAAGAGAGGCTTGCAACGCAAGAGTTTGGCCGATTTATGTTTATATATGATGCTGCTGGCCGATTTATGTTTATCAAGAATTCTATAGTGAGGGCTTTATATATGCTGCTACGGTTGGGTTTTTCTTTTGGACACGGACTCGTGGTAGCAAAATTCTTTGGTGAAGTAGTCTTATAGGCCCATCCTCTCGTGTTCGGGTCAGATGTGTTTGTGGGTCCAGCCCGATTGTGAAAGGGTGCGTCACATGAGAAATATATATATATATATTTTTTTTACACAAACGATATTTTTTGAACTCAGATACATATTTTTTAAGTGGAAGAATAAAAAAGGGTGACTTTTATTCCTTTTCACACAAAAACGCACAGTTTCAATAAAGAAACAGGTGAAAAAGGCGACATCTTTTTACACAAATGCAGAGGACGCGAGGTTGCAGGCAAAAATGGAACAAAAGGCAGACCTCTGGAGCATTTCAGCGAATGTGTTATTGTGCTTTCATTAACGATGCACTTTTCTCTGGTTCATACCCGTTAGAATATCAGTTTCAACTGTTACAAGAGGGTAGCAAATATAATACAAAGCAAGAATTTTTGAGCTGTTTGGTGTAACTTTTTGGAATTCCATTGATATTCTTTTTTTGTTGTTGATGAAATAAGGGGGGGAAAACCCCAAAAAGACACAACTAACTGACTAATACAAATCAAACGAGGCCTAGCAAGGGTTTAGCAAGGCCTAACATATCATCCACCAAGAATGAGGTAACCCAGGCAGCAGCATCATCAAAATAGCAAACTCCTAGGTCTAAATTGGAGCTCCAGTTAGCCATACAATCTGCTACAAAATTCTGTTCTCTGTAAACATAAGCAAGGTGACAGTTGCCAATACGCCTCACAAGAACACAACAGCTATCCACCAACACAGCAAGAGGGTGACAATTCAATGTACCAATTTGCTGAACAAGAGACAGCAATCGCAGCATCCATCTCAACAAGAAGATTAGAGATACCTTTGTCCAAGGCCAACTTAAGCCCAAAATATAATCCCCAAACCTCAACCTCCAAAATCTGGCCTTGACCCAAGTTCACAGCAAAGCCAGCAATCCAATCACCAGAGGAATCGCGAATAACCCCTCCTGCTCCAATAAGACCTGAGGCACTCTTCCTAGAGCCATCCACATTCAGTTTAAATTGGCCCAAGTTCAGGAGGGTTCCAAGCAAAAAAAGGCCGGCACTCTATCAGCCTCCTTACCAGAATCACTATTAGCCTTAATCCAATCAGAAGCAGCAGAATTCCATTGATATTCTTCATTACAAAGAGAAAGTAACTTCTAAAAATAAAAAAAATCCTCCTTCGCCATTTGGACTAAACCCAAGGGCTTAAGCACATTCGACTTTGTTTTTTCCTGTAACTCCCGGTGACTTTGTTGGTAGTTGGTGCAAAGCAAGAATTTCCCTCTAAAAATTTCGGTTGAATCCACAAACACGGTGTCCCAAAGGTAGGGAAACTTCTTTGTTCCCAATAAAAGTGTTCCTGAATTCTTCCATTTTTCATATGAAAAATACCAATATCTATGTTCTCTCTTGAAGGTAAGAGATAGTTATGAGGCTGCCGGGAATATATGTACTGCTGAGATATGTATGAGAAAAAGTATATGCAATTCGGCTCGCATCCAGAGTAGTCCGAGGCCAAAACAGAGAATGAAGTATTATTATCACCCAAAAATAGGGTTCTATTACCCAAGTCCTTCACTTCCGAGTCTAACTGCCAATTGCCATCCCTCAAAGGCACCTTGAAAACCCTAAACTTAGGAGCTGTTTCGTAACCTTCTTCATGAGCCGAAACTACTAATAAGTCCCCTGCTGACTCCACCAAATACTTCACTCTACCAGGAGAAATATGTACAAGTAGTTCCCTTGGCATCCGTGGAACAAGAACCTCAGTTTTTGCTTCCTTAGTAGGGTTTTCAATGTCGAAAACCGAAACCCTCCCATTATGGCTCACGGCATAAAATCGTCCCTTGTAACAAGTTATGTCAACTGGATGTGAACCTAAATCCATACTTGTCCAATATCGATCCTGTCTTGGTTTGCAAAATGCCAATTGTTTACAGTCATAAAGAAGCATGATTGTATAATCTGATGTCCAAGCAGGGTTTGATGAGAGGACAAATTTCTTTGTGGCATGAAAATCTGTCATGCTTACTGGTGAAAGTTTTGCACTAGAATCTGTAAAACCAGGCAACTTAATTTGTGAACGATTTAAAGGATGCAGCAGATTAAATTGCAAACCTTGTAAAGTGATGAGCCATCCTGAACAAGAACAACATACTTTGCCCTCAGCTTCTGGCAGATTGAGATCGCGAACCTTACAGTCTGTGAAGCTGTAAATCTTACGCATGGCAGCTCCATGTTCCTGTGGGAGCATAAGAAATGGGCCTTGATGTTTTAATCGACTGGTAAAGTTTTCCTTGGCCGCGGCTGATCTCCATGATTTGCAGACAAAACCAAAAGCAATAAAATCCTCCAAGAAAGCTATCTGTTTGGCAATGGAGACGACAAGTTCTTGAGGAAGACCCGACCAGTCAGCCACCGTGGTTTTCAGGTTACAGGCCATCATCAAAGTTTGTCAATTCCCCTACACAACTCTCTGCTTATGAAAACGTGAATGTGAATTGGGGCTACAAAGAAAAGGAAAAACAAAAGGATTTTGAGAATCGAATCAAGATGGCAAAAGAAAATCAAATTCGTCGAAAAAGGAAAATTTGAGAGGTTGTCCTATATCAGATCCACTGCAATACAAGATAATATTGGAAAACCCATCATTAGAAGAAAACCCTAAGAACCAAATCTTACTTGTTCTTTAATGAGAGAGAGGCATAGAGACGGCACGAGAGAGAAATGAAGATGGTGGTGGTGATGCGAATGACGACTAGGGTTGCCTTGGATTGTCTCAGAGAGAGAGAGAGAGAGAGAGTGGCTGTCTGAGTTGGGGATTAGATGAGATTGGGGTTGGAGTGGTGGTGGTGGGTGGCTCTGGGTTGGTTGTTGGTTGTTGTCTGATGGTAAATTGGGGGAGGAGGAGAGGACGAGAGTGAGAGGGAGACGAAGAAATTTTTTTTATTGTTTTTTTCATTTTTCAATATCTTATTTTTTGGATTAATTTATTCAAAAGTTCTTAAGTAATTATATAATTTAATTCTTTTCTTTTTTTTCTAAATAGGAATTTAATTCTGATTTCTATAATATTTTGCATATTTTTATTATTTTATTAACATTTTAGTCCAGATGGATGGTTTTTCAAATTTTTTAAAAAGAAATCGTATTGCCAGGCGGCTATACTCTATTTTTAAATTTTAGGAATCGTACCGCCGCGCGGCTATACTCGGTTTTTTATTTTTTCAAAGAAATAGTACCGTCGGGCGGCTATACTCATTTTTATTTTGTCAAAGAAATAGTATATTTTTTAATTATTTTAAATGAAATAGTCTAGCCAAGCAGCCATACGCCGTTATTTATTTTTTCAAAGAAATAGTACAGCCGAACGGCTATACTCCTTTTTTTTTTTTAAAGAAATAGTATAGCCGCCACGCGGCTTTACTCGGTTCGGTTTTTTAATTATTTTTTGAAGAAATAGTAGAGCCGTGCGGCTATACTAATTTTTTTTATAAAGAAATCGTATAGACGTGCGGCTATACTCGATTTTTCAAATTTTTTCAAGCAATAATATAGCCGCGTGGCAATACTCGATTTTTCCTAATATTTTTAAAAGGAATAGTATAGCTGATCAGTTATACTCGGTTTTTTATCAAGTGTTTCTACTTGACTAATTTCTGGGATTGTTTTCAGTATTTCAAGAATTAATATGAAAGAAGAGAAGTTAATTGAAAATTCCAACTGGTTTATTTGTGTAAAATCTCACTTTCCATAGTGTTGATTTTACTCTGTTTTGCTTATGTTTCAGGAGCAAGCGGTCCCATAACGAGCCATTCAAGGTACGAATTTGATACAATCAGTTTTGGACCTGATAGATAGATGATATAGCTCTGAAGATAGTTACATAATTACAAGGGTTCTCTGTGCACCTACATAGTTTTCCATTATCAGCCGAGTTCTATACATTCATATAACCTGAAATCCTGAACCTAATATCCTGTAATTTGTATTATCTTCAAAAGTTTCTTCTTTGTGTTGTTGTGAATGTGATTGTTTCAAAAGACATGAAATACTATTTGCAAAAGTTTCTGAAACAATTGAAAAACTGGAGGAATAACAAAACCTAACAGATTATAATCAACTTGCTCAGCCATTGTGAAAGGAAGTTTTTCATTGCAAGTTCTTCCGGAGGCAGCCCTGCCGAATCTGGTAGGAACATAAACAAATTCAAACGTGCTTAAGCTGACTAAGTGATGACGTTTTGTTACATCTTGTCCTAATTTATTCCCTCTGTCCCTCTCCCGACTTGGTCTAATCCTGGTTAGACTTTGTTCTTTCTTCTAACTTTGTTGGTAGAATTGCCATACTAGAAACTCGGTTGAATCCACAAATGCGGTAGCCAACTCCTTAGGCTTTCTCTCAAAGCAAGAGTACGGGACCCCAAATGTTCCTGAATTGTTCCATCTTTCATATTATAAATACCATAATATGAATACAAAAAAGAAAAGTATATGCAATTGGGCTTGCATCCGTAGTCCGAGGCGACAACAGAGATTGAACCACTATGATTACCCACAAATAGGGTTCTATTACCCAAGTCCTTCACTTCCAAGTCTGAGTGCCAATAGCCATCCCTCAAAGGCACCTTGAAAACCCTAAACCCACGGCTTGAAGGGTCTCCCTCTTTGGAATAAAATATAACCAGTAATAAGTCCCCTGCTGATTCAGCCATAAATGAATGTCTAACAAAAGGCCAAAGGCCCCACGGAACAACAACGTTTGCCTTTGCTTGCTTAGGGTTTTCAGTGTCGCAAACCCAAATGCCATCATTGTTCATGGCATAAAATCGTCCCTTATAACAAATTATGTCCCATATATATTCCTCAAAAACTATACTTGTCCAATATTTATGTTCCCTTGGTTTGCAAAATGCCAATTTTTGAAAGTCATATTGACCAATGATTGTATAATCTGATGTCCAAGAAGGGCTTGATGATAAGACAAATCTGATAAAGGGTACCCTGCATCTTAAAACCTGGCAAGACGAATCTCTAAAACCTGGCAACTTAATTTGGGAATGATTTAAAGGATGCAACAGATTCAATTCCTCCAAACCTCGTCGTGAAGTGAACAGCCATCCTAAACAAAGAACAGATTATTTGGACCCCACCTTCTGGCAGTTTGAACTTGAGAATCTTATCTCTTGTTAAGCTGTAAAACTCAAGCATGCCAACTGCATCTTTCTTACGGAACATAAGGAATGGGACGTGATGTGTCAATCGACTGGTGAAGATTTCCTTGGTGGCGGCTGATCTCCATGATTTGCAAACCGCACCAAAAGCAGTAAAATCCTCCATCAAAACTATCCGGTTGGCAATGGAGATAACAAGTTCTTGAGGAAGATCCGACCAGTCAGTCAACGTCAAGGTTTTTCTTGACATCATGAAAACTGACGCAACAAGATACTGGGGAATAGGGAGATAACCCTAATGTAACAATGTCGGAATTCACCAGAAAATTGAGTAAAACTCAAAGATATTTGATTGATAATAAGATAGATAATGCAGGATGCTCCAACGCATTCCTTTTATACAATAGAAACTCTAGACTTAATTGGAAAGCTAATGAGAAACCCTAGACTTGCTAGGAAAGCTAATTAGAAAATAAAAAGGAAAATAATAGTTTCCCAAAATATTCTTTTTGAAACGATAGGTCATGGGCCCAATTCTGAGCTCAGAGCCCATACTTAAACAGATTGGGCTTTGCTGCTGTGACGACGTGCGTGCTTATCCAACTGTTCTTTAATCAACTCAGCCACAGATTGGGCTTTGCTGCTGTGACGACGTGCGTGCCTTTCCAACTGTTCCTTGATAATCAACTCAGCCACGTGTTCTACATTAAAAAAAAAACTTATCAATTTTCCAGCAGAGCTCACTGTGTATTGAAAACGTGAGCACTACATGTAGAAGAGAGGCTTAGGTAAGTGAGCAACGCAAGAGTTTTGCCGATTTTATGTTTATATATGTATATATACTTTCCCACTGCCCACGCCTAATTCTTTTGGTTCCTTCTGGGGTTTATTTCTTAGGAATTTTCTGGTGGGTGGGGCCCGTGTAGTAGAGAATTGCGTACACCTAATTGTAAGAGTCCTATTGTTGGAGGGTGGCTCAGAAGGAAAACAAAATACATGAAACACTATTTGCAAAACTTTCTAAAACTATTGTCATTTACAAATTACAACAACTAGAGGAACCATAAATAAAACCTTACAGAACAGATTAATTAACTTGCTCAGCCATTGTGAGAGAAAGGTTTTCATGGCAACTTCTTGCAGAGGCAGCCCTGCCGAATCTCGATAGCTTCGGCTGTTTCTCAACCACATCATGAAGACCATTCTTGGCATTGGCATTGAAGTTTGCTTCGCATTGCAGCTTTGATCTGCTACGACTGTCTTGTACCGACCACGCAACGCTGATCCGATGCAGGTGGCACCTAAACGAACCTGCGTGGTTGGTCGGAGCACATATGCAAGTCTTGTTGGGAGTGGCATTTTTAGCTGGTTTGCCTTCTGCCATGTTCTTCCTTGCAATCTTCTTTTGTATTGCCTTGGCTAATTCATCTTCTTCATGAGGCAGAGTACCCTTGGTTTTGTTAAGCCTGGTAATAGTAAATCATACACATGACATGTGGGAATTGGGATTTATCCATGACAAGAATAACAAGTATGCATAATTGTTAGACTAATTAACCTGTAAATCCATCATCCATAGATGGGATCATAAAAATTACAACTTTCAAAAATTGAAAGCGATGCAGTTCTGATTGAATCTTTTCTTACACTAATCACAGAAACAGAGCAAAATTTATTTATTTATTTATTTATAATTTTTTGGTCAGCACAGAACAGAGCAACTTAATTAAGAGGTGGATGCAAATACCCATCAAAATTACAGAAAAAAAAAAAAGGACACAAAAATAGCAACAACATACCAAAGAGTGATGGATTTGGAGTCGATGTTTTGCAAATTCTTCACCTCAGCCAGCATTGTTATTGCATCAAATTGAATTGAATTTGGAAAGATCAAGACTTTTTCTTCAAAACCCCAAGAAAGATTTCAAAGACGGATCTCACTAAAAATCCCTCAAGGATAAGATTTGTAGAAGACATTAGGCTAGGCCTTGTCATAGAGATGGGATTTCTGAATTGCATCAGAGGATATGGATTGGGTTTCTGGAAAGAGCATGGAGAGAGTGTGTGATGAGCCAATCAGAGAGCAACACGATCATGCATGCAAAGCAGAGAGACGTAACACATGTTTGCCTCACAAGGCTCTCATTTGGAATATAGTCAAAAATCACATTGGAATGGTCCAATAGCAACTCTTCAGAAATTAATAATATTAATGTGGCCCACAAGATATGTTAATCTACTAGATTATGCTCTAATTGTTTATATCATATCACCCCTCCCTCGATTTCCCATTGCTGACAAAGATATGTCAACATAAACCTCCATGTTTAGAGCCGTTGGGTTGCTAAGATTTTGAACTAAAACAATGACATCTGCCTATCATGTGTATGTTTAAGTTTGTTGGGGTGGTTAATTAGTTTACCCCAGGTTGACCAATACTATTGTTTTAAGAGTGTAGTCCCATAATTCTCTACATGTAATTGACAATGTGTATCGCCAACAAAACATAACGACATGTTATCGATACATTTTTGACAATATCGATAGTCTTTCATTCTTTAATACTAAAAACAAGGCTACCTAATTGTCTCTGTTTTTCTTTTCACACATTCAGATGCAAGGTCTACTTTTATAATTTGGAGAGTTAATCTTTTTATCTCCATCCCCACATGCCTCCTACTTTAGAAAAGAAATAAAGCAGCCATGATGAGAAGATCACGCCTATCTAATCTATTCATCCAAAACAAAATCACATATAAAATTGTCTACATCAAATAATTTCATGGCCATTTCAATTTCCCACACCTAAAGTATATCCCAGTTACGTGTATTGGGTATCTTTTGTATCATCAATCACTGTTCTGGGTGGGTGTTATATAGTGCCTCCTATTTTTCTTTTTCTTTTCTTTTCCTTTTCCTTTTCCTTTTCCTTTTATCATCGAAATGAAATATTCAATACCCCACATGTGATCCCTTTTCTCCTTTGCAAAAGTCTTTGCATCCAAACACACCCTTCACTAACCCCCCTTTTTTTTCATGAGATGGAATATTCAAATATTAAACCCCACATATCTGACCAAAAAACAAATTAAACCCCACATTAAAAACAACCCCTTTTTTGCCCTTTTACAACCAGTTATAAAATTGAGTTGCAAATTCCAACACTGTTCTCTTGCCTCCTTTCCTTTCACAATGAAATTTATACTAAATATTTCACCCAAAAAAAATATTATACTACATAATATGTATATTGCTTGCCTCATTCTCGGTAAAGAGAAACACACACAAAAAATCAAAAAATTATGCAGACATATCACAATACTACTGACAGTAAGGTAAGAGCTTTTACATAGTAGAGAAGTATTTTCTAAAAAGATATTTAGATTAAATAATCGAAAAAAACAAAGTTACAAACTCCCCAAATCCACCGCCGAGGAGAAAGACAAAATAATCCCTCAGTAGTTACTAACACATATCACAATACTACTTACAGTAAGGTAAGAGCTTTTACATAGTAGAGAAGTATTTTCTAATAATCGAAAAAAACAAAGTTACAAACTCCCCAAATCCACCGCCGAGGAGAAAGACAAAATAATCCCTCAGTAGTTACTAAATATGAACCCACCCTCTCCTCATACTCACATCACGTGAATGAGGAATTCTCAGACAAACTCTATATATATGTTCATAATATTAAGGTACAAACACTTTTACATAAAACACTAGACCACTTTACTTTTTTTTTTCTCCCTCATATATTCACTAATAAGTCTGATGTAAACTTGTTCATTGCTTCACGAAACGCATGTTGGCAGCAAGCAGCTTGAAAAGAAGCCAAACCCTCTCCTCTGCAACCAAAAAGTTGAAGAAAAAAGAAAGATTTATTGTAAGTGAAGGTCAAAAAGAGGTTGGAACAAAAGTTGACTGATAGGCAATTTGATTCAGAGGCACATGAATTTTTCTCAAAAGGGAAGAGACTTATTATAAATTTGGAGCTTTACCTTTCTGGTCTTAGCATAGAGAGACTCTGGTGAGATTTTGTACAAGTCTTCATCCACAGGCTTGGGGGTAGGCCTGTGCCTGGGAGGAGGGCTTGGTGGCTCCTTCACATCACTCACCACCCAACTTTGCTCTTTTGCTTCTTTCACATTTGACTGACGACTTTTGTTCTGCAATTTGTCACCAACATATGATTTTATAATCAATGTGCCATTTTTTAAGCAAAATTTGGACTTGGAAAAACAAGTGGTGGATAAATAAAAAAGGGAGGGATTTGAAGTTTACCCTTCTGCGAGGAACAACAATCATGGCAGGTGTGACGACATCGTTCTCATACAAATCACCAGCAACATATAAATCACGATCCTCATCAGAGTAACTGGTGTAGCGCAGAAGCCCAGCTTGCGTAGCTGACTCAAAGCACTGAGTAAATGGGAGGTCTTGGTTCCAATCCCAGCTCCCAAAGGCTGGCACTTGGCTTCTCATCATCCTAAAGTCCTGAAATTTACAGAAACCCACAAGGTCAAATGAGATGATAATAAACAAGAAGAAGATCAAACCCCAAAAGGGTAATGAAATTTGCAAGTAGCATAATGGGAAAACAGGGCTTACTTGATCCATTTGAGCTTAAATTTCGCAACGTTGAAGAAACAGAAGATTTATGACCTCAGAGCCTCAAAGGGTTTTCAAAATGCGTTGTCTTTCTCTGCCTCTTTCTCTTCTCTTCCTTTTCTTTGCTGTGAATGTAAGCGTGGGTTTATGATAACCTATTTAAAAGAAAAGATGGGGAGAGAGAGAGAGAGAGAGAGAGAGAGAGAGAGGCAATAAAGTAGGGGTATGGGGATCCAAAGGCAGAGCAAAATACACAAATAGTACAGGGCACTGGTAAAAAAATGAAAGTAAAGTTAACCCAATAGAGAGAATGGATAGATAACGAAGTTTCACAGGAGCAGACAGAGAGACAGAGAGGTAATGTATGAGAGTAATGGTGGTAAGCTTTACCCTGTTTTGATTTCTTTTTAAATTCTGCCCTCTTTAACTTTTCTCAGGGCTATGCTTTGCTTTGCCTAGTTTGTCTCTGCTCTCATCTGATGCATATTCCAAAGCCTGATAAAGGGTCTTTGCTTCTGTTTTTAGTTTTCACTTTTTTTTTTCAATCGGGTTGATTTGTTTAATCCCATGCCAATAGGCTTTGGGCACTCTGGCTTTTCTTTGTGTTTTTTCAACCCCACACGCGTACCAGGGTGAACTTGGTGCTCTGTGCCTTTCAACTTTGGTGCTCCAACCGAAGTCACCAAGGTTAAATCAAAAGCAAAGTAAATGAATTTAAATATGTTTTTGGGTTTTTGGTTTTGATTTAAGACAAGTCAGTGGGTGTACATTTGTCAGTGTTCTGAGGTCAAACATTAAGCAGTGGCATCAGCATGTTGAAATTGCAGTCTTAAAGTTTCAAACTTGCAGATGCAGAAGCAGACAAGCTGATCAGGATAATGAATTTTATTGCAGCAAATAATAAGAAATCTATATAGCTTGGCCTAGCCTAAGCCTAGCCTAGGGAACAGGCAAATACGAAACATATGGAGGAGAGGGTCTGGCTTATTATAGGCTTTTGAACTCAAGTCTCTAAAAAATTTGGACTTTCATGCATTTGGTGGTATTTGCCTTTTGCTCTTTTGTTTTAAATATTTTTTTAATATTTTTTTTGGTTTGGAACTTGCAATTCCAATCTGTGACCTGATGGAAAAACAAAAGTCAGGAAACTTGTTCAATTGGATTGAACCAATAATTGTCATGGAGAATATATATCTCCATTCTAGGTTACGTGCGTCACAAGAATCACCACCGCAAAATACAGATCGAAAGGGAGCTCTATGTATAATATATATGCTGAGGGCCCTCTCTTTAGATCCCTGAATCTTTGTGTCATGAAGAAAGCAGTTTTTGCAGTGTTCCAGAAATGAAAAAATTATTCCCAGTCCCTTTCTTTTACTCCTTTTTCTTCATTATCGTTCTCAATTGTTAATTGTGTGATTAGTCAGCCATGTTTATATAATTGGGGTTTAATTAAACACCACTACAAAGGCAACATTCTAATTGAATGTATTTATATAGAAGGCATGCCATCAAGTTGATGAGCTAATGTCTCACTACTGGTCTGCTAATCATTAGCCAGTTGATCCAATTTGATTTTGGGGGAATCTGATTACTTAGTTGTTTGTTGCTTTTGTTTTTCTTTGAAGAAAACCACTCACAAATCCACAAATCTACTTTATTCATTTATTTATAAATATGTGTCGAGTGAAACATGGCATTGACTTGTAAACCAGTGGTCTTATGTTCGAATCTTTATGGCATCTTGGTAGTTTTTGTGTGTTAAAAACCTCCTCCCCTTACAGTTTACTATCACTTTTATTATTCGTTGTTCTTTTTTCAAATTTCATTCACAATAACTGCTAGATGCATTTTGTGCAAACTACTTCATGCATTTATTCATCAAACCTACTTGAATTTTACCCATCATATGCATTTAGTTTTCAAATCATATGTGTAAATACTGTTTTTCTTCCTGCAATTATAAATGAAACCTCATCATTAAATGCATTTCCATCTAACTCTCGAACGTTAGATGCAATTTAATACTAGCCTAACCTATTAAATTTTGTAGTTCAAATTTCTATGTACCCCACCCCACGACTCATTCATGCAGAAGCGCTCTGTCTACTTTTTTTTTTTTTTGGTTGGTCAAACGCGCTCTGTCTACTTTAAAGCTTCATGGTAATATTGTCCAACCCAAATAAATGCTCATTACACTAGAATGTTAAGGTATGATAGACACGGACGGATTTTTTTTAAAAAAAATTATGTTGATGACGTCAGGCTAACATCATCGCCCTCAGGCAACAGCTCGGGATGTTCTTGCCTTCGGGCCTGCTCAGGCTTGGAGGAGCCCACCATCTGCCCGGGTAGGATTGCTATGCTGGAAATGGTTTGTGAGACTTAGAAAGCCTTTTGCCTAGGCTAGGTTGCTGGAGTGGAAATGCTCTAATGAAGCCACTCACTTATATATTAAATTTCCAGCGTGACATTTTACATTCTTCAACATTCATGGTGTAAATCAATTAAATTTTTCTATGATGGTTGCAGAGTTGCTTGACCTAGATTAGTATCTACTTAGTCTTTGTTTGTCGAGCTTAACCCTTTCCCAAAAGAAAATTTTACATTTCGAAAATAATAAAAAAGTGCTAATTCGACTTCAGAAGAGAGAAATGGTCCAAATTTTTATTACTTTTTAAAAAAAGAGAGAAAATTGCAACTCAGTTTGCAGCTTGAGGACAGAAAATTGCACGCAGTCGTCCGAACAGATGTTCGTTTAATGCGCCAAGAAATGGCCGAACGACTAAGAGGGCCCAAAGATGGAACTAAAATAACTGGGAATGCAAATAACTTAGGCCCAATTAGGGAAGTTCTTCAAAACTTGTTTTCTTATTTTCTTTTGAGAGGCCCAAGTTTAACTATATTTCATTAGAAAAATTAGACTTTCGTCCTTGAATAAGACGATTTTCTAGTATTTGTAATTAGGTTTTAAAATATCTGTAAATACGAAATTGCAGGCACATTATATACGTAGGTACATTGGTATACCTATTGATATACTCATTGATATCTATAGTTTTGTACACATGCATATACTAGTATAGCGCTCAAGCGTTAAACAAGTTAGTATGTTAATACAACGACAATTACTCGTTCGGGTCAACTCCACAGTTTAATATCATGATCAGAACTCTTCACTATTTATCTAAATCAGAAATTATTTAGATATTTGATTGTTGTTATGAACTTTTCATTGTTTATTGAAGACTCTGCGTCTTTTTTTTTTAATTGGGAACTAATTGGATGAGAAAACACATTTCGTTTTGAGTGATTTTTTCCATGATAACTTTAAGAATGAAAGTTAACCCACACGAGTGGCCAATTACCGTATTAACTTATGGATATATATGTATTTGTGCTAAATAATACACATACAAACTAGCTCTTAGTTTAGTAGTATTTCTCTTTCCAATATTAAAAGAGGTTGTAAATTCAAAATCCCCAACGCCCATTAATTAAATAAAATTATAAATAAAAGACAACCCAATCAAAGGATTAATATCAAAATTCAACCAGACGTATGATTATAGCATTGCTCATCTCATAATTTCCAAGTTTCAACCAACACAAAACCCAAAACAAAATCCAAAAAGACAACCCAACTTATTCCTTTGCCTACCTAAAAAATCCAATCACGAGCTCACTTAAACCAGTCTGTGTGCTCCCCTCAACCCACAGATGACAACCAAAAAACCCCCACCAAAAGAAAAAAGAAAAAAAACCAAAACTATGTGGAAGATGAACCTCCCCGTGAATAAGAAAACAGCCAAAATTCCTTCACGGGCTTCAAATTTTGTGGCTCCTAAAACTCCTCACATTCTCTATAAATAAGACACCCAGAAAGAGTGAGCTTTACACCTAACTTCTTAAACCCTATTAATATTGGTAGTGATCTTAATAAGTTCATGATGGGTAGAAATTTGAAGTTGGTTTTTGTTTTGGTGGTGGCAATGGCTGTGTTGCTCGAAGGGTCGAGAGTGTTGGGTTTGTGCAATATGAGCGATGAAGGCTTAGCTTCTTGCAAGCCAGCGGTGGCAAAGGCAACACCAGAGAAGCCAAACCCAGAGAAGCCAACTCCCGAGTGCTGTGAGGCTCTCAAAGGAGCTGACTTGAAATGCCTATGTGGATATAAGAACTCGTTTCTTTTGCCTTCTTTGGGAATCGACCCTGCCCTTGCCATGGCTCTGCCTGCTAAGTGCAACCTCACCCCTCCTGCCGATTGCTAGGAGCTAAAGCTAAATCATCCACATCAAATATTTGTTTTCAATCTTTTGTGTGTGTGTGTGTGTTCGTGTTGTGCTGTGGTTTAAGCTTTTCTGTATCTTTCTTTGTTTTTTTTTTTCAATTGTAATTGGTTTGTCTCTAATGAATTCTATATTTTGTTTAAGAAAATGAATATGAAGTGTGGAAGCAACTTAACTAGGGCACTTATTCATACTCTACTTGTTACATCATCTGGCCGTATTTCTCGGAAACTTTTTTTTTTCCCATGGACCAAACTCTTTTTTGGCCTATGGGAATGAATGAGAAAGTATTGGCTTTAAACTAGGACCATACCATAGGATTTATTTAAACATGACCTGATTGATGACTTTTTGGTTGTGGGCCATTTCGGGAATGAAAACCCAACTGCGGATAAGGTTCAATTCAAAGCCCATATGGGCTCCATTAGGAAACGCACGGGCTCTTATTTATATCATATGGACACTTATACCATATGCTACATGTGTGGTATTTATAAGCGGGTAAACAAGTTGGTGCACGTAGCGTTATTATTCGGATAAAAGGTTGCAAATAGCAAACAACATAAAGACAAAAGCCTGAACTTTGGAGCTCCCTCTTAATACGCACTAAACTAAATGAGATGTTTGACAAAACATATTATAACTACAAATAAATTTATAATATACGTGACCAGAATTTATAAAGTACCAACGACCACAATTTTTAATTGATAATTATTAACAGCATAATGTTAATAATATTATAATTTCACGACCCTTTTTAGTCCAACATACTTTCAATTTACCAAAATAAAAATGACTTGGACAAGGGATTGGCCTCACGACTCACGAGACTCCGACCATGGATGGGTTCCAGCCATACCAATGCTCATTTGCTACAAGTCGTTCCGATTTCCCAAGCCTCTTTCTCTGGGACCACCACTGGTACTCACTCTTATCCAACCGCCATGCCCAACTAGATTTTTCAATCCCTCCAAGAAACACACACTACTCTACCTCTACGCAAAAAATTATAAAAATACCTAAAGTTGTATTCTAGAGACACGTGGCAAACGACACAATGGTTGCCGTACGACCGGCAGCATGAAGGTCGTCGTCTAAGCCAACCCCACCCAACTTCCTTTACTCTGAAACAGTACTCTACCCCGAAGCGAATGAGACAGAGCCTTCGTCCTTCCTCTCTCATTCGCCCAGCAACGTATTGAATAATCGAGTATAATAATATTAGACAAAGCTAAGCAATATCCACAGCAGATCAATGGAAATGTCACAACTACCCCTAAACCTGTCAACGGTGCAATAACTACAAAAGACCTACCCGCCCACGAACACTGCCATTGCAATGAACAGTCACTAAACAAGAAAATGGAAAAAGACGCATGCTCATAATTAGCATAAACTAAACTAATACTTAAAATAAAAGAAAAAACAAATTAGAAGTCACTAAACAAGATAATACTGATCATATCATATTTCCTTTGTTCAAAATAACCCGAGACCATGATTAATTGTTCAAAATATTCAAGGCAAGCTACGCTACGCCTAGGATCAGCCTAAACCTAACAGCTAAAGGGTCCACATTTCCTCCAGATAAAGGGTCCCACAACTTGATTAAAACAAACAAAAAACCAAAAGATTACACCGGAACCGTGGGATCTTCATGAGATTGGGTCAACTTCAGATCAGATCAGACGGTGACGGGAGCTTCCGACTCAGCTGATGCCTTCTTAGCAACTTGGCTGGTAAAGAACCAGAGAAAGCCGAAAGGGTCCCTGACCTTCCCCACAGGCTGCTCAGGGTCAGAGAAAACGCCAGTTGTTATCTCTCCCTCAGAGACAGCTCCGGCCAGCACGGCCTTGGCTACAGCAGCTCCGATGTCAGGCGTCTCAAGCCAGAGAGCAATGGCACCAGAACCCACAACATTCACGCTGTTCAAACAAAAATAAATTATTATACATCATAAAATCTGGAAATAAAATATCTCTGCTAATACTCAAAACCAAAATTCCAAAAGCAACACAGACGACTAGAGTTTAAATAGTTAGATCTATCATTTTAAACTAATTTTTGTAGACCACAAGTAGGTTACAACAATACATAAAGAATAAAAATAGCATCACAATGTTATTTATTTGATAAATACTTTAAAAATACTGAAGATAAAATAAAATAAAATAAAAACGAGCACACAGGTAAAAATACTAGCAAATATTATTTAAAAATGAGAGAAAATTAAAAGAAAATGAACATAAAAATACAAATACAAAATAATAATAATAGAACACAATGAAATAGTATGTTTTAAATCATTTAAATGCTATTTCAGCTTATCATATCATTTGGATCTAAAAGGATCTAATACTACATCACAAGTATTTCAAACATAGCGTAAAGGAAGCAGAGGGAAAGAGAGACGTACGGCTCGCCGGAGTCTTCAGTGTTGTCAGAGACGAGAAATGTGGAGGAGCCGAGCTTGAGCTGAGCAGAGAGGATGAGCGGGCGCTCTTGCTCCGCCTTGCGCTTGGGGTGAGTTGAGCGCTCGAGCTCCACAGCACCGAAAGCAGCCTTGTAGAACTTAACAGCGTCGTCGGCCTTGGGAACCACCAGCTGAGTCAGCACGGCCTTGATCTCAACAGCTGGCGCGACCTTCTCGCCTTCTCCGTTCTGGACGTCTTGCTGTGCCATTGAAGCTCAGAGAGTGAAAAAGCAAAAGCTGAGACGAAAAGGACAAAGAAAACCCTAACCCTAGGAGAGAAGAAGACGAAGACGAAGAACAGAGAAGAATGGATGAAAATGAAAAAGGCGTGGGGTCTGGGTATAGCGTGGGGTAGGTAATTTATAGAAGCGGGGAAGCGCAAGCGTTGGGGTGAGGATACATCGGGCATTAAACAATTGTTCGGGAACGACGTTACCCTTGAATTTGGAGGTAAATTACGGATTTTTACCCCTTGGCGTGTCGCGCATTCAAAACGATTTACATTTTTGGTTTTCGTGTGTTTGGACCGTTGGATTAGGATATCGACCGTCTCTCTCCGTCTGTTCAGTTTCTCATGACCTTTGGGGTAAATACAAAAAGATCATATATTTATGGAGACCTTAATAAAATAAAAATAATCGTCCACGCTGTGCCTAAAATCCGTACCTTCTATCCTTTGCTTTTTTAATGTATTATATTTTGGGTCTCAAGAAGTAAGGATCTATGGGAGCGAAGGCCCAAAACAAACGGGTCACATTTTGGTTATTTTATCATGCTCGTAGACCCCTCGACCAAAATGTGAAATAGTCTTAGGTATTTCACATTTGATGTATCGGATTGAATTAGACTATTTCAATTTAATTTGAAAAGTGCCCGATTATTATTTGGTAGGTTGAAATTGGAATTATTACATTATGCAACAATCCAACATATTGTGTCTTACAAGTCTCATCTAGAAAAATAATACTTAGCAAAACTAGCTCGGGTTCAATTCCAATTAATGCAAGCCGAGTCACCAAATGATATGGTCACACAATCATGTAAATATATAGATAAATGTATTACAATATGAATATATTAATAACAACACATGACGATGTGATGATCACAACTGATATACATTCAATTGTTAATTTGTACAATACTCTTTTTTCTTATTATTTTTTTTTTATAAAGTTTGAAGAAGAATGTTGTACGTAGGCAATTGTTGAGAATTTTTTAGGTGTTACTATATGCATGTTGGTCCCGTTCCATCCTCCCTCCCAGGCCGCTGACAAACTGTCTGGTTAAGGATTTCTGACTAGTTTCTCATGGGTTTTCGCAGTATTTATAATAATATTGGGCAGGGGTTAGGGTTATGAAAACTCATGATGCATATATGCTCTACTGCCTCCTTCACTTTTATCTGGGCTTTGGGTGGTTTTACTTTTACCTTTTCACCACTGTCCAACTCTCATTATTACCACTGCTGCCTTCACCTTTTGGCAGCGCAGGGTAAGCTCCCACGCAGATTCACAAGTTCTCACGGTTATTTCATGGTTATTTCTGGGAGATGATTAAAAAGGTCTTAACAGTTAATCATTGGGCTAATTAAACCCCAAAGCATGTATATTATTACTACTATTCAGAACTAGCTGTAATTTGACCCATTGGGTTTCTATCTATTTGTGTGGTTGGCTTGACTAATTGGGGCGAGCCCAAATTCAATATTGAAGCCTATAAATTAGATGGCTCGTTTCTTTTGAAGAAGTTCTCCTTCTCATTTATGACTCTCTTGTTTCTCATGTAAATTCCAACATGAAATTACTAGTCGTGAATGCAGTCTGATTTAGGTGAACTTTGTGCCTATGTTCTTTGTATGATTACCCTTTACGGTTTCAACAACGGGGATCAAATTTTGACATCAACAACATCCATTACATGAAGGTGACAAATGATGCACGAAAACAAGGCACAAATCAAAATACAAGTGAAAACAAAAATACATAGTACAATGCTGTATTGGGGCATTAGTGCATTTCTATCTTTCTTCTAAGCTCTTACTACTAATAAAACCGATGCCGAAAAGTGAGTAGGGTTGGCCATGGACGGAAGCTTAGTTGAAGAAGCAAATGATTTGATATGCAAGTTTGTCCCATTTTCTTGCTCCAAAACTTGTTGCCTGGCTTATAATGCATGTCCAATATGGCGACATGATTTTATTTCCTCTACTTTCAGATTCTTCTGTCTTCTTCTTTTACCTCTAGCATGGTTCATTTATATTGAAGCATATGAGGCTGAACGTCATTTGGAATTTCATATGATGCCAGCGCACCAAAAGAACATTAAATTATTCATATTTTTCACAAGAAGACAAAATATCAAGAGCCGTCTTAGCTCAGCCGGTAGAGCGCACGGCTTTTAACCGTGTGGTCGTGGGTTCGATTCCCACAGTCGGCGAGTTTATTATTTTGGTTTGTTTTTATCGCTTCTCTGGTTCTAACACAAAAACCCATCCAAAACCCCAAAACCATAGAATCCAAACAAGAAGAAAGGATGTTGCGGAGCAGCAACATGTTTCCCAGTTGTTCATACCCATCTGCACAAACTCTGAACCCAACCATTAATTCTCCTTCTCTCCTCTCTTTCCCTTCATTTTCATTCACCACTGTGTGCTCTCGCCACAACAATTTGCCCCAACCTCAGTTTCAAGCAAAGCAACCCAACAAGAAGAAGAAGAGGCAGATGCTGCGCTTCTGTGGGACTTATGAGGTGGGTGGAGGCTACCCAGATGAGGAATTGGGTGGGCAAGAGAAGAGCAGAACTACCCAAGAGCATGGCAACTCAAAATTGGACACTGCCCAATATGAAGCTCTTCTCAAAGGTGGTGACCAAGTCACTTCTGTTCTTGAAGAGATGATCACCCTTGTAAGTTTTTGCTCCTCTCTCTCTCTCTCTCTCTGTAGATTGGTTGCTGAGAAATTGGTAGAGAAGGAAATGATGGATAATTTGGTATAAGGCTTAGTTGAGTCAAATTTTGTATTAATTTCAGTTCATTTAAATACCTATTGTAAATGTGGAATTCATATGGTTTTCATCAAAATGATGATATATATTGCAATGTATTAACTGCACAGTTGGCTAATTTTGCTTAAATTGGATTATGCTGCTGTTTACTATCTGGAGGTTGCTTGCGTTTCTTCTGCATTTATCTCTTTTTGCTCTTTGTTTTGAAATCACGAGCCAGCTGATGCTTCATTTGACTGATTACTAGTTTTGTACATGTACAGTTGGAAGATATGAACATGGATGAGGCATCTGAAGAGGTGGCAGTGGAAATAGCTGCACAAGGGGTCCTAGGGAAGAGAGTTGATGAGATGGAGTCGGGTTTCATGATGGCACTAGATTACATGATCCAACTTGCTGAGAATGACCAAGATGATAAGGTTATATTTCAACTTTACATATCACACTAGCTTTAATGTGAGCTACCCTGCCCCAACTTAGATTGATCTGACAAGATTGAGCAATGAACACACACCAACCGTTATTTTTATCAAGTTTTAGTCAACCACATCCTATCATTTCTGTACTTTTTTCGGCTTGCACATTGATGTGATCTTTGGTCTCTTTCACAATACTAATGTTCCAACATTTGATATTGTATGTGTACCTTCATTTGACGATACATGTTTTTCTGGTTTCCTTTTTATTGACACCACTAATTAGGTTCTGTAATATAATGCTAAGAATGATGAATGATGCCTTTTCTTTTTGTGGGGAAGAGGGCAGGAGAGAGGAGGTAACATAAGTTTAGGTTTTGTGGTATGTATGGGTCGTGGTGGCTGAAGACTGTATCTAAAAGCTGGTTTTCGTGCCCATTGTTGCCACATTATGCTGGAAACTGAACCTCTTCTTAATTCATTGCAGCGGCAGCTATGATACTATTCATGGCTGCAAGCTTCAATTTCAGTACACGAGCTTTTGTGGCAACTTACACGCACTTTTTAGCCCCGCTGCAGTTTGAATTTTGCAATAGTTTTGTTTTTTAGGTAAAATCTAGCCGACGTAAAGCTGGCTGCTTTTTGGTCAAACATTCAAATACACCATGTTGTCGTATCATTTAATCTCTTGTGACCAAACATAGCTATGGATTATTTACTCAATGACTGTTTTGATCGTCAATGTTCAGCGCAAGTCATTATTGGAGGTGATCAAGGAGACAGTATTATCCTATCTTACGAAAAAATGCCCCCCGCATGTAAGGATTTTTCTTTAAGGCAAATTTATGATTATTGCTTCAGAGTAATGGCTAGTCTAGGCAATTGTGGTTATTGGATTCTAGTTTCTTTCACTTTACTTTTTTATATTATTTATTTCTAGGTTCAAGTGGTTGGCCTGCTCTGTAGAACTCCTCAGAAAGAAAGCAGACAGGAATTACTACGCAGAGTGGCTGCTGGTGGTGGTGTGTTCAAAAGTAAGAATGACATAAAAGTTCATGTTCCAGCTGCAAATCTTAATGATATTGCTAACCAGGCTGATGATATACTGGAGGTAATCACTGCAAATGCTATCTTCTGCATAAGTGCTTTTTTTGGTTATTGATGATATATGTATAGCATATTATTGCATATCATTCTGGGCACTAGCAGCAAACTTCCCCCTCTTTAGGGTTGTGTTCTGTCATTTGGTTTACTTGGGATTGTTGGAACTGCTCTAAAATGTTGGAACGAGGAAATAGTAATTTTAGCTTACAGACACTATACTTGTAATATGTAATGATATTCAGTAGCACTAACTATGGTCTTTTCATGCTTTAATGTCTTATTTTGTTTCGTGAAGTTTTATTAATAATTCAAGTTAATATGAGCCTATTTTCATTTTTGGAAGACAATGGAAACTCGGCCTGTAGTTCCAGATCGAAAACTGCTTGCAAGACTTGTTTTAATCAGAGAGGAAGCTCGGAATATGATGGGAGGTGGATTACTAGATGAGAGAAATGATCGTGGCTTTAACACTCTTCCAGAATCCGAGGTCTGTATTTGTGCATTTATAAAAAGATTACAGGATACCCGGTTGATTCATTGGCCCGTATCTTTGTTTGGAAAATTTTATTTTAAGTTGTTACCATCATCCTCTGCCATGGGTTTGGCATGATTAAGATTCCTGTCAATGCAGGTGAACTTCTTAACCAAACTTGTAGCTTTGAAACCGGGGAAGACTGTCCAGGAGATGATAAAAAATGTAATGGAAGGAAAAAATGAAGGTGCTGATGATGCTAGCAGTGATGAGGAAGATACCACTGGTAGAGCGAGTGGAATTGCAGGAAGGGTGGGTATAATACAGTCCATAACTAGAACGTGTGTATGTTGGCAAGTCTGTTTCAACAGGGAACCGCGCGTGCACACCCACACACCGACACGTGTCAAAATAGTTTTCGGTTTCATATTATATTGACTCATTCATCATCATTCCCAGGAAAGCGTTACAGGACGAAAAGCTCTTCCTGTGCGCCCTGGCATGTTTCTTGAGACTGTCTCCAAGGTAAGAATTAGTTGATTCACCTATTTAACTAGTAAGTTGTAACACATTCATTTCAAGTCCTCTGGACCTCAGGATGTCTGACGACCATGGTGTGGTCGAGTTGGGTAACGTTACGTTTCAGGACAATATCTATATTTGGTGCTTCTAATCTAGAAGATACTTCATAACCTCTGGAGCATCTATGAGATTAAATGGGCTTGAGCTACTCTGATCGAGTTGACATATGCAGCAATCTCACTGTTTAAGATAAATTCCTGATTCATGCTTGGACTTGAACTTGCCAGGTCTTAGGTGGTATATATGCAGGAAATCTCTCTGGTATCACTGCACAACATCTAGAATGGGTAAAGTTTCTTTTTCTTTCAAAAGATTAAAAAAGTTGTTCTTTTAATTCTACGGCAATTGAATTACTGTCTTCAATTTTATTCTTAAGTTTTCTATCTAATTATTAGTTTGAAGAAGTCGTAGAAGTTATTTGTAAGATATGTCGTAGATTGCTTGAGGAAGTCATGGTGTGCAAATAGCTTGCCATATCATTACCCACAATAATTTCCTTCACTTTATAGCCATGTTATTCCACATTCTTCCGGTGAATCAATTCATTTTGTTCCCTTGTCTCTCACATACAGGTTCATCAGAAGACACTTGAAGTTCTTCAGGAGATAGCATTTTGAACTTTTTATGGTAGGTGCACCATCTCCGTTTTTTCCTAATCACGTGCCGTTTGAACGGAGAATTTTATTTAGCTTCGGTCTAGAAATTACCAATCTTTCCTAGTGAAATTCATCAAACTAATTCTTTTTTCCAATCTGTTGCCAATGATAATAGGAATCAAACACAAGTATGCCTGAAATCATACTTTGTTGAAAGGAAAGTACCCAGAATCAGAAAAACTTATGATGAAGATTCAAGAGTCCAATAAACATACATTAGTGCAACACCATGTGTGGTAAGGCCCCACAAATATGGATTTTGATACTTGCATCAGTGCACACATCAGTGGACCTCTTTGGTAATCATTCATATGCCTTGAGAAGTAGAAGCAAACACAGCAAGGATTGATCCACATTCTCCCCCATTCTTTATAAAGCTATTTCCCATGCCCTCTTCATGCCCTTTTTTATTTTTATTTTTTTGAATTTTATTTGCCTTTTGTGTAAAGCAAATATGATATGAAATGTATATACACTTTTCTACCCACTTGGATTTGGCACCACGCCTACCAATCTTGGCCCTCCCCCATGCTCTCTTGTTTGCAAAATCTCTTTGTTTTTGTTCATGGGATTAGCTTGGATTATAAAAAGCAGACTTGCCCACCTGCACCGTCTTTGCAGATTGGTGCCTCGCAACTATACGAGATATGGAAGTTTATGACCCACGAATCTGATTATACCTTAGTATATGCTCCCTATAAGAGATTGAATTAGGAGTATTTGATTAATTATATGGTGATTATTGAGCTGCTTAATGATTATGAATGAAAAGCCAAATATGACTATGCTCCCTTGATGAATTTTTTATACTTCATTTCACATGCTTAATTTAAATGATTTTCACCATATTTTAAGACTCGAAAGGAGAAGGCAAATACTAGTTACTATGACCTACGACTATGAGGTAATTCATGATGAGAATTGAAGTTGGTTTTACTACTTCTTTCTAGTACCATAACCCATAAAGATAAAAATTCAACGGCGGTGCATCATTCTCTCTTCGAAAAATCTCCTTTATGCAGTCATAATTCTTTTTGATACAACAAAGGATATTATACTTTAATATAATCTAATCTAAACTATTGAATTCGGGTACATAAATAAAGAAAGAAAAGGTAGGAAGTTATCATTTGGTTTTGATTTTTGGTCAAAGAAAAATTTGGTTGAGATAAGGAAAATAAAGAAAAGGTGGAAACTTATCATTTGCCATGTCTTAAGATTACAAGTAAATTTCATCCCAAACGAAAAAAGGGATTACAAGTGAACCAACCAACCAAGTGAGGCATTATGTTAATGTTTTGGAGGAAGGTGCGTACCTTTCTTCCTGCCTTTTTGAAACATGACCTGTTCATTTTTCGGTTAACAACTAAAGAAGGTTCAAAAGATAAAAAGTTATTGTTCTTGTTTCCTTTTCATACAAACTTTATAAATCACCAATTAATTGGTGAAATGACTACATTGTCGGAGGCATGTATCAAGCTAAAATGGTGAAGCTCTTGGGGTTGGTCCAAGTGATAAAAGAGTGAGTAGTAGAAAAATTAATTAAAACTGTTTTAGGTAAAGAGTTCGAATTTCTTCTATTATATGTAATAAACGAATAAATAAGCGATAGAATTCTTGACGCATATTTGGAAATTGGAAACAATGATCTAACAAAAGTAACGCCAAAAACATCTTACCCAACATGTAGCTTGCAAATTAATGAACTCATCTTGTTCTTGCCCTCTCACACAAGGATCACCTTCCTACAACAATTACCTCATGTGCTCTGTTTGGCATTTTATTTTTTCATTTGGATAAGTTCACTGAGAATTTGAGAATGCTTGAACCCTGTCAAATATGAATATCCAAACAGCCATTGTCTTATCAGCTCTGCTTTTTTAAAAGGCAAACCAACTTTTATATCCAAGTGGTGTGAGTGGTCCCCTAATTTGGCAAATGCCTATATCATCCATATATATATATTTCTTCAAATAAACGACCGACCACATTAATAATAGTATTTAATTCAATCCCCAGCTTGAGCTGTTGCAGTTTTGAGAAATCACTCAGTAATCAAGCAGTAAAACAACTCAAAGCCCAACTGAGCTAGCAAACTTGCTAATTAATATTGTTTAATGTTCATGTTGGCCTAATTGTTTATTAATCAAAGTTCAAAACTTGAACTTTGTAACGGTCTAAGCACAGTTGAAACTTGAAACTGTAACACCAACTGTACTAGGATGACGAGGATGAGGACATTTTGGTCATAATTTGAATTCTCCAACGACAATGTGTTTGTGGGTCCCCTCTCTTTTCCTCCATAGTTGGACATGATGGTCATTATTTTGAATTCACTATCTTCATTCAAAGGAAGCAACTTTGGAGTGTGACAGCTCTGCCCCGACCCAACTGTGTTGAGTGTTTGGCCACCCTCGTTTGAGCCTCCTCCTCCTACTTGTACTGCTTCCTCTGCTCCAAAGTTTCAAACTTCAAATAATTAAAGCCATAAATCGATTAAATAAAACTTGGGTTTGTGGGGATATCAAAGAGAAAGAGTAAAAGATTTCAGCTTTCAGCTAAGCTCAGCTCAATCCTTCATCTTCTTCTTCTGGGTAGCTCCAAAAATGTCGGGTTATGTTGGCATTCTGGTTTCAGATCCATGGCTACAGAACCAGTTCACCCAAGTCGAGCTCCGCAGCTTAAAATCCCATGTATGTTCGTTGTCCCTGTCTTTTCAGCATTTGGTATTTTATTTTATTTTTTATTGACATTTTTGTTGTTGGAAATGTGTGATGATGGTGATGAAGTTTGTGAGTATGAAGAGGGAGAGTGGAAAGCTCACACTTGGAGACTTGCCTGCCAAAATGTCGAGGCTCAAAGTTGTGGGATCAGAGAATCTCACTGACCAAGACAGGGCTTCTTTCATTCAAGATTTGCATCCCAACCTTGATGAAGATGTCGATTTTGAATTCTTTCTCAGGGTCTGTTTCTACACTTTTACTTCGAAGTTCAAACCCAATTGGGCAATCAATCAACTAAATAATGCTGAATGCCCTGTTTGTTATCTGTTTATTGTTTGGATAATGCATATAAAGTTGAACTGTTGAAGAAACTGAAGCTCAAGTTATTTATTTTAAGACCCATCTTCATCTTGGTTGAATTAGAAAATGGAGTTTCACAAGTTTGCAAAAATGGCAGGTTTATTTGAAACTCCAAGCTCATGCCACTGCTACAACAGGAAGTGGTGGAAAGAACAACTCTTCATCTGCTTTTCTCAAGGCTGCAACCACCACTTTGCTTCATACAATCAGCGAATCGGAGAAGGCTTCTTATGTTGCCCATATCAATAACTACCTTGCACAGGATGATTTCCTAAAGAAATACCTTCCTATTGATCCATCAACCAATGATTTATTCGAGATCGTAAAGGATGGAGTACTTCTATGGTGATTGATTGATTGTTTATTCATTACTGCCACTTTTGGTATCTTGTTGTTGAGTTTTTGTGGGATTGTGGATTGGATTTTTAGGGATGTGTTTCTTTGGATGCAGTAAGCTGATCAATGTGGCGGTGCCCGGGACAATCGACGAACGGGCTATCAATACAAAGAGAGTACTCAATCCGTGGGAGAGAAATGAAAATCACACTCTGTGCCTCAACTCAGCTAAAGCTGTTGGATGCACTGTGGTCAATATAGGGACTCAGGATTTCATTGAAGGAAGGGTATGCATACATGCCCTTTCATGTACATTATATAATTGGCACATGTTGTGCTACTGCTTAATTGAGTGGAGTGTTTTAACTATACATAGTTGCAATGGATACTGACCAGTATTGTCCTCTTTGTTTGCTTTTCAGCGTCATCTTGTTCTTGGAGTGATTTCTCAGATTATCAAGGTAAGATTTTCATGTTTATTTAAGTTTGTTTGGATATAAAGTTCATCAGCATGAAATTTGATTTTGTAAATTTCATGGACTGTATCTGAGCCATCGGTTTCCCAATGTCATGCTCTATAGATACAATTACTGGCAGACCTCAACTTGAAGAAAACACCTCAATTGGTGGAGTTGGTTGATGATAGTAAGGTAAGAGCGTCCTAATTCATAAGATACAGTGGCTTGGTTAAACCAACAAATTTTCTTATGTCTTCTTATCTTCAAAATCGACAGGATGTGGAGGAGTTGATGAGTCTACCACCAGAGAAGATATTACTGAGGTGGATGAATTTCCAATTGAAGAAAGCAGGATATAAAAAGATAGTCACAAACTTCTCCTCTGATGTCAAGGTATGAGAATAAGTTAATACTTTGTCAAGGTTGATGGACATAGCATTCCTTCTTTATTTAGAGAAGCAAATAGGAAAGGTGTAGCCACATAGATTTGACATACATTGCAAGGATATTGCTTGTGTTTGAGGGTATGACATATGTCTGTCTTGCAGGATGCAGAGGCCTATGCTCACCTCTTAAATGTTCTGGCACCTGAGCACAGTAATCCATCTGCATTGGCTGCAAAGAATCCTTTGGAAAGAGCAAAGTTAGTTCTTGAACATGCAGATAGGATGGGATGCAAGAGATACTTGACTGCAAAAGATATTGTTGAAGGATCCCCAAACCTTAACCTTGCTTTTGTTGCACATATTTTCCAGCATAGGTGAGAAATGAGAATTAACCCTACTTGAGCAATGTATTCCTTATAGAATGGCTACTTTCATAATGGTAAAAAGCTAAGTTCTACTCATTCACTTGTAGGAATGGGCTCTCAACCCAAACAAAGCAGATATCGTTCCTTGAAAATTTGGCAGATGACACTCAAATTTCCAGAGAAGAGAGGGCATTTCGCTTCTGGATGAATAGTCTTGGAAATTCAACATATATCAATAATGTCTTTGAAGACCTCAGAAACGGGTAAAAACTCATTTTGTTTTGAACTTTTATGATGATAAATGGTTAATATCGCTGTGTTTGTCTATCCTCCTAAACCTAAGTTATTCATATTCTGATCAACTTATTATAGTGTTGCACCTGGCGGCATGTATCTTCACATCACAACAAACCAAAATTCCAAACTATAAAATTTTCTAAAAACATTGAGATAATTGTTTAAATGTCATAATTGATGTAAACTAAATTCAAGTGCTTCCACAGTTGGACATTGCTAGCTATTCAAACTGATTGATCTTTAATTTCATTTGGAGCTGAAGTGAAATTGGTCCTCTGCAGGTGGGCACTTCTGGAGTCCCTGGACAAGATTTCACCAGGCATTGTCAATTGGAAGATTGCAAACAAGCCTCCAATCAAAATGCCATTCAGAAAAGTAGAAAACTGCAATCAGGTCGTAAAAATCGGGAAACAATTGAAGTTTTCTTTGGTAAATATTGCTGGAAATGATATTGTGCAGGGGAATAAAAAGTTAATACTTGGTAAGTCCGCTAGAATGCTTATGGCTAGTGCATTCAAAACACAGGAAACTATTGGTATGCTTATTATATGCTTTTACTTTTCAGCTTATTTGTGGCAATTGATGCGGTACAACATCCTACAACTACTAAAGAACTTGAGATTTCACTCTCATGGGAAGGAAATCACTGATGCTGATATTCTGGAATGGGCCAACACCAAAGTTAGTAGCACAAGAAGCCATAGCCGCATGAATAGTTTTAAGGTACCATTTGTATTTCATGTATAATAGTGATGAAAAAATAAGTAGAAAAATAAGATGCACTTCTTTTGCCTGATATTTCCAAACATTAGCATGAAACAGTAGGAATATATTTCATCATAAGTTACTGTTTCAATCTTTCAGGATAAGAGTTTGTCAGATGGCACTTTCTTCCTTGAATTGCTTAGCGCTGTGCAGCCTAGAGTGGTAAATTGGAGCCTTGTTACCAAAGGAGTAACTGGTATGTTTCCCTCTTATTTTCATGTGGTAAAAATTCAAGTTCTTCTGTTGCTTTGATGCCTTATGTTTTCTTTAATTTCTGAACAATATAGATGATGAGAAAAAGATGAATGCCACCTACATCATCAGTATTGCAAGGAAGCTGGGATGTTCAATATTTTTGCTTCCTGAAGACATAACTGAGGTACTTTTGGGATCATACCTTGGCTTTGTTTTAAACTACTAAACTTTTCATCAATTCCTTTTTCTGATAAACAATTTTGTTTTCGTCTCGTCAGGTGAATCAAAAGATGATCCTTACATTGACTGCAAGCATAATGTACTGGTTCTTGAAACAACCTGTTGAAGACAGACCATCTGGGATTTCAGATAGTGAGGGTTCCAGCCAACTGGAGACAATCTCCAATTCCACAACTGATGACTCTGCTTCTGAGTCATCAATGGAGGAGCATGGAAATTTATAAACATGCTAGGATTGGGAAACTCTTACCAAGTTTCTATTTTTAAGCTCATGAGTTTTCTCTTCCCTTTATTTTTATTTTTTCTGTTAAAATTGATTGCAAAATTGATTGCAAAATTGATTGCAATAATCAATATATGTAATAGTAGGAATTGAAGTGTTTTCTCAAACCAAATTTTGTTCAGGCAGCATATGTGAATAGCCTACCCATTTGTATTATTTAAATGACATTTTGATGATATGGTCCTCTGTTGTTGTAGCATTTCTGTCAATTCAACCAATTTGGTTAAGGCTCAAAATGCAATTGTATATTAATCTTGCAACAAATAATATGACCAACCAGTTTGATGGCCTTTGATGAATATTAAATTTCTTTTTTTGGCCAAAGATGATTACTAAGGTGGAAAATCTTGCTGTACAGAAGCCCTTTGTAGGGTTTTCTGTTTGTTTTTTCTTTTTTTCTTTTTAGCAATCACAAATAAGATTCATGGGCTTGTTTCTGTTTGGTTTGGTAAGCTTTCATAGTCCTTGTTTGATAGTGGATTAACTCAAAATGGGTCATGATCTAATTCAATATGGTAGTTTTCAAAATTTTCTATGGGGTTGTTGTCTAATTGTCATTACAAAACATCAACTAAACACTGTTACGTCATTTGGTGAATATAACTTTAATTAAACACTGTTACATTATTTGGTGAATAAAATTTGGTGTTCGTAGCGGCCACGATGACACCTGTGAGTGACTCATCACAAGCCAGTGGTGGTCCTGACAATAGCAAATTGACAATGCATAAATTAACAAGCATGTGGATACTCCTGCTTATTATCTCAACACACGAAGCTTAATTATGAGTTTGTTAAAGTCTAATACTAAAGCTTTGGTTTGTGTATGGCCATTTGAAGGCAAGCCAGGCCCACCCCATATTAATTCCTCAAGCTTTGCCATTGAAGGCCAAAACAGAAACTCCATGTTTGTTCTGTGCATTGCCTTTTGTTTTGCATCTCTGTCAATCACTCACTTGAGCATACATATATTTTCTATTTTCCAGGGGTTCTATTTTAATTAATTATTTTTAAGCCATGCCATTAAAATTAAACTATCTTCAGCTGTCCCGTGGGATTTTCATGAGACCCAAAGGACAAATTAAACAAAAGACATAACTTTTCAACGTGTTGAGACGTGAGAGGGGCACACAAAACAGACATCGATCACCATTTTCGCTCTTTAATTTCTTGCTTTCCCACAGAGAATAGTGTAATTCAGCATCTTCCAATATGGAAACCGTTCATATGAACTATTTATGTCTACATTTTTTGTTGTTGCCATAGTTAAGAACGGAGAGGGGGTGAGGGGGTTTTCTCACACATATAGTGTCAAAAGTGTTATGAAGGTTCGAAACGTGAGACCACTTGTCAAGGGCCGTTTTCATTGGATTACACTTGTTGACCCTTTATATCTACATGTTATATCAATTATCATGACGAACGTAGGGCGGAGCCGGCCTTAGGCTAGAGTGGACTCCAATCGTTTACAAATATTTAGAATAATAGCAATTAGTTACCCTATTTCCGCAAAATTAGTCCACTTCACCCCAATAGCTCCTTAAGTGAAAAAGGAAATTATAGTCCACGCTTTTATTAAAAATTCATGATTCCGCCCTTAATGGTTAATCAAAGCATCAACTATCACATTATTATTATGGAAAATGCTAGGCTTACCACATTTTTCATACCACATTCATACCACCTCTCTAATAGAGGTGGGCCCCATTGTATTGGTGGGCTCCACCTCTATTAGAGAGGCGGTATGAATGTGGTATGAAAAATGTGGTAAGCCTAGCATTACCCTATTATTATTGGTAAGATAATTATAAAATGTGATTAATCAATTTCATCTAGTGTTATTCGTGGTGGTTCAATCAACCACAAGCATATTCGTATATTAGGCGAACTAGCCCTTAGGGTGGCAAAGGTGTTATTAGCTATGGGGTCACTCTGAGCTATAAGTACAAATTCACCTGCCTCTCTCTCTCTCTCTCTCTATCTAACACATAGGGACTTAAAAAACTTAGGTACTTAACCAATGATGTATAAGTTATAATATAAAAATAAAATTTTAATTTATAAAAAATAAAAGATCAAATCTTGAATGTTACTTTTGTCACCAGCAGTCATAACGAATTAGATTTTAAAATTGTTATAAAATAATACTAAAACTTATATTGATTTGCAAATTCTCACTTTCCTCATAAATATTGTCACTTCACATGATCAACGGAAAACCTATACGTTATCATCAAATTCAAAGCAGTACACTTTTACACCAGTAGCTAGCTCTCCTTTTTATGGGATCTTGGTAAAAAGTTGAAACTTATGAGGGGAAATGTTCAATATGCATCTTGTCATTTCATTTGGTTCAAATCCTATATTAGGAGTTGATCGTGTTCTCTTTTCCTGTATAGAAACTCTTAATATAGGATTTTAACTCATAATATATTGTCGTTGAAAGAATTCATTCTAGTTTTAGGAGTCTGAATTCTTTCAATGACATTATATTATAGGTTAAAATGCTCTACCACTAAAACTAGAAGCCTCAATGACATCTGCGGTTGCCTTCCAACGTGAACAGAATAAAAGTGACACATGACATACAAGGCACATACCATTACATGTCGGCCGCCGGCCATTGCTATCATGTCATATACATCCACCACAATATATAGCTAACCAACCATCACCATGCACTAAATATGTATATCATGTCATTGGCTTATAAACCAAAAGGAGACAAATTCGAATATAAAACCGAGAGAGGGATATAAACATCAAGTTAGTGAGAGAAAGATGCATAACAGAACAAAATGAAGAGAGAAAAAAAATTAAAGGCCCCATAATCCAAGTGGGTAAATGGAACCATGTGCGCTCATATGCTGGTTGGTCCTTTTGTAGCCCCACGAAGCCTCCTTTTCACCTCCAAAACTCATGTTGAATATGAAAGAGGCTACAAACTTATTATTCAATTCCATTATCTCTCTCCATCTCTAATTTAATTAATAATATTCATATTTAATTTTATTAAAGGTTGATTCTTCAAGTCTCCTTCCTCTTTACACCTCCCATTTCCAATATTCTATCTCACTCTCTCTCTCTCTCTCTCTCTCTCTCTCTCTCTCTCTATCTCCCCCACTCTCAAATCCTCTTTCTTTTCCCATTTCCCTCTCATCATCTCTCTTCCTTAAATTGCCCAATCACATTATCCCTCTCTAGATCTCCTGTAGTTTTGGGGTAGTTTTGAAGGAGAGACAGTGTTGTCAGAGTTCACAAACTAAATTCTCTCCTCTTTGTCCTGGTAGTTTGTGAGCAAACTGGACCCCTTTGTGTCAGAAGAAAATCTCTTATCTTGTTCATTTGTCTTTCCTCCTAAAAGTTCACCTCTAGCTTTCTAATTTCAAGTACCCCCAAGCCCAACTGAACTCTTCCATCAAACCCTAATTTTGTTTCCCCTACAAACATATATATATATAGAATCCCATGAATTCTCCCAACCCTAATTCACTGAAGTATAGGTTCACCAAAGGCTTGCTCAAAGCCCTAGCAAGAATAAACAAGCATCAACCCAGATCATCATCATCTTCTTCAAGAGAGATCCAGCGACGATATAGGAGAATTAAGACTGCTGCATATGCATCCATGGCTTGTGCTGTAGGGACAAGAAGAGCTTGGAGCCGGGAGTTGCTTTGGAAGATCCGAAACCAAGCACGAAATGGAGGAGTTTTGAGGAGAATTGGTAGTACTAGTAGTACTAGTGCTCACCACCCCATGAAGAAAAGATCTCAGAAGAAGCCGGTTGAGGCGGGTTTAGGGCGAGTTGATGAGCTGCGGAAGGTTGTACCTGGAGGTGAAGGCATGGATACTTGGAGCTTGTTGGAGGAGACAGCCCATTACATGAAGTGCCTTACCACACAGGTAAAGGTGATGAGGACAATTGTGGCAATTTACTCTACTACTTGAGTGTTGACCCTAAATCCCTTACAGGAACACACAAAAAATACAAAAAAAGAGATGTATAATTATTATGTACTTGATCTGGATATGGTAAAATAAAATAAAAGTGAAAGAGGATATACAAGGAGGATATATATATATATATATATATATAGGTATGAAGAACTACTCGTATTTGTAAAATTGGGGAGATTTAGTGATGTTAATTATTACTTCTGTTCTTATATTTTTGTGTATGTGTGTGTATATATATATATATTCCAATCGTCTTGTAGTTATCTTAATTTTTCTTATTTGATATTTCAATTTTGAGCTTCTTAAATTGCATTTCTTGATTAGAATTGCAGATAAACAGGTACAGAAATTGAATGGATCCTAATTTCAAATTAAGATATATCTACAAATAATACGCTAATTTCTTTATTTCTTTTAAGAACCACCAAGAGTGGCCCAATGGTTTGTTCACCATTTGGGTAAGGCTCTGGGGTTCGATTGGGTTTGCTCCCCAGTTCGAGTCCCGGTAGTTGTAACATCTAGTGGCCAGCGGCAGGTTCAGTTCCGCAAGTGGGGATTAGTCGAGGTGCGCGCAAGTTGGCTCGGACACCTCATGGTATTTACCAAAAAAAAAAAACAGACCCGGCAGTTGTAACACCTGGTGGCCAACGGCAAGCTCAATCCAGCGAGTGAGGATTAGTCGAGGTGCGCGCAAGCTGGCCCGGACACCTCATGGTATTTACCAAAAAGAGAGAGGGCATGATGAGTACAGGAGGATGGGATTGGTCAAAGAATCCATGTGACCCCGTGATTTGCTTTGTCCAGTTATTAGTACTCATATCTTTTCGATATGTCCTTCCTCTCCTACCACCCGCTTCAAATCAAAACTATCACGGAAACAAATCAATCTTATTACTTTGTAGACAGGCTTGCTTGCTTCACATGTCTTTATAAATTAACTGAAAAAATAAGATCATAAATTTGAAAAAAAAAACCTAGCTATAGCATGCATATGCCTCAGTCGTGGAGATTTCGCAACGATTCGGAATGCAGCTCTCATGTTTTGTTTAGTTACTATACACAGATAAGATAAGGGGGCGATTTTGTGCGTTTTTAGTTTCTAGAGTTCTTTACTTGTAGCTACGGACATTTTAGTTTGGGGTCCTAGAAGACTTGGAGAGCTTTAAGATACATTTGTTTGAGTATATTTCGAACTAAGCATTCTATGTATACTTGAGGACGAAAACTTTACCTCACTGATGTAGAGCTGAAAACAAAAGTTATGATCTCTCAAGTGTTTTGAATTTGGATTCTCTTCCCACTCTCTCAAACCCTGCTTTCATGGTATCCTTCTTAATTTGGATTAAGTAAATAAAAGTGCTAAAGGAGATCACATTTTTAAACTATACTATAGTTAACCATATAATGAGTCAGTTAATGTGTACTCGTTACATCAATTATCATCACGATCATCTCATGTGATCTAATGTGGTGTAGACCTATATATGTTACCTCTAAATGAGGCATGCACAAATATAAATAGGAAGAAAGAAAGAAGGACTGAGCGTGGATCAGTATCAAAGACAAGCCTATAGCTCACTCCCTCGATGGTTTATGATAAGGCTAACTCAACTAGCATAAACATATATCCAGATAATGTAGCCCGATTGACCTTTTGTTTGTGTTATGTAGAGGAAGATATTGTTGATTTGCCAATGAAAATGATAATCTCTACAGATAGTTAATTAAGATACAGTCAGATAAATAATGTAAATGTGTTAAGAGCTTGGAGCTTAAGCCTCAAGTAACTTCTGAAACTTGGAGCTTAATGAAGCTTGCTGCAAATGTCCCCATTAATTCTTTGAACTATTGCATGGCCGACAGCCAGCTGTGGAAGCTTCTACAGATTTGGAAAAGCAAGCAGAGGAGCATAGAGCATATGCTTTTGACTACGTGATGACAACCCAACAATTAAAAATGTCATGAAAGATGCACCGAATGACCATACTATTGTAGTATTCTATAATCACTCTCGTGGTTTGTGGAGGCGACTAATTAAGCTCATTAAACAATAAAGCCAGTTTTATAACTTGTTGGCCAACACCAAAAGGAAGAAAATTAAAATTAAAATGAATCTATGCAGTATGTCAACCCCATATTTGTTCTTGTGTGAGAAAATTAAATATTCGTACAAAATAATAAAAAATATAGAAAAGTTGATAGAGGTCCAAAAATCCAACCAATAGTTGGGCCTAGTCCTCGAATTATTGTTTGTTGATACAAGTCCTTTGACTAGTTTGTCATGTAGATTACATTCCATTTTTGACATGCTGACTCAATCTTTTGTATTTAACTGATTTGTATTTAAATTTTTTGTTCCTATTATATCCCTATTGTCTAAAACGGGTAAGATGAGGATTTATAAGCCATTAATGATTAGATTTCATCATGTAATTAAAGGAATAATTACATTTTGAATGTAAATGTCGGACCTATTGTACTCGTTTATTTCTTCATGAACTATTAATATTATTCTTAAATTTGATAATCCTATTCTTCAGGTACAATACCCTACTAACCATTGAACTTGATACACCTATCTAATAGGTATAGAACATATTTGATGCACCTCAGTACTAGGTAAAACACATATTGGATGCACCTCAATGCCAGGTAAAACACATATGTTTAAAAAAGAAGAAGTTATACCTCCATACTAGGTATATTAAAAAATTAACATTATGACAAAAAAATTCCATAAAGAATTTTGAAAAACTCAATATATAAATTTATAGCTAAAAGGTAGGTATATGCTACCAATTTAATAAAGCTACGAATATAGAATTCTAAAAAATATCATATATGTATATAGCTGAAATTTGAATTAAATAGGTTTTTAATCTGTGAGCCATGAAATCATCATTTAAATTGAATGTCATAAGCTTGATTGTAGGAGAAAACTGATATTTAAAAGTGGTATTTGCATGTACTTGCCATTTTCAACCAATGTCATATATTGTAAATGTCTCGAATATGGTGGCTACAAGGTTTGCTTACCTGGCCATACAATTGATTGGGAGGACCGCAATTGAAGAGAGTCCAATTAGTGTCCTGCATCCGTTGTATGTAAATGAAAATGGACCCATATCTAAGAAGCCCTAAAAAATATTCTTGTGTGTGTGCTCAATTAATGAGGGTGCACACACCAAACACACTGAGTCAGCGTGCGCATTAGTGGTCCAAACAATGCCCTAATTAATTGAGAGAGGTAGGCGTACATGTGTTGATCCAACTTAATTTGAATACTAATTAAGCCTAATTATGAGTTAGTTAATCAGTCTAATTCTAGAGCTTGGTGAAGGGTATGTCATGTAACTTAGGCCCACCCATGTTCTTATTTTGCTAGTGATCAAAGTGCAGCACTGGATTATTAGGTTGAAAAGCTCCAATCAAGTGTGCGTTTTGGCATGCATGCATATCTGTCACTTTGTTCTTTAGAAGTTATTTAAGGTCCTTTTTAATTTGGCATATGATTAAAGTAATTTTTAAAAAAAGACCTTAGGGAAATAAATTACCCTAATTAATGTCAACATCACTTTCACGGGGAAATTAAAAACTAGATATGCATTGGTTTTCATGCTCCAAGATTATGTAATAGAAGATAGATTGATGGCTGCCTGCTGGAATTGAAGTGGAATGCACTTATTAGGTTTTAGCTATAGTAGTTTTTACTATGCAACGGTCAACCTTCTTACTTACATCACGATTTTATATAAGATTCAAGTTGTACAATTAACGGTCCTACATTCGTGCAAGATTTATTTAATTTCTTATGATCCTTATTGGAGACATGTGATCCTTTAAACACCACCATGCATTAGTATATATGTATATATATACAAATGATATTAGAGGAGTTGAGAATCAAATACCAGTCTTCAAGTGCATAAGTGAATGTTCTTGAAAACGTTACTTGGGGGAAGGAGATTCGAATTTGGATGCAAAGGCGCAGACTCATTGCCTTGACCAACTGATCTAATTCACGTATCTAAATTAACGTAATTTTAAAAATATACTTATTTATACAACAATATTAATGCAAGGAATGGCATTCACCACCATCTTTATACCCTAAAGTACTGCGTTTAGTCTTGGTCACTAGAACATGGCATGATCATCACCAATTCCACCCTTTGCCGCCACCATTAGGTCACTGATGACCGAAAAAAACACAAATTAAAAATGTTGCAAAGTTGGCGTAAACAGGTATGCAACGATTTACTAGGAAATGTATATATAATCAATCCATAAAAGAACAAAGTGACAGGAAATGGAAATTAAGGCCCCACAATTAATCCAAGTGGGTAATGCAACCATGTGCTCTCATATGGTGGTTGGCTCTTAGCAACCCCACAAAACCCACTTTTCACCTCCTAAACCCCCAAAGCTAGAGAATACCCAAGAATAATTAATATGCAATTATTTGTAGTATCCTAAAGAATTGATTCCTTGGTCTCTCACTTCCTCTTTATACCCCCCAAAATTTTATCTCTTTACCTCACAAACACAAACACAAACACACAGACATTTGTGTCAGAACATGATTCTCCTTTTGTCTTTGTGAGCTTTGAGAGCAAGGAGGACCCTTTGTGTCAGAATAAAATCTATATATCTCCAATTGTTTGCTGGTCTTTTGGTCCAATATACCTAACACCCAACTCTCAATTTCAAAACCCTATTTCCCAAAAATCCTCATTCTTTCTTAGCCACTATGAATCCAAAGAGCTTGTCTTTGAGGCCTAAAACAAGTTTGAAATCTAGGTTCACCAAAGGGTTTCTTCAGGCCTTGAAGAGAATACACAGGCAAAGATCTAGGTCACCAAATGTATCTTCTCCTAGGGAGATGTGTAGGAGATACTTGAGTGTTAAGATTGCTGCTGATGCATCCATGGCTTCAGCTGTTGGGTCTAGAAGAGCTTGGAGCCGAGCTTTGCTTACGAGGATTCGAAGCCATGGGGCTCCGCGGGTTTATAAGTACTCAGCCAGAAGAATTGATAACAGTAAGAAGAAGAAGAAGAAGAAGAAGTGCGAGGATGGTGAGGAGATTGGTGTTATTTGTGAGGCGAATGAGCTTCGAAAGTTTGTGCCAGGTGGGGAAGCCATGGATATTTGCAGCTTGTTGGATGAGGCTGCCCATTACATAAAGTGTCTCAACACTCAGGTAAAGGTGATGAGAAGGATTGCAGATATTTACTCTGCTGCTTGATGACCATTGATCAGCTATGTTCTTAATTGTGTGGATTGGTTTATATATAATAATTACAATTTCAATCATCCAAAAAGAGAACAATTATGATATGAAAATTGAAGTTGCAGTGTAACCATGGAAGCAAAATAAAATGAAAACAGAAATATGTAATGCAGCTCTAGAAGTTGTTGATTTTTATGTGGGAAGCTGATGGGTTTTGTGGTTTTCACCAAGTAATCCATCTGTTTACTTGGATTAAGAGAGTTGTTATTAGAGAGAGAGAGAGAGAGCATCTTGTTAAATGTGTTGATAGAGGATTAAGAGTCCAAGTAAATCATGATTATGCTTTGATTTCTCCAAGTAATCCATCTGTTTACTTAGAGGGTTGTCATCCAATTGTTTCATGTACAGACAGATAATGATTTCTTTATCCTAACCATATATGTTTTGGCCTCACTCTTGAATTATTCATTTCTCTTGTGGGTAAAAGCTTCTTTGAAAGTACAAGCACAAACTGTATATTTGTGTCAAAACGTGGGTTTTTTCTACCAAATTTTAGTTCAATATATCTAAACCAAATTAAGAAAAAGATCTACTAATTTCTGATCAATTAAGTTCAAATCTGTTGTCCAAATTGTTTGTCTTCTCCGTATTCTACGGATTAGGAGCGATTAGTTATGAGGTGTTACTATTCTACCATTTTGTGGGGATTTGATGAGATAAGTTTTTTTTTTTTTCCATAAGTAATCCATCTTCTACATTCAACTTGGTAAAAAAAAAAATTCATTTCTTTCAACATACCTTTGATTTAGTGACTTATCCAATCCAATCCAATCCAATCCAATCCTAGGCACCAAACGAGCCCTATAGAACTATAAGTTGTTAACCCCCAATTGAGCTAATGCTAAGTGCAATACAAAAGTTTATAATCAAATTTGAAGACATGCATCACAATATTTTCTGCATGGCCTCTTCTTTGTATGTTCATCATATTTAAAATATAAAAGAAGTTTCTCATTTTACCACTATCCAATCACAGATGAAAAATTGATCAATATATCAAATAATTTCACTACAAAATTCTTTGTTCTTTGTTATAAAGAAAAAAACTATATCAACCAATTCAAAAATATATCCCTATCCAAGTATCAACGTACATGTAAACAATAACAGGCTGCTTAAAAAGATAAATCAACAGAAATTAATTAACTGAAAATTATGATTAAATTGAGTTTTCAGCAACTTTCATCATAATTTTCAGCAATATATTCCATATCTTCTTTGCATTTTTCAAGTCACCACTCTCTGCACAGTTCATACACACCTGCAAGTATTGTAATATGGAAGCCGTTTTTTTAATGGAGCTAGCATCGTCAGCCGTTGATTGTAGGGTTCTTCAATGCAGCTGCTGGCTAAGAAACTGAAGCCATGGTTGGTTTTGTTAGTTTTCAGTGCAGAGCTCTAATTCTAATTTTCCAAAATCGATTCTGACTTGGGGCCCAAGTTGGGAATGTTACTTGGGCAGCAAGAGAAGTAGCTTTTGCTGGTCAGCCCACCAGCCCGTCAGCGTGTGTATCAAAAAAGTACTAAATTGAAAGTACCACCAGACACAAGTTTAAATATAGAGAAGAAATTTCAGTAGTAACTTGAAAAAAGGCAAATTGATTGGCCTCTGGGCAACTTGTAACCCAAAAAAAAAAAAGGGGCAAAATGCAAGCATGTTGATGACAATGCACTATACAACCCAAATCATTTTTTTTTTCCCTTTGATTGTTTACAAAGTAGCAAGATGAAGAAACAGCCTATATTATAAAGAACTTAACAACTTTACAACTCTAGCCTAAACTATTGTTTTCCCGCTATCTATATTCTGGCTCCTGATCCTCTGTATGCAGTATTGCTTTACAGCTCAGTTGAAGTGGTTCAGCACGGCCACTACCGATCCCTCTTCCATGTCCTTCTTTGTTATGTTCTGCGTTATTATCCCTGACCCTGACCATCATCGGTACGCACTAAATTAGCCCATCATCGGTATGCACTAAATTAGCGTTATTGTATGCCCCCCTGAATTCTCTGATTGTTGCTTTCACTACTAAGCCTTCATTGTAGAACCAGTTTGAGGCATCAGTAGGGAAGGCAGGTCTCTAATTTGAGAGCCGGTGCCCCAGAAAGAGGCAAGAAAAAGGCCCACGATAGCCATGGCAACAACCGAACATGCTGGAGGAACTGCCTGGCTGCTCCCAAGGAACTGGCTTGCCAGGAGACCTGCCAGGGTGGAGCTTTGCATTCCTGTGCACAAGGAAAGTGTCCTGCTGACTTCTTCTTCTTGCCTGTTGTGACAACAATAAAGATCATCTATAAGGGGACATGCGGATATTAATTACTGTCATATTAAAAAGTTTCAGAAATGTAAAATTCCTCGGAATCAAAAGCTGCTGCTCAGGGCAGTTAAATACCCCAGCTAGATTAATGACTACCCCTAGAAACTATTCGTAGAAACAGAGCCATTGTCAATACAAACTGAGTAATAACTAGAAGTCAATCACAAAGTGAACATGGAAAACTCAAAAGTAAAAAGAACAACAAAATTTTTGTTTTGGACCTGGGTACAAATTACAATTATCAAATATCCATGCTGTTTGCAAGAGCATGGAGGGACAAGATAAGCCATTACTTGCGTACTATAAAGTTCAATATCATTAAGGCGGAATCAAAATCATCAAAACAAGGGCAATGGCTACTTATTATCATATCATGCCAAGGCCCGCAAATCTTCATCACCATGGACAAGACATGACTTCCAACAATGAACTTTAAAATTCTAGGGGAAAGGAAGATTCACCTCAAACTTGGAATTTTGGATACCCAGTATCCAACCGTGAAGGCCACTGCGTGAAATGCTATAACTGGAAAAATCAATCGGAACCCCTCTGCAGACAGAATTTGGCTCCGATTAATTGCAAGAGGACTGCCAATGCACATTGAAGTGCAAATCATAGCAACAACTGGCATCACTGGTCCAAGGAAATTGACAACTGGTTTTGCATAAGTATTGAGCACAAGGCCAATGGTTACTGGAACAAGAACCACCTAATAGGTAAACTAAGAATGTCAAAGAAATGCATATTAAGCATAATAGAGGCAGAAGCTAAAACGACTGCATTAGTGAACTCCCAATTACCTGCAATATTGACTTTGACATGGCAACAGCATCGACTGGAACAACAGAACCAATTAAAAGGCCACTTAGTAGAGGCGTAACAATCACTGAGGCAATGGTGGTGGTGCTGGTGAGGAGAATGCTCAAGGCCACATCGCCTTTGCTCAAAAAACTAGCATAGCTAGATAGCTGAGCCCCCGCAACACAAGTGGTGAGGACAAAGCCAGCGTAGAAAATCCTAGACACGCCAAATGCCTTTGCAATCAGTACCCCGAGAACCGGTTTCAACACATACTGTGCCATAAACCCAATAGAGAGCGGTAAAGGTCTGCAATAGATGAGAAGTAAAGAATATTGGGACAGCTCACTCAAACTCTTACAAGCAGACTAGAATAATGACAGTAAGAAGAATATATACACAATGATGAATAAAGATATTACCTTTTGAATGCAAGAGCAAAATCATCAATGGAAAGTTTGATTCCAATAGAGAGCATGATCCCACCAAGAGCAGGGGCATATAAATCCTTAGATACCCTGTATTAATTTTGAATTAATACATTGCTGAGCTGATGTAAAACTTGAGAAAATACAGTCTTTTTGGCATGTAATCTGCTGAACAAATTGAAAAAAATCTTCAAATAGAAAAACTAGGTACCCAGAGTCCCTCTGGTGCCAAAAATCAAACACATGCAAGCAGTCCCAGCTCCTAACTTTTATGTTTTAAAAACCACACAGGTAAAACTTCAGAAATTGAGAGGTAAATGAAATGATGGATTATAGAAATTGACATAACATTAACATATACAAAAGGGTATCCAAAAATAGTATTAATTTAAAAAGTTAATCCCTCAGAACCCCTTGCCCAGCAAAAAAAGAATATTTCTCTATCCATATATATAAAATCATCCAACTTGGACTTACAAGAAACAACAAAAACAGAATCCCAGTGCTTAATTCCTCAAGAATTCGACATGCAAGCATTGAAAGGCTTTTAAAAATTCAAGAAAACAAGACCCACCAAGTGAACGTTGAAGGCTGAGCCAGAGCAGCAACAGCAGTGGCAGCAACAACAAAAGGAAGCATTGCTGACAAGAGCTGAGACGAGTCATCGCTACTCTGCGCACCCCCTTGGGAAATTGCAGCTGATGGGTTTGTTCCAAAAGACAGCAACGAAGAGTTGCCTTCTCTCCACTGTGACCCGACTCTCCCTATAAAAGGCGACGTAGAGCAAGCTTTTATCGACAGACCAACCCCATTTTTCAATACCCTTTTGGGAAACGAAAAGGAAGAAGATGAAGAAGAAAAGGAAGAGCTTGGTGTGTAAGAGTTTCGTTTTGTGAAGAGCTTTGAGGTTGTGGTGTGGGGTGTGAGAGAAAGGAAGGGTATTGAGGTCATTGAGTAGCAGATGGAAGTGGTGGACATGGCAGGTGGGTCGGTGGTTAAAGGGGGGTTCTCTTCGCCGGAGAACGGTGGTTCCCGGCAAGGATTTAGAGAAGGAAGGAAAAGGAGAGGTGGTGGTGAGCGTAAACGTGACGGAGATGAAGTGATAGATTGAGTGATTTTTATAGGTAATAGAATTGATTGATTTATTTTGTTTTGTTTATTTGCAAAAAACAGAGAGAGAAGGCAAGGGAAGGGGCTGTTTTGGTGCGAGTTAGTTTTATGGGTCGCTGGAATTTGTGAACCGGGTCAATGGGCGCACTTGGATCGTAGAAATGGACGGTGATGATGAGATTAACGCGGCAGATGTAGAAATTGTATTTGATTTTGCTTAAATGTCCCTGGTTTATTGTATATTTCCCGCTTAACGTGGCAGGAGACAAGCCGCATTTGATTTTGCAGAAATGTCCTCGGTTTATTGTAGTTTTTCGGACCATTATGTTTGTAATTGTCCACTCCACAGCCTTCTTTACATTTTCCGGTTGAGGACCCCATGTTTTATTGTTTTGTGAGTATCTACATGTGTCTCTCTCAACTACGATGATTACAAACAAACAAAATAAATAAATAAATAAATAAAATAAAACCACAGTTAAGAATAAGTCTACACACAAATATTCGATGCTAAAGAATAATCCAATATGAGCTGAGTGTAAGTAATACTCGTTAATTTGTGAGTAATTGTACATATTCGGTTTTTTTTTTCTCCTTTTTGAAGTTACGTATTTTTGTGTTTATAGCAATTGGTTAAGAGTACGTACTCATATCTTGCATTCGAATTTCCCTTTTCAAGATCGTTTGTGTCTTACGAGAAAATAATTGTTGTGTGCGTGATTAGCTAGTGTAAAAACCCTAAAACCCGTTAATGGATATGAAGTGAAATCTTTTTCTTATGTTTGTTATAATTGGTAGGGGAGTTTTGGAAAATCATGAAACTAGATAGAAAAGATTGGTAATAAAAGGAAACAGATCTTCTGAAGATGGACAGAAAGCCATGCAAATGGGACAATGGCCTTAAACACAGCTGTTGAGAGTTCTCCGTGATCACTGTGATCAACGCCCTCCATGTACATGCGTGGAAACTAACTCTGCCGCGTTTGGCTTTGTTTCTCTCCCAAGTTTGTTCCTTCTGAAGCTCAAACGCCGCCAATTGCGAGAGTTTGTGATGGATGGCGTGCATAAAACCAAGCACAAAAAAGAAGGCACTACCTCCTCTCGTCTCAATTTATGATGTTGACTTTGATTTTTTTAATATGATAAGATCAAAATATCTCAAAGTGTCAATCAAATCAATCATAATTTGTAATTCCTTCATTTAATTCCCAATAAAAAGCTATTGGGTTGAATTGGGTAGCCGTCAAATTGATTGGGATAATTTTAAATAGATAAATAAATTGATTTGGGCTACGAATCTCATACTATATGGGTTTTGGAAATTGGAATATGGACATGCACAAGGACAACATCAATGTTGATAGAAACCACACACACATGGATGGTACCACTACATGTGGGGGATGTCTATGGCATGCCCCAAAATGCTTATAATTCCATGCAATGCAATCATCTTCTTTCTTTCCCTTTTTATTTTATGAAGCAGTGGATTGAGAACAAATAATTACATCCATTTGTTTCTGGTCCTAGACTTAGGTCCTATTGGGATTGGGTGGGTATACAGTCAATTGAGAACAACATTTTGTTATTGGGCCTTGACTTGAATGGCCCACAGAATAAAAACCTAAGACATCGCTCGTGCATTGGTTATTTATGTTCGTAATTACATGTGGGTCTTACAATGAGACTTACATGCATCAACAGTCAAAAATAAGTTGCACCACGAACCCATTGTGGCTCTAACATTTTCCCATCATCAGCATTAAATCATTAAGAATTTACTAAACCCTAGAGCCTAGGGGAGAGTTTTACATAGCCAAGTGAGAAAGTGGGCTCCTCAAAGGAAATAATCAAGAACAATGAGGAAGATACTACCAAACACAGGATGTAATAGGCTCCTTTATGGTTAATTCGCTGACATGATTGAAAACCAAAAAAAAAAATTCCTTTGAGCAAAGTTGGGCAAGAAAGAAAAAAAAGCCTGGAATCTCCTATTCCAAATGCAAAATACAGACAAATTTCATATGCCCGAACATGTGCCAATAGAAGGCCTTTGGTTTGGAGAAATACTTACATGAAACGGGAATAACACTATTTGCTATCCTGGTCAATCACGGTATGTTACAAGTGATAACTTTTTCATGTGGTAGATTGTGATTGGCTGGGATAGCAAAACAGTGTTATTCCCATTTCATACAAGTTTTTCTGTTTGGTATGACCAGTCTTAAGAGAGTGGTCCAGTGCACATCACTTCATACTGAAGTTTAGGCAAATTCCAATAAAAATAATGACATAAAGGAATTTCCCTACATTGTTAGTCTACCTCAACTATTTGAACCAAGCAACAAATTATGAGCTACAAGAACAAAAAGAAAAACAGTATCAACAAATACACACATACTATCTACAAAGTCTCTCTGCCATGACAAAGATGAAACGCAAGAAACCAAAATTTTGTCAGAGAGAGAGAGAGAGAGAGAGAAGGAGCATCTGGAACAAAAAGAAAACCCAGTGCAGAATTTTCTGTAATTTTAGAATATCACTAATCAAAACCTCTGCTCAAACTCTTTCTGACAATTGAAACAGAGTCCTTCAAGTTCAAAGTTTAGAGACCTGATCATAACAATTTAAATATAAGTTTAGAGACCTGATCACAATCAGACAAATATAAATTCTATCTGGGTTAGCCCTCTTCCTCTGTTCCACCCACAACTCATAAACTGACAAATTATACCACAAGCTAAAACAGAGCAATGCAAAAGGCAAAGGGTTTTTTTTTATTTTTTTTTATTGGAAGCTTTTTATACCGTCAATAATTTTCATGATACCAATATGAACTTTAAAAAAAAAAAAATTACAATACAAGACATAAACCTGTTGCAGATTCATCACCTGATTTGGGCTTCATCTGATCAATGGCTTCTGCCTCACTCAACCTTTTGCGCTTTTGTGACACAAAACTGACTGGAAATAACTTTGCCTCCTCCAATCTTGGGTTCCAATCGAATTCACTGGCCACTAAAAATAAAACCACTCAACCAACCAACAAAACTAATCTAGACCACACCTTCAAAACACCTCCTCTCCTCCCCCTCCAAAACTCTACACAAAATCTCTCCCAACAAGTTCATGATCAAGCTTGTACCGCAATTTCCCCGATTCGTCCTGCACATCAATTCATCATTACACTCTTCCAGTCTAATTTATTTCAATCCAAATAACAACAATTTATTGAGATTGGAATTCACCTCGAACACGGTTCCAATGGCTTCGACGGAGGTGGTGGCAGCGGTGCAATCCGGCGGAGTTTCGAATAGAGACAAGGAGAATTGCTTATAAACGACGCCGACATCGAAGTAAATGATGCCGGAGCTGGGCACGTCGACCCGGATTCCTTTAACAGGGAACCAGAGGAACAGCTCCTGGGCCGAAATACCCGACAAGGATCCGATCTGCCCGAAACTCAGCGTCCCCGAGACGTTCCTATCGTAATGCAACTGGCTCTCGAATTTGGCATTGCAGGCCTGATCCAGGTGCACCTGGAACCGGCCATCGTCGTCGACTTCGAAGTCGACTACGCCCTTGGGCAGCAGGCCCATCGGAAGCCCGTGGGCCCGCAGCACGTCGTAGACGGAAGGCCGCGACGAATTGGAGCACGTGGTGAATGAGAGCAACGAGAGGAGGAGGAAGCACATCAGGTGTAGCAGCATGTTTGTTTAGCGTGTGTGGAATTGTCTGAGTCAAAGCATGGGAGGTGAAGTGATGAAGAGAGAGAGCTAGGTTTTTGTTTTTCTCTTTAAGTGAAGAAAAATGGTGCGGTGGTGTATTTACAGAGGGGGTTGGAGGGAGATTAGGGTTAGGGTTTTTGAGATTTTGGAGGAGATTAGTATTTAGTAGAAGTAGTGATCTAGTAGTTGAAGTGTGGAAGGAAGGAGACAGTGGTGCCAGCTTGGGTACAGAGGGGATTAGGAGAATGATCAATTATTGGTAGTGGGAAAGTGGGCCCCCTCTTTTGCTGAGTGGGCTTTAATCCGCTACAATTGGCAACTTCTTGTGTGTAGTCAGGTACCCAATGGGAGAGGGACACGTGGTTATTCTAGTGGTAGTTGTGTAATTAGCGTGGAATTTGGAGGGGGTTTATTGTCGTGGAATCTGATAGACGCGAGGCGGTGTAGTAGGTGGAGGAGGAGGAGGGAGGTGCTTGGTGGATTTTTGGATAGAGCTTTGAAGAAGCGATCGGCACGAGGAGTAAGGCATTGGCTAAAGAGTTAAAAGACAGGCGGTGATTCCTCCAAAATAGATAGGTGAGAATCCTCGTAGCCTCAGAAGTCATAACGAACCCAAACCCATTGCCCTCGTCACACTTGGATAAACATTAAAATAGATGACTGTTAATTATTGATGTATATAAAATATATATAATTGACGATCGGCAAACATTTTTTTATAAATTGACAATTATTCACCGTAAATGTATTTAAAATATCCGTATAGTTTGTCATGGCATTTGCCCCTTTCATGTCTAAAATTATAAATTTTATGACAAAATATGTTGAATTATTGTACAAATACTATATATGGTATTAAGATAGTCGTGACAAAAATGAGTAATAGTTATGAATACTTTCGCATGTGGTTCCAATTTCTTGTCACCCAACTAGCTCCATGTCCATGTGTATAGATTTGACATCCATTTTATCTCAATTTAAAATTCCACAATTTCCATTATGTGCTTCCACTTGTGCCAAAAATAATTGAAAATTATTATTAAAATGCACTGCATGCCAAAAACATTTTTAACTTTTACAGTTCAGAGATAAGTATGAAAAATAATACGATTTTGTCACACACAAACAAAGAGGGGGCGATGAGATGAGAGGAGCATGCGTAGCGTAAGGTAACAAAATGGATATTGCTTGGGGTGTGAGTGATTATGATTTTGTCTTGACATAAATTATGGATAATTATTTCAGTGATTAAGACAAGTATGCTAAAACAAATCTTTAATGACGTGAGGCCGAGTGTAGTTGAACAAACATGTATACATTGCATTATTTGGTTCAACAACTTTGTTTATTAATTATATTATAAGCATTTCCTACGTTCATAATGTGAAGGGCAACGTCAAAGACTCAAAAGGGTTTTAAAGCCTGGCTGATATTGCAACACTTCAAAATCTCCATAAAACTTGTAAATTACAAGAAGGAAAAGACCTTCATTACTCCGGCTGTTATTATAGCGTTTATTAGGGTTTAGGGTTTAGAGTGTCACCCTTAATGCATTCGTTGATGCAACCATTACCGCTACTCTTGTTGTCATTGTTGCTACCATCGCCCCTACCCTTTGTCATGACGGTTATCATCATTGTTGAAGATATATTTAAAGATTCATAGTCTACATTAGACCTTATTTGTGACATGAAAGTTGATGTCGTATAGCTTAAAGAAAATTACGTGAGACAGTCACATTGTCACGTGGTGTTACTAATCCACTCATATTATAACATATGTATATATTTATTCACACTATATTTTATATCCGTGACATATCAATATTATTGTCTACTAATATTATAATATCTAAATTAGTAACATCACATCAAAGTGTAACGTCCCCGCTCAAACATATCTCCAAATTTACTGGTTGATATTTATAATTTCCCCTTTCCTTGTATACTTGGAGGCCAGTATGGATCAGATATCGCATTTTTCTTGTTCTGGTAATCTGCCTACAGCCCACAGAATTGGGCTGGATCAAAATCGTCAAGTTATACCAGGGTGGTTCTTCATGCATGAATATTGGTGGCCACAATCATCCCTTTCTGGTCCAGATCAGTCGACCACATTACAGGTACAACTGTACAGGCAATCCAGAGCTAGCGCTAGAATTTGCTCCTTAGAAGACTAACATTATTACAAAAAATAGTCGAATTTTTTACCTTTTGGAAAAACAAGAATGTACCACCTATGATAAAATGACTTCAGAAAAAGTGAAAAAAATAGAAGCCAATAATTTGATAGTTGAAGTAGAGACAATGACAAGAAGGGTCTTGATCCCAAAGCGATCAGTCCAAAATATTTGGCACAGGCACTCCATCTCTCATCTCAGGTTACCTTTCTTGTAGGCCCAAAGGCCCCCACACGGTGAAATCAAAAGTGTAAAAGCATGGTGGCTGTGGCTCCAATGGCCTCCTTTCTTTAGAAAATTTGAAACAAAATGGGACCCAGAAACAGTCCACAGAAAAACTGTCTCTGACGAGCCCAAGCTGTGCCTTCCACTTTCCCATGTGACTCTTTCACTGCCACTCTGCCGCTCCAAGTTTGCATTTTTGCTGCTCCTCCTTCCCAATAAACCAAACATTCACATACCCAAATAACCCAAACTCTCTTTTTCTCCTCTTGGGATATAGAGAAATCCCAATGCCCTCTTCTGGTTTCTTCAACCTTGTCATCCTTCTCTGCTCATTGGGTGTTGCTTTGGGCGGTGACCCTTATGTGTTCTTTGACTGGACTGTCTCTTACGTCACTGCCTCCCCACTTGGAGTTAAGCAGCAGGTTCTTTCACTCATCTTATCTTCTTCTAACCTCTGCAACAACTGTCTTTACTCTCTTCTCTCTACTTTTCAAGTTCTAGGTCCTCAACTTGAAGCTTTATTTTGCTCTTTAATTATTTAGCTGTGACTTGAGTGTAATAATATCTATGCCTGTTTGTAGTAATGTTTCCAATTTTGAATTCTGTGCCTTGCAAATGGAATGATTCCATGGATAGTTGTTGCTTTCAGGTAGTAAATTCTCATACAGCAGGAAACACTATGATTAGTGTATTTATTAAGAGTGATAATTAGTTTGGTTTACATTTATTTAATTGATTAGGTATAGTAATTTTTCAGTAATGCAGGTTTAGAGATGCCTAATCATGCTCAACAACTGGTTAGCAACTTTATTTAGGGGGGAAATTTGACAGATTATGGTTCAATTGTCTGGTATATCCTCTTTCTCAACCATAAGATTCACTGAAAAGGGGGCCAAGGGTGCACAACCCAGCTGAGTTATCCCAATACTGTGAACTTTGGAAAAAGGGGGAAAAAGATTTTCAACCTTGGTACAATTAAATTCCAAATTGAATAAGAACTATTCAATTACACATTAGTGTAATGGTGTGTATATCCAGAACGGTATAGATTATTAGTATCGTATAGAGTTGACGAATGAGGTGCGTTCAGTAAAAATTACAGAAATGGAGCCTGGTCCAGTTAGTTATTTTTTTTATAATTAAATTTGTTGGTCATATGAATTCTTCATCATCAAATTGCTTTACCTGCATCATGTCTTTACCCTCCTTCCAAAATATTATTTCAGGTTATTGGGATTAATGGGGAGTTTCCAGGACCGATTCTTAATGTCACTACAAACTGGAATGTTGTTATCAATGTGAAGAATCACCTGGACGAGCCATTGCTTCTCACTTGGTAAATTTATTCGTATCCCATCAGCAACAAAATAATTGTAAGTATTGATGATAGCATTGCTAATATTGCTTAGTTTAATTCAGGAATGGAATACAACATAGGAAAAACTCTTGGCAAGATGGTGTATCAGGGACTAACTGTCCAATTCAAGCTGGATGGAATTGGACATACGAATTTCAGGTTAAAGATCAGATAGGGAGTTTCTTTTACTTCCCTTCTCTAAACTTCCAGAGAGCATCAGGTGGATATGGCGGAATCACCATAAACAACCGAGCTGTTATTCCACTACCTTTCGCTGTGCCAGATGCAGATATTACCCTCTTCATTACTGATTGGTACACAAAGAGTCATAAGGTTAGTATAAATTGTGCTCCGCCGCTGCTTGTGTTTCACTACCTATTCATTGGGTTTCTTAGGCATGGCTCATGCTTGTAAGGGAACAGGAACTAAGGAAAGATGTTGAAAGTGGTACTAGCCTGGGAATTCCGGACGGTGTGCTCATCAATGGAATAGGTCCCTTTCGCTTTGATGAGGGACTTATTAAAGGAGGCAATCCTTTCCTGACGGTAAATGTTGAACAAGGTATATTTCTGGGGTGTCTTTGTGAAATTTTTATCTGGTTCTTGTATTCTAATGTGATTGTGTCTTTCTAATCATCCAGAATCATATAAAATGTAGAGTTTAAGTGTTGCTGAGAAAATATTGATGCAATTCACATATTTCTTGTTGGGTTTGAGGGGTAATGAGTGAGAGGTCCATACTCCATAGCTCTAAGGGCATATTTGGGTTGGAAACTTGGCATTTTTATTAAGATGTTCTCCAACATCCTTTTGGGTTGGTTTCTTCTTGGGGCTCTTATTGTTCTGCTGATATGATTTACACTTGCACTTTTATTATCCTGCACTTTTAACAGGAGCCGGTTGTTGGTAATTTCCTGGAACAGGAAAAACATACCGCTTCCGTGTGCACAATGTTGGTATCTCAACTAGCTTGAATTTCAGAATACAAAATCATAACTTGCTTCTAGTGGAGACTGAAGGATCATACACAGTTCAGCAGAATTATGCAAATATGGATATTCATGTCGGTCAGTCATTTTCATTCTTGGTTACAATGGATCAAAATGCCAGCAGTGATTACTACATTGTTGCCAGCCCTCGTTTTGTCAATTCATCTTCATGGGCTAGAGCTACTGGAGTTGCCATCTTGCACTACTCCAATTCTCAAGGACCTGCATCAGGTCCTCTCCCTGATCCTCCTAATGATTACGACGCATATTTCTCAATGAATCAAGCAAGATCCATAAGGTTGTAGTTCAGTATGTTTCTTTTGGTTTAATAACAGATATATTTGAAAAAAGAAAAAAAAAAGTTCATTCAGTTCCTCCAAAAACTTTTATGATGATGGCGGTAGCCTTGATGTGGACAGAATGCTTGATAAGATTGCTTACCCCTTATTTCAATGTTTCCTGGGCCATTAGTCTTCAATAAAAAAGAATCCTTTTCATAGCCTTTTGTTTTATCTACATATGAGGAGGTTGAATAGTATTACATCCAAACAATTAGGGGAAGTTCCATCTGGCTGATATCTTGTTTTGTTTCCCTGAAATTCCATACACTAATAATTCATTTTGTTTTTTTTTTTTGTCTTTTCTTTTATGATATTTCTGTTCTCAAATTCTGGGCTAACTATTGTTACGTTTGCTTCTTGATTTGTGCAATTATAGGTGGAATGTTTCTGCTGGTGCTGCCCGTCCAAACCCACAAGGATCTTTCAAATATGGTGAAATCACTGTCACAGATGTATATGTTATCCTCAATAGACCTGCAGAACTTATAAATGGGAAGTGGCGCACTACCCTCAATGGTATTTCATATTTACCACCTTCAACACCCCTTAAGCTCGCCCAGCAGTTCAACATATCAGGAGTTTACAAGCTTGATTTCCCAACTAAACTGATGAACAGGCCTGCCAAAGTTGACACATCTCTAATTAATGGTACTTTCAAAGGTTTCATGGAAATCATCTTTCAGAACAATGACTCCACTGTTCAGAACTACCATTTGGATGGCTATGCATTTTTTGTTGTGGGGTGAGCTTTTAGTTTTGAAATCATTAACTGCCTCTATTCCTAATTATGCAACTGGAAAAGTACAAACATTTGAAAGATTCCCTGTTTCCCTGCAGTATGGATATTGGAGTGTGGACAGAGAATAGCAGAAGCACTTACAACAAATGGGATGGCGTTGCTCGCAGCACTACACAGGTACCCCCTTTGCTCAAATGCGTTATACAAACCAGTTGGTCAGTAGATTTTCCATGGGAGAGCTTTGAGAGGACAAAAATATATGAAATAGAAAGGGTGTTAGTATCATTTAACGTAAAAGTTTTATCTGGCAGGCTTGTTGCACTACTTGGTGGTTGCTAATTGTTATTGTGGTAGTCGCGCACATTTACACATGCACATGGAAAGGAAAAGATCTTCTGTTGATGTGTTTTAGGTAGATTTTGTATTTTGAATTAATTGCTTCATGCTCATATTGCTACAGGTCTTCCCTGGAGCTTGGACAGCCATATTGGTTCCTCTTGACAACTCCGGCATTTGGAACCTTCGTGCACAGAATCTGGATTCATGGTATCTAGGCCAAGAAGTTTATGTCAGTGTTGTTAATACTGAGGTTGATCAATCCGAAGCTCCTTTGCCTGATAATATCATATATTGTGGACTACTTTCATCTTTACAGAAGTAAGATATCAAAAATTTGGCGGAAAGTTTTCATTCACTTATCTTTTACTTGTTTATTGAAATTTATATTAACAGAAAATTCTTGTAAAAGAAACTAGCATGCACAAAGATTAAAAACTCTCATTCCAAACTCTGCTAATGCATAATTCTATTTGTTTTCTTCTCCAGAGACCAGGCTCAGAGAGTCAAGTTTTCTAGCGCACCATCAATCTCCCGTTCAAGCTCAACAATTTTGGTTATGTTGATCATAGCATGTGGGGCTTTCATTGGGTGATCAAGCCGGGAGCAGCTATAAGCAAAGCAAGCATTGCAATTCTTTCCACCGGACTGGCGTTTAACACGCAGTCATGGTTTTGAGGGAATGGTGGGATGCAGAACATATGGGCTTCATTCGTTGTGCATGGAAAAAAAATAAACATATTGAGTGAGATGAGAGCAGGATGTTGGGGGATAAAACCCATGTAACATTATAGTTGCAATATGTGCCATGTAATGTAATTTTACATTGTAAACGATGTATAACTGTAATTGCAATGTGTATCATTGTATCTTAAACGCTGCAGGTCATTTTAGAAGGTAATGCATGGATTCTTTTATAATCTGCCTCCATCTACAAACTGTTCATCCAAAAATCACACGGCGACACGGAGCAAGGCCCTGAGTCGCCGTGAACAAGAACAAAGCTTTTAGTCTTTTGAGTGCAAATGTGCCACTACTCGGCCTAAAATGGCATGAATGATGAGCTAAGAAATTATAATGGAATGCAAAGCATAGAGTTAGAACTAAAGCTATAGAAGCTTGAAACTAGAAGAGCTTGAGCTAAAATGCTAAAGAGAGGGGATTGTGTTTGCAGCAGGTGGTGGGTGGAGAGTTGCCTTCAAAGTTCAAACTTTGAATGGTTCTTCCAAAATCAGATCAAATCCACAAGATATATATACTTATCTTAATTATCCAATATTCAACCCAATTATATATTTGAGATGATAAAATAATATATTCAAGATATAACTGCCCTGATTATCCAATATCACAATAATATTAAATCAAACAATTGGAATAATTGTTCTAAAATCATATGAACACATCATATTTTTTTGAAGGAAAGGTCTAATGTAACATTTCTTAACATTCTCGGATAGTGACATGGTACCTGAGTCAAGGGTTTCTGGCTTTTCTGTCCCTCATGTGGGTTTTTGTTCATTTCTTTGTTCTTTCCCAAATAAGAGAAAGAGGAAACAAAATTGAACACAACCTTAATTAAACTAAGTCAAACATGTGATTCCGTCCTGATTCCTCCAACATTATCAGGTTCTAACAAATATATAGAACCCAAACCTAACTTTTGCCTTGTATCAAATTTAAGGATGCAAGGACAAAACCAACCTCAGAATCCTCACACACAAAATACTTTAAAAACTAACCCCACACAAAAACAGTTTCTTTTCATGGAAGGTGCGTATATTTTAATACTTATATGGCCTACCATGCATGATGAATGTTATGAAATAGCCTATTCAACTTAAAAAAAATTCCACAAATCAGATACGAATTTAGTTAAATTGGGTAGAGCGGATGTGCTCCCTATTTGCATCCGAGTTCGAATCTCCCTCCCCGTAATTTAGATTAAATTAAAGTAGAATATCACTTGTATTAAAAAAAAAAAAAAAAGCTATAGAATAACTAATGAATTATATGAGAAATTGATAATGAGAACAAAATTTGCAGTTAATTTGAGAGGAGTCACTGAAAATTAAAGCTTTAAATATTTATCTTCTAATATAACAGTTTGAGTAATGGTTAATTAAAGCTTGAAAGTCATGGTCCAAATCTAACGGCATCACACATTTCTTGTGCCAATTCCTCAATTTTTTCTCTCTCTTCCTCAATATCAAGTGGACCCAACGCAAGAATTAGGGTAGGGGCACCTTTTCTCTTTCAGTTGCATCAACATCTGACTGGCTACCAGTCAAAACGTGTCATGCACTGATAGGACCTCAGAAGATGACTGGCTTGTTGCCTTCCACAGAGCACCAGTTTTCCCACCATGGCGCATAATAATAGGAGCCTGTGTTTTTTTACCAAGTTGAGAGGTCACTTTTGTCATCTTTCTCTTTTTAGCACTCTCTCTTGGCTTGTAAGCAACAACAACAACAACAATAGCAAGTTGCTGCAGACTAAATTCATTATAAATTATCTTTCACAGTGTTTGATTGATATGACATCCTTCTTGCTTTTCTAATTGCCAACAAATTTTATCAAAAGTCATAGGTAGAGGCCATGGATAGGGCTAGTTCTAGTGTTGTCTCCCACAGAGTATTATATTTGTTGCTTTCATTAATTTATGTGTTCTTGAGCTTTTTGCCAACTCAATCAGCTCCTCAGTCTGCTCTCATAACCCAGATTCCTGGCTTCAGCGGCACTCTTCCTTCTAAACACTATTCTGGGTAAGCAAGATTGTTCTCAAACTATAAATACATATGGATTTCTGGGATGCATGGTTGTTCATTTCTTTATGGGTTTGATTGTATGAAGGTATGTGACAATTGACCGAAATCATGGGAGGAACCTGTTTTACTATTTCATTGAATCCGAAAGGAAGCCGTCCGAGGATCCAGTGGTTCTGTGGCTGAATGGTGGACCTGGATGCTCCAGCTTTGATGGCTTTGTCTATGAGCATGGTATTGTTTCATAGTTCATTTGAATGGAATCACTCAATTTAATTAATGAAGGCCATGACGTTTTTAATCACACCACTCAATGTACATACTGTCTTCAAGTATCTGACTCTGCTGGGATCTGGGTTTGAAAGTAAAGGTGCTTACTTTCAAATGGGCAAAACTTATTGGTTGCTGAATCTGGGAAGATGAGACTAGTTAAAGTAGTTTGTGCGTTTCAACTTACTGGATAGGGCTTAATTCTCATAAAGTTTAACACTTTCTGTAATTTTATTATTAATCTATAAAATATTGGTTCCATCCATATTTTTCAGGGCCATTCAATTTTGAAGCAGCCAAGACCAAGGGAAGTCTGCCCCAACTGCACCTTAATCCATACAGCTGGTCAAAGGTTAGAACTTTGAGAATCTCGAGGAAAAAACTAACTACACTAATATTCTGCAGATGTAATTGTGAATCTGATGAAAATTGTTTCTTTTTCTAGCACATGTGAAATCAAATTACTCATAATTATGCTTCTCATCTTAGGTTTCCAACATTATATATTTGGATTCTCCTGCTGGCGTTGGTTTTTCTTACTCAGAAAACAAAACTGACTATTATACTGGTGACCTAAAGACTGCCTCTGATAGCCATACGTTTCTCCTAAAGGTGAGAAAGGCAAAAAACTTGAAAAGGTTCACATACTTGTTGAAGTGATGCTTATTATGTCTCCCAAAATACTACTATTAATGCATCTGCAATTTGTTGTTCTGCAACCAGTGGTTTGAACTTTACCCGGAGTACCTCTCCAACCCATTCTTCATTTCTGGTGAGTCATATGCTGGAGTCTACGTGCCAACACTTTCTTCTGAAGTAGCGAAAGGTAAATCATCCTATAATAGTAATGTTAGAAGGTACTTAGGTACTTCAAATTCTTGAACTGCAAGTGTTGAAACTAAAAGCTAAGGTGGAGCTCTGCAGGAATCGATGCCGGTGTAAAGCCCCTTCTCAACTTCAAGGTATTTATCGGCAGGCAGTCCTTTTGTGAATTTCAAATATCTGTGGCTCCAATCTCAAATTACTGCATAATACAGGGTTATCTGGTGGGAAATGGAGTTACGGATGATAAATTTGATGGTAACGCTCTTGTTCCATTTGCACATGGAATGGGACTGATATCAGATGATCTATATGAGGTTTGTGTAGAATGTCCAATTTGATTTGTAATGCAAATTTCATCCCCTTGCTCCCACTATCATAGTAATTCTGGTAATGCATCTTTGTGCTCCAGGAGGTTAACAAGGAGTGTGGAGGAAACTACATTTACCCAGTCAATGATGCTTGTGGGAGCAAGCTTGAGAAAGTTGACAAGGTAATATAAATACTGATAATTTGCCTATAATATGGAATGTTATGTTTTTGTTCTGACTTTAAGACTGTTACTAATCCCAGAATATAGAAGAATTGAACATATATAACATTCTAGAACCATGCTATCACGGCACAGATTCAATGAAGATTAAGACAACTACAAACAGTAGAGTGCCATCTAGTTTTCGACGGTTGGGTGAGACTGAAAGGCCTCTTGCTGTGAGAAAAAGGATGTTTGGTCGTGCCTGGCCTCTTAGAGCTCCTGTAAGAGATGGAATTGTTCCAACTTGGCCAGAACTTATGAATAGCGAAGACGTTCCATGTACTGTAAGTTGCTAACATTATTATCACTTTGATATTTTGATCCCTTTTCCCATTTCAGCCATTGATTTCTCAAGTTGATAGTAATAAGTGTACTTCCCTGGAAAGGGCTAAATGAATGGTTCTTCAACTTCAATACAAGAATACTGTCCTCTGTTCATATTTATCTTCTTTCATATTTATTTATAGAATGTATTCCTTTGGTCCTGATTGCCATGACATCGAGGTGGCTTCATTGGAATTGTCTTAAATGTCAAGATGCCCTTAGATTTGATATATCTCCTGCAGGATGATGAGGTTGCTACTTCATGGTTGAACAATGAAACAGTTAGAAAGGCAATCCATGCAGCAGGGGTAAGGTTTCTCAGAATTAATATTTTAAACCAGAATCTGAAATTTGTAAATGTCTAGTCCTAGTGGTTCCTAAAGCATCAAATTTTTTGAAACTTTTTGCACTAAAGGAAAGCTTGGTACCTAGTTGGGAATTGTGTACTGGCGGAATCAGATTTACTCATGATGCTGGGAGTATGATCAAGTACCACAAGAACCTAACTGCAAAGGGTTATCGGGCACTTATATATAGGTAAATCTCCAAGGAAAATGCCACTGTTTTTTTACACCTTTGCTACAATGTTCCATTTGATTGCACGAAAGGGGAGAAGGTAAATGAAAAATGAAAACCCTTTTTCCTAAGTTCCCCAACTATGTTGCAATGGAAAACTTACATGCTTTCACTTGGTTATTTCAGATTCTGATTTGCAATCTGTTATCACTGATATGCATTTATATTCAATTTTCATTTTCTGGCAGTGGTGATCATGATATGTGTGTACCTTTCACTGGGAGTGAAGCATGGACTAGATCACTTGGTTATAAGGTTGTGGATGAATGGAGGCCATGGACTTCCAATGGACAAGTTGCTGGGTACTTACAATTACATATTTTCTTTCATCAAACCCACAATAGAAATAGATGATTTTTTTTTGCTTCAACACAATCTCAAAAAGAAAGAAAAAAGAACTCATTTCCTGGAAGACCATTTTCATTGGGTACTTGGTAGTGAAATTGAATAAACCTATGTTAATGGTTGCAGGTATACACAAGGGTACGAAAACAACCTTACCTTCCTGACCGTGAAGGTCAGTACATGAAAACTTTCTTAGTCTACTCAGGCTAGCATCACTCATTTTTGCTTTTGAGCAGTTTCATTGTTGATTCTCATACTTCCATTTGATTGTATTGGTGCAGGGATCAGGACATACCGTTCCAGAATACAAACCGCGGGAGGCGTTAGATTTATTTAGCCGGTTTTTGGCTGGACAACCACTATAAGAGAGAGAGCAGTGCTGCTATTTATTGCCTATGCTACACAAGCTTATAGTGAATAAACAATATGATCAAATGAACTGTGTTGTAGTTGCCTAGTAAATCAAACCAGCCTTCTGATTGTTACTTCTATATGAAATATTAAATTAAAATTTCAGATAGAGAATCCACCATGGTCACATAGATGAGGCAAATTAACAAGCTTGAGTTAAAGGAACATCCTTTTTTATTTGAATGATTCCTTGCATTTTAACTTGGAGATTATTGGTTGCAAGTAAACTGCTTAATTAAAATTAAACTGTGGCTAGTTGCTGCATATAAATCAAAACAGGCTTAAAGTGTTCTCTCAAGCCTAAAAACTGGGTGCTTTCTAAATAGCCAATGAAGCATATCAATTCAAAGAATAATTCAATGAAGCCAATCTGTGTGGTGCCAATGGGATCTAGTAGAGTGAAAAATGACATTGATTTGCAGATTAGTGGTCTCAGATTTGAACCCCCATAACACCTCAACAAATGTCTTTGTAAAAAAACCCCTCTCCCTTCCCAACTTCATTATAAAAAAAAGCCAATCTTTGTGGTCACATGAAACATTAACAAGCTCGAAGAATCATCATATTTTGACTACTAATGAGACTTTTGGTTGGGCCTACTCAAGGCCCAAATAATGTCTTGGTTTGGAATGTGAGATATTTTCGACCAAAAATAGTAGTAGCCAATGAACAGTAAGTGATCCAACGGATCTATTTCGCGGGAAGCAACGGGCATCTTTTCCCGCCATGGAAAATCCTGATTATAATAAATACCAAAAACCCCCAATTGCCTCTCTCTCTCTCTCTCTCTCTCTCTCTGTGCTGAGACTGTGATCTTCAAAATTCACTTTTTCATCGACTCCAAATCCCAAATCTCTCTCTATCTCTCTCTCTCTTACTCTGCAATGAGTTCCTCAGAAACCCAAAAGACCCCTAAACGCAATCTCTCTCTTACCTTCAAATCGGAAAAACCCCATATAAACCCAAAGCTCCGAGTCGTAGACGACGACTCACTGAGCACCAAAACCCCAGAGAAGCTCCAACACTTCCGTCACAAAAGCCTCCGCGAGTCAACCCAGAAGCAACCAACAGTCCAGATCGACTTTGCTAGACGAAAGATCGAATCTTGGCCCGACGAAAACCCAAATAAGACCCATGTTGGTGCCTCCGAGAAGCTACCAGAAAAGTAAGGCTTCGTAAATTTCATTCTTGAATTTTTAGGTGGATTTTAATGTATTAATTTTTGCGGGTTTTTATTTGGCAGGTATGAGATATTGGGTGAGTTTTTTGATTGCTTGGATGCTTCGATTCGGTTGTTGCGGTTGAGGGGTTTGATGACGAGTTTTTCCAATATTTGCCCAAAAATCAAGTGTTTGACAGATAGGTACTATTTTTTTTGAAAGGGTCTTTTTAATTTGTTGTTTGGTTGCTGAAGAAATAAATTAGACTATAGAAAGTGATTGATTTTCGTTCATCTGGGTTTTAGGAGGTTTACATATAGTCACTTGGCTCAGCTGAAGTTTATTTTTCCTGAGGCAATTGAGATAAAGAGGGTGCTTGTTAAGAATGAGAAAACCAATTGTATGAAGCCAGATCTTCATGTTACCTTGAATGTTGATGCGGTGGAGAATGACGAGTTGAAATCTGAAGGTGGTGAGCATATGCATTTGGGGAAAGCCTTTCGCGAGCGGCTTGTAGATATTTCAAAGTTCCATCCTGAGGTATACCCTTTCTACATTGGATGTAAAGGGCAATCTGTGAAATTATCTTGTATTTGACTGGGAAATCTATGAGTCGCACCGGACTTTTACCAAAACTATTAGAAATTATTTAGTGTAGTGGCATAAGCTTGAGTGCATGTTTTGTTATCTTCTTTCTAATAGACAGTAAATGACACTAGGATTTAGAATGATTATTGTGTTAACTCTTGTAACAGAGAAATTCTACAAATATGGTTTTGTAGGATTATTCTTGCTCTAGGATATCTGTATCCCAATTTTTTTCCCAACGAACGCTAATTAAATTAATTAGGCTAGGCTTAAGGCAACTTGTCCAGTTGTCCTAGCTGGGAAGTAAGTTACTTAGCTCTTCAAGCTGTTCTTTTATGGATTTAACATTGTTTTTCTTGAACTACTTTTTGAATAGCATGTGACCTAACAATGATTAATATGCTTTCAGGGTTATGAAATTCCAAAAGAAACTCTGCCCCAGCCATTCAATTGCGCAAAGCAAGATATCCATCCAGATACTATTAAGTTTCCCTTGTCACCATCTCCCGAGGTATTGACTGATTTACACACGGTTGAAAAACCAGAAGCATCAACAACCCGCCTTCAAGGTGATGAAATTCCAGATGAAACACATCAAATGCCATCTAATCAGTCAAAGGAAGGTGTGAATTCCAACATAAGTGGAATTCCCGTCCCATTATTACCCATTGAGACATCATTTGAAGCGCCAATAGAGCAGCAACCAGCAATGACAGCTCATTTATCTCAATCTTTTCGACGGCACTTTTCTAAGCCATCCTTCCAAGCTCGAAATGTTTCAGTTCCAGAGTCCAATCTCAGTATAGTTTACTCAGTTGAGGAAGCTAGTACTGCTGCTTCATCGTATGGCAAAGTACCTGCTACACCAGCCGAAGAGATAGGCTCCATAGAAAATGATATTGGTTTATCCACAAGAAGTGCTAACATTCAGTCTACTCCAGCTAGTACTGCTGCTTCATCATATGGCCAAGTGCCCGCTACTCCAACCAAAGAGATAGGCCTCATAGAAAATGACAATGGTTTGCCCACAAAAAGTGCTAGCATTCAGTCTACTCCAGCAAAGCTTGCTTCAACTCCAGCCAGGTTGATGACTGTTACACCTGCATTGCACCCGCCAAAGCGCTGTTATATGAGCCCAGATGATAATTCTACTAGCTCACCAGAAAAGTTGGTTAGGCGACCTCCACGCTCCAGGTCATTGAAATTTGACACTCCTGTGAAGAACAAAAAGGTCGAGGATGAAGCACTTGATATGGACGGTGCATCATTTGATAATGGCTTCTCTGATATTCTTCCAGAGGATCTTTTGCAATTGGTATGTCATGTCTTCTGTCTATATTTCTATGAAAGCTGTTGGAGCTTACTAACTCCATCTTACTTTAACACACCTGCATGACCCTATGAACGCTGTCAGACCAAAAAATTTATGGCATCATATGCTGGGAAAAATATGCCCATGACCAGAAAGCTTGCTTAAACTGGCCTCGGCTTAAATTATGCAGTGTAAATTACTTTTTCTGCATCAAGCCCACAACGTGGTTTTGTGAAAGTATGGCACATGAGATATAGTGTAAATCTCATTCTGTGTCTTAGTTTGGATAACCGTGTGATCTGTTCAACGATGTATTTGGTTGAGCTCTATTAGTTATGAAAGTTTTTGGAATCATGTTAAATTATAGTTGAAAATCAAGCTCAGTATCAATGTTTAAGGCTTGCTTATTCCATATGTCTTTACATCTACTTGATTTTGAACATAATGACTTCATTTTTTATGAGTATCCATTTTATCTTTTGCAGCTTAAAGATGAGGAGAGGAAGGAAATAGAGGAGCAAAATCCTGACGTCTCACAAGCAAAGAGGCAGCGGCAGATGATTTCCAGCCTGCCTAAGCTCTTCAACACGATTCATCTCCTATTTCAGTCAATGAACTCTTCTGCTATCACAAAAGAGGAGCTTGTACACAAAATAATTTGGATAAACTGTGATTTTGTTGACAGAAGTAAGCCATTGTATAAAAGCAAATAATTTCCTATTACGATTTGCGAAAGGTCCTGGTGAACCTAACCCTTTTGTTGCTCTTTTTACAGAGGAAGTTGAAGAGCAGCTTAACTTGTTGCTAAAGCTGGTTCCAGAATGGATTTCTGAAAAGAAGTTAGCACCTGGAGGAGATTTGCTTTTGATCTAGTGAGTTTTATCTACAGTGCAAAACAGAATTCTGTGTTTTGGAGACGTATGTTGCCTTCTATTAAATAAACTCAATCAAATTGTCTGATGTCATCTCATCTCTCTTCTTGCAGCATTAATAAAACGTCAAATCCGGATTCAATACGTGCGCGGCTTGAAGAAGCAATGTAAGCTGGACAACGCTAGGTTTTCTGAAGTTATTTACTGTAAAAAGCAGATTTAGGCCCTATTTCATTAGCCATCTTGGAAATATTTTAATTAATCAGTTGTTCATGTAAAGCACATCTGCGTGGCTTACTATTAGTAGTATTAAGGCTTTGTCAAGAATGTTATTTAACAAGAAGATTATGGAAATATATATTTCTTTTCTTTACAGTTTTTGGTGTTCTTTCAGCAGCATAAAAAAATGCTTGGCCACATTTGCATGAACTTCAAAACAGAATATCTGAGATTTATAAACAAATACCAAAAGACTTGATAATTGCTCTATTTTATTCTTGCGTTCTAAACCGTACGATGCATAATCTTCAACCATCGATTGCATCTCTTTTTCCTTGTCTTCGGATGTAGATTCCATAAGACCAACTAACCAAATAGAGACCCATGATGATAATTGAAGGAAAATTTCATAAAGAGAATCCTCCTACCAACAACATGAGGCAATTAACAAGCTTGAAATGAAGTAAATATATAAATTTGGTTATCAGTAGAATCAAATTGTGTCTAGTAATGAGATTTAACCGATCGCTACAGCAAAACATAAACTATTCTCAGCCTTAATCATTATCTCTTCCTATTTTCATGCAGCTGCTGACCTTTCACAGATCTCAGTGCAGTGAACCCTTGATACGGTGAAATAAAACATGGTCTGAAAAAACAATACAAAATATAATCCCTCTTCCAAAATAGCTAAAGATCTGTATTGGCTCTACACCAAAATCAAGATGGCAGAGAACGGAGCAACAACTGCTCTCAATCTAAACCTAAAATAGCTTGCACAATCTCCGCCTAGAAAGAATTAAAAATGTAAGAGATGCTCAGAAAGATTTTCTCAAACACCTGCAACAGTTGAGAAAATCCCAGCAAATTACGCAGAACTCTTCTTGTTTCTAAAGCTTTCCTTGAGCAAAGTAAATTTTTTCTTGCATTGATTCACAGTCTTCCCAGGAACAGCAGCAGCAACTCGCTCCCAACGCTGACTGGCTTCCTTTGGAAAGGTTTTCAGAGCCTGAACCAGTGCTCTTTCTTGTACAGCAGACCATACATCCTGCTCTGAACCTGACGATACTCCATTTTCAGCAATTGGATCGTTAGGATTTTGGTCTTTTGTGCTTCCGCTTGACGACTCTCCTGATTTATCTACCTTTTCAGCAGGGGTTCCAGTGCCCTGAGGAGGAGTCAATACCCCTTCTACTTCAATTCTCGTTGTAAGTGGAGAAGCAATAGATGGTGCGGGCTTCCTCTTTTCAAGAAAAGAATCAAAAGCTTTGCTAGAATCAGGTTTCTGGAGGAGGACTGTTTTGGTTGCCTTCAGAATTTCTTCCACAGATCTTCCAGTACCAATGTAATCTGAAACAACCTCCCACCTCCGAGAGGTTCCTTTTGGAAACTTTAGCATTCCTTTTCTCAAAAGCTCAATTTCTTCTCTGCTCCAAGGTTTCTCCTTCTTCTCATAGCTGCCTAACAGCACAGTACCATTAGTCTCCGCGGAACCATTCTGTTGTAGAGTTTTCTTCTCATCTTCTTTCTTACCCTCCAAATCATTTTTATATCCACATGCCTCTCTAAGAACTTCTGCTCGCTCCAGCCCCTCTTTGCCCTCCATCCTCTCACATATATTCCTAAGCTGCTCAATATCAAGAGACATACAGAGACTTTCCACATCATCCTCGGCAAGACTGAGTAAACGGTTCGAAATAACAGGCCCTGAAAGTGTTCGAAGTCGACTCCGCTCTTTGCGCAGGAGTTTCTTCTCTTTCTCTTTCAACTTCTTCTGCTGCAAGGCTATTTCTGCAGCTCGTTTCTCCTCCTCCTCCTTCCGTCGCTTCTCCTCTTCTACAGCCCTGGCTGCTTCCTCCTCCTGTAATTTCTTGGCAAGATACTTGGCCTCCTTTTTCCTTTGCTTCTCAGCCTTCTCTGCTTCCTTTCTCCTCACAATTCTTGGGTCTCTTTTATACGCATTGTCAACAAGAGTACGTATTCTAGCATACTCCTCCTTCCTAGCCTTTTCTGAAAGCTTTGCATTCTGCCTCTCCATCCACCTCTTATGGTCACGAGACTCAGCTTGCTCAAGATCAAACTCATCAGTATGTGGGAACTCTCTCCAGCTCTTGAAGGTGTACCAAAAGTCATAAAAACTATCTACTTCCTTCAGTGGAGTATTCTCATCACCTAAAAATGGGATTGGCTGGTTAACCGACCACCGTCCATTCCTCATAAAAGCAGGACCAAACACCTTGAAGAAGTCCTGTGGGGCACAATCGGTGGGGATTTCATCATCAAACTCATCAGTGGAGTCATAGATTCTTCTCTTCACAGGATCAATTAAAGCCTCATACGCTTCTTGGATGGACTTAAAGTGGCTCTCTATCTCGTCCTTCTTTGTTTGTTTAGCAGCTTCAGTTTCCTCATTAAGAAGAAGAGCAGCCTGTTTGTCAGGATGGTATTTCAAGGCAGTCTCGCGATAGCTTTTTCTTATCTGTTCCTCAGTGGCAAGGTATCTTAAATGACTTAAACCTAACAACGCATAGTGATCTTGTTGTTTGCCTTCAGCACCAGATTTCTTTTTACCTTTGCTGCTGTACGAATCAAATGATGGTATAGAAGTCGGCTCCTTATCATTAACCACCTTCTGAACATCAGCATCTTTTTCCTCCTCCACACAACCAAGAAGTTTAAGTGCCACAGCATGGAAAGAATGCCCAGCTGGTTCAAGCTTCAAAGCCTTGACAGGAAGGCAGTTTGAAGAAACATAGACCGGTTGTCCATCAACCAACTCTTGCGAGTACGAAATAAGGTGAAACTTGGATTGGACATTCATGACGTTTACAAGAAATCAACAGTGCCAAGAACTGTATAAAATGACAAATTTTGAACTCAAGAAAAAGTTTCACTGCACTTCAGAACTCAGTTAATATGACACCTCACAATATCCACACTGCAATAACAAGCAAAGCAAACTTCAATCAGAACATCTACAATACCAAATGATGCAAATAAATATGATACATAAACTATTGAACATGTATAGATTATCATAATCGTGGTACAGGTCCAAACAGAGAAACCAACCCTTCTTCAACATACAGACGTACAGGCATTTTCTAGACGCAACTCAATAAATTTAACTAGAAAACATACATCACACTGTTTGTTCCATGAATTAGATACCAGTACCAGACACCACCATATAATTATACCATGTTTTCCAATAAAGATTATTACTTGATTAACCAAGAAAATCAACAAATAAAAAAAAACTTTTTGGATTATTTCATATTTGATGGTACCGAAACATAGCTACTTGATCCTCTCAAAAAGACTCTAAAGATTCCATGCAACCGAGAAATGACCAACACAACAAGACGATTCAATAGAAATTGACAAAAACAAAATAAAGGTCGACGAAGCAAAAACCCTAACCTTGAGCTGAGAAGATGAAGGCGATGAGGGTTTGCAATGGAGCCTTTGGCGGAGAACCTCGAGTCTTGTACGACGATCGAAGCTCTACCGGACTTTGCTGGAAACGCAGTCGCTCGTTCGGTCTGGTTTTAGTGGTTTTACATATATAAAGCTCGGATGCCCTAATCGATTACAATTGGGGGATGTTCACGATCTGCGTCGAACACGTGTCACGTGCCTTCGTTGATACTATTTATACTATTGGGCCGCCGCCTCATGTATGTCGTTCGTTTTTATGGGCCCAAAACTGGTTATGTTTGGGCTAAAGTGGAAAGCAACGACATGTCGTATGTAAATGGAGATTCTATGAACACTTATATTTATATTTTTTAATTATTTTTTTGTGCTCAAATATAAACACTTATATATGGTTGCACTTATAGCAATAATGCCCATTAATTATCACCACTATCACTTTATTCTCCAACTTTTAAATTGATTCACATTACTGGAATATTTTTTGATACGGTTATAGCCGTTAGATTGACAGATTCATCATTCTCTACTAGAGTATGGATTAATCATGATTATTAATTGAGTTCGCACATGGTTCCATATTTTTTTTAATTGTATGTTTTTTCCTTTAGTTTTATTATGCTATTACTTTTTGTTTAAATTTCCTATAGTAGATGATTTCAACTCAAAGTGGTAACGGAATTGGACAAAAATGATCATAAAATTTCATGGAATTGGCGACCACATGTCACATTTGGGAAGAGTATTTTTGTCAATAGAATGCAAATGCTACATTAAAATATAAAGAAAAGTCTAAAATCGAAAGGGAGGAAAGCAACGACAAGTCGTAAGCCTGTTGTCTGGTAAAGAAAATTGAAAGACACATTTTTTAACAGGCAGTGTCGAAGACGGAGGCAAACCATGGCGACTCTGCCTCCTCTGTTACGGCGACGTTTTCTCAGCACCAGCACCAATTTCCCAAAGAAATGGGCGGTGAAGGAAGTGACAAAGTTGAATTTCAAGGAGTCCCTGGAGGAGTTCAAGGACCACCTCGCCGGCTCGGACTTCGTAGCCGTCTCGCTGCAGAAAACGGGGTCGTTTTCTGCGGCATGGCACCGTCCCCAACCCTTCGACACCGCCGACACGTCGTATTGCAAGGCCAAGTACGCCGCAGAAAGGTTCCAGCTTCTTCAGTTCGCCGCCTGCCCCTTCACTCTCAGAGCCTCCAAGCTCACTCCTCACCCGTCCGTACACTTATACTATACATATGTGCATAAATACGTACATATATACATGTAGAGAATGAGATTGGTAATGCGGGTTTGTTGATTTTGATGCAGATACAACTTTGTATTGTTCCCAAGAGATGAATTGAAGCTGGGGATGCCATCTTATAGCTTTTCAGTTCAAACATCACATTTGACTTCCATGGCTCAAGAAGGTTTTGATTTTAATGCCTGCATATATAATGGTAAGCCTGCCCTGATGATTTATCATTTCACTTCCTAATCACCAAGTTTATGAAACTTGATAATACCCAAGTCAATATTTTTAGGAAAATGAGAAGAAATATGAAAGTTAAGAACATATGATGTATTGGGGGAAAGTGTGACAAAAAATATGGACTGATTTTGTTGTTGTGTACAATTTATGATTTTGCAAGTCTGTAACTTTATGAGGTTTTGAGATTTTTTGTCTCTTTGTCTTTTGACAGGTATATCATACTTGTCCAGAGCACAAGAATCTGCAGCTAAAGTGCGGATAGGGAATCCAAGCCCCAGCACCTATATAATGAACTCTTCTGCGACCCATACTGTTGCTGATACAGTTTTTCTTGAAAGAATTAAATCACGAGTTAAGCATTGGAAGAATGCGTGTAGGAGTTCAAAGAAAGATGGTAAGGACTGAAAATGCTATAGATTGTATTTACATCCATTATCATTCCTTCGATTTTGTTTTCTTATTTGTTAAAAAGTGTATTATTTTTTCATTTTGCAGATGCTCTGCTTAGTTCCTTACGAAAACTTATCTTGGGAAATGAACTTTATGGATCAAGGCCATGCATGAATATAGATGTTTGCAGTGAACGTCAAATACAGCTTGCATTGGAGGTTTGTTGATCTGATTTTTCGGATACTTTGGCCGAAGCCCTGTCTTTTGGTGCTGGTATACTTAATCAGAGTTTTATTTGGTTTAATGTTTGATGTCATTGGTTGCAGATGTTGAGGGAGTTCTCTGATGAACTTGTTCCTTTAATAGTCCCAGCAAAGGGTGGAGGAACTCAGGCTGTTCGTGTTGTTCTTACAAGTTCTAAGGAGGACAAGGACTCGTTTGAGGTAGAGGAGATTTTCAGTTCTTAGTGTTTTGAATCATCAAGCTTAGTATAATCGACATTTGGTTTGAATGTTACAGAGAGAGCTTCAAAACCTTGAAGAGGAACAAAACCAGAGAGTTCGGGGATTTCGAGAGGTGATCGATTTGATTTCTGCTTCACAGAAACCTGTTGTCTCCCACAATTCCATTAATGGTGTATCTCTATTTAATAAATATCTATGAGCTTTAATCCCCCTGACTTGGCCTCTGTTCTTTCTTAGTTTCTCAACTTATAATTGAATTTTGTTTTATGCAGATTTCACGTTTATTCATTCAAAGTTTCTCTCTCCCCTGCCGACTAATGTAGATGAGTTCATGGACTCCTTACACTTGGTTTTCCCTCACTTACTTGATGTCAACCATATGATGAAGAATATTGGCCCTCTAAGGAAGGTGACCAATATTCATGCAGCTATTTCCTACCTGAATAATCATTACTTTGCACCCATTGATATGGAAAACTTGCCCCAAGGTAGTCATTTCTCCTAGTTTTCATGTAATGCACAGACACTCCAGAGAGAGTACAGTAATGCTACATGTTTGTTGCTTTTGCGGGTTTTACCTCTGGGTGTTCTTGCAGCAGGTGTGATATGAGAGGGGGAAAACAAAAAAAAAAACAAAAAACAAAAGAACAGAAGAACAAAACAAACAAACAAAACAAACTTTGGCAGATTGCTTGACTAGTTTTCAATAAAATAACCTCATTTTTGTGAGATTTCTTTTCATCATGCCATGATCTTTTACTTCAGAGCAAGCCTAACTTTTATTATGCATACAATGTTTGGGGTTGTCCATTACAGAAAATGAAGAAGGCACAGTTCATAGGCATAATGTGGTGAAGATGTGTTATCTGTTTGCAAAGCTCTGCTCCATTCTGAAAATTCCAGACAATGCTATGACATCTAACAATGCACTGTTGGCTCCAGCCCCTGAAGAGTATACAAACATATCCAATCCGTATCCTGACAGCCCCCAAGAATCAATCAATGATGATATCAGAATCTGGACAAAGAATATGAAAAAAGTCAGCTGCAATCATTTGGTATTCTTATGGGGATTTAGAAGTGGCATGACTGCAGGGATGCTCAAGAGCTTGTTGCACAAGTCACATGACGTTTTCTCAGAAGAATTTGATGTTCGGTTAGTGGACAAGAGCTGTGCTATTGTTGTTTTCTGGCGACCTGGTTTATCCGAAACTTTTCTGGATTTCGTGAGTAGTGAAGAGATTTGTGGATCTTTAAGGGAGATGGTTTCAGAGGGCCTAAGAGCATCGAGTTATGAGGCTTACAAGAGAGTCTGCAGGTTGGGCTTATGGGAAGCAAATTTAGCAGAGTCCTTAGACAAAGCCTTAGAAGACCAAGACTGCCTTGTCGAAGCTAATTTAGCAGCAAACTGCAAAGAAATCTATTGGTCTAGCGACTCAACAATTAATTTTGACAACTTGTAATAATATGTAAAAGTCCATGTCTTAGAAATGAGATCAGTTTTGCTCTAACTCATCAGTGTACGGCAGAGAATTGTTGCTTACCATCCCAAAATAGAGACTTTATGACGTTGCCCTCTATATTTTGAGGGTAATCTCACGTTTTGGCGCAGACTCTTGTATTTTTTGGTTAATTTTTATATGGTAGAATGAAAAAGAGACAGAATTATGTACTCTTAAACAAAACAAGGCTTATGATGCATAACTATCCAACCATACATATTACTACGAAGTTCTAATTGGTAAACTCTCTTCAATTGCTTTACTTGTATATTCTTCTTCGCGTGTTTTATTTTATACAAATAAGGAGAACTTGAACTTGAGTGCAAGCGGAGCAGGCTCATTGTCTACGTACGTATGCTTTCTACATGTTCCTTAGAGCATGTCCAAGGGGCAGGGGCAAAGTATGTTTGCCTCGGTTGAGGAGTGAGGCCATTTTATCTCGTTTCCAACTCCATCCTTGCTTGCATAGAATGGCGATGTGGCAAGACAAATTATATGTTACCCCTTTGAGTTGCTCTAGGCCTCTAAAAACAAAATATTACTAGATTTTTTTTTTTTTGAACAAAACATTTTTGTTGTTGATGCAAACAAATATTAGTTTAAATAAGTAACATTGATTCAGAGTTTAATATAGGCTGGTGCTTCTATAAATGGATCCACCACCAGCTGTTTCAAATAAAAAAAGGAGTCGTTTCACGGGAACACTCTGCTTCAAGTCAACGTTCGAATTCAAAAAATTTCATTCAGAGCTGTAGCTTGAACTCGGATCAACAGAAGAAAGTCAACGAAGTTTCAATGGCTTCCGATTCTGAACCGACACCTGCATCCCATTCCGACCAAACATTTGATGTTCTGGTAATCGGAGCTGGAATAATCGGGTTGAGCATAGCCCGGCAGTTCCTGATCGGGTCGGACCTATCCGTCGCCGTAATCGACAAGGCTGTCCCTTGCTCCGGTGCCACCGGTGCCGGTAAGGATAACGTTTAGCTCCTCACTGATTGTTTGGCAGGCGGGAAAATTAAATTTAATTAAATGCAGGAAAAAAGCATTCATCTGAAAAAATGTTGGGTCAAGTGAAAAATTGATGAAAATGTGGACCTTGTTTTTAGGCCAAGGCTATATATGGATGGCATCCAAAACAGTTGGCAGCGAGGGTTGGGAGCTGGCTCTGAGAAGCCAGAAGCTCTGGGAGGAATTGGCTGAGAGTTTGAAAGATCAAGGCTTGGACCCTTTACAATTATTGGGTTGGAAGAAAACAGGTACTAAAACATTTATGAAAAGTATTTTCACATCAAATTAATTCGCAAAATTATGTGACAGTGTTTCATTTATTCAAATGCGGACCGACTTTTAACTTCGTTTATTGTTAACATGTGTACTAACACATTATTTTCAGAGTTGTCAAATTTAGTGACTATAGCATTAGTTTTTTTTTTTTTTTTTTTTTTGAAAGTGTTGGTTTGGTTTTATAGGAAGCTTGCTAGTTGGTAGAACCCCGGAGGAGTCAGACAAGTTAAAAAGGATGGTACAGCAGCAATGTGAAGCTGGGTTAAGAGCAGAGTACTTGTCTGCCAGTGACTTGCATGTGAAGGAACCTGAACTCATGGTTGATAAAGATACTGGGGCTGCCTTTCTACCTGATGATAGCCAACTGAATGCCCGTCGTGCTGCTGAATTTCTTGAAAAGGTTCATTTGTTTTTAAGAAAAGAAAACCAAAACTATTTAGCTATATGAACAAATTTAGTGACCTTATCGTTACCGGCCTATAAATTATTTCCCACTTTTGTAGGGCAACAGGCATTATTCATCAAAGGGTAGATATGCAGAGTTTTATAATGATCCAGTGATAAGTTTGTTAAGGTTTGCTATCGAACTTTTTTGCTTGCGCTGGAGATTATTACACTGAGAGACCAAGGGAAAAAAATGGAGAATTTGGCTTTTAGAGATGGGCTAGTTTGTTAAGCTAATACTATTGTAACTCATTATGTGTGTGCTCAGGTCTGGTAGCAGTGGGGAGGTTGAGGCTATTAAGACTTCTAGGAATATCTTGCACAGCAAGAAGGCCATTGTAGTGGCAGCTGGTTGTTGGAGTGGCTCTTTGATGTCTGATCTGCTTAGAGAATCAGAAATTGTCCTGGACATCCCCGTGAAACCGCGAAAGGTTTAAATCTACAATTCAAACAGACTTCTTCTTGCATAGATGTTAAAATACCATAGTTGGGTTTTCCAGATGCATAAATGTCATCTATGTTGCTTTGAATTTGTGTCATTTATATGTCATTTGATCTGTGTGACAGGGTCACCTTCTAGTGCTGGAGAATTTTAATTCCTTTCAACTCAATCATGGTCTGATGGAGGCAGGATATATTGATCATCATCATACTGCAGTTCCGCTTCCAAGCGTATCAACTTCCGGATTGCTTGATGATCATGATGGGCAAGCCTTGTCTGTATCAATGACAGCCACTATGGATACAATGGGGAACATTGTTCTTGGTAAAACATTACCTTGATGACTCGTTTCTTTTCTTGAGAAAACATGAATTTGTGTAATTAAGACTTGCAGTTAGTTGTTATGGCTTTGCAGGGAGCAGCCGCCAGTTTGCTGGTTTCTGCACTGAAGTGGAAGAATCCATCGTTAACCGCATATGGGGGAGGGCGGGGGAGTTCTTTCCCAAATTGAGAGAGAAGCCCCTCTCAGATTTCAGTCAGAGCAGAGAAGTGAGAGTAGGATTAAGACCTTACAGTAAGTCCCGATATCTTTTAGAACATAATGAAAATGTACAAAATCTGGATCGTTGGATATTCTTAGGATTTCAAATTCATGCTAGAACTAAAAAAAAATTTGGTCATGTCCTGTGAAATTGATGAATGACATAACCTGTACTGTCTCAGTGCCTGATGGGAAGCCAGTGATCGGGCCTGTGCCTGGTTTGGCCAACGTGTTCCTTGCAACCGGTCATGAAGGGGAAGGACTTACTATGGTAGTACTCATTACATTGTGATTCAGCTGATTATATATAGAAATTTATACACTGAGAAATATTTTTCCCAATATTTCTTGCTTGTTACAGATAATCTTATAACCGTTATTACTTGTATGTCAAGTAAAGAAAGAATTATCCATTCTTTTTGGTTCGATTTCAGGCCCTAGGAACAGCCGAAATGCTTGCGGATATGGTGTTAGGCAATCCTCAGAAGGTTGATTCTACGCCGTTTGCTGTTCATGGTCGATTTTGATGATAAAACCATACAGAAGAGGAACTCCTGGTGGCTGCCATCGGAAAAGCCTATTTGAACATTTCATACCTCAAGGTTACAAAGATTGTGGTTGCCTCAATGAGAAGAGAGGAACAGTCATAGTGGACATGAAAATCCATCTTCCTTCTTGTTATTATTCTTTGTGTCAACTTGTCTCGATTACGATCAAATCAAACAATGCATTTTCTAAACGTTGCTTAGTTAATTGGCCTCTAAATGTTGCTATCAAGTAGCATTGATGCAAGATTAACATGGACTGTGGTGTGATTTTGTTGTTTATGATTATCACAAGGTGTTTTTGTTTGAATCTCAAGTCAGAGTTTTGGTTGACCCTTTGTTCAATCCAAACTTTTATAACAAAACGATATTATAAATTATAAAGAGGAGAATTCGAACTCGGATATAAGCACTGATTAAGTGCCCTAACTCACTTCCGCAACAGTGCCGTTGATCAAGTGCCCTAACTCACGTCCCTATTCCAAACACATTTTGAGTCCTTTTTAAATGGCAGTTTTCTGTTGACTTTCTAGAAAAGGACCAATTCACTTTTCCAATGAAACGACGAGTCGTCTGGCGGGAATACTCTGCTTCCCTTCATAGACAACATTTCAATCTCTCACTCGCAGTAACAATTCACAGTTGTTCCCCCGTACCATAATACCAGGAGAAAGTCAGGAAAGTTTCAATGGCTTCAGCTTCGACCTTTCTCTCACACCCAAACCATCACGCAAACGACGTCGTCTCCTCTGCAATATGCCAGTTCAAGTCATGCAGCTTCGCCTCCCAGTCAACCTTGTTTTGCTCCAAATTCGCATCCAAATCGCTGTCCTTGCACACCGCCCCAACCCGACCTGGCCGACCCGAACCCGCCTGCGCTTCCGATTCGGAACCGATATCTGCATCCCATTCCCATCAAACATTTGATGTTCTGATAATCGGAGCTGGAATAATCGGGTTGACCATAGCCCGGCAGTTCCTAATTGGGTCGGACCTGTCCGTCGCCGTAATTGACAAGTCTGTCCCTTGCTCCGGTGCCACCGGTGCTGGTAATTAATTCCTCCTTATTGAGTGTTTGGTAGGCGGGAAAATTCAATTAACTTAAAGTGCAGGAAAAAGCACTCACCTGGAAAATGCTGGGTCAAAGCAAATCTGATGAAAATGTTGACCCTTTTTCAGGCCAAGGCTATATATGGATGACACACAAAACACCTGTCAGTGACCTTTGGGACTTCGGACTCAGAAGCCAGAGACTCTGGGAGGACTTGGCTGAGAGTTTGAGTGAGCAAGGCTTGGACCCTCTGCAACTATTGGGTTGGAAGAAAACAGGTATTTTCAACACTGCCTAAAATTTATTGAAAATTTTCAATTTTGATTCTTTTTATGTTTTATGTTAATTTTTAGTAGCAAATTCGGTGATTCTAGCATTATTGTTTTTGAAGTGTTACTCTGATTTTGTAGGGAGCTTGCTTGTTGGTAGAACCCCTGAGGAGTCAGACATGTTAAAAGGGAGGGTAAAGCTGCTATGTGAAGCTGGGTTAAGAGCAGAGTACTTGTCTGCCATTGACTTGCTTGTAAAGGAACCCGAACTGATGGTTGATAAAGATACTGGAGCTGCCTTTCTGCCTGATGATTGCCAATTGGATGCTCGTCGTGCAGTTGAATTCCTTGAAAAGGTTCTTTTTTCTCGTTTAAGAAAAAAAAAACTATTTAGCTTTATGTTTGTTGTTCTTGCTAGGGTCACCAAGTTTTTCATCAAATGATGCGTCGGTGTTTCATTTGTTCAAAAATGAGCCTGATCCTTATTCATTTCTAGCAAGTTACTTTGCATGACACTGTGAACAAATTTAGTGACCCTATCATAATTGGTGTATTAATGATATTGAACTTTTTTAGTGTAGGGTAACAGGCATTATTCATCAAAGGGTAGATATGCCGAGTTTTATAATGATCGGGTGATAAGTTTGTTGAGGTTTGCTATCATACTCTTTTGGGTGCGCTGGATGTTTCACTGAGAGACCAAAGGACAGGAATGCAGAATTTTAGAGGTGGGCTAGATTGTTAAGCTAATACTCTTATAATCTTCATGTTCTCAGATCTGGTGGCAGTGGGGAGGTTGAGGCTATTAAGACTTCTAGGAATATCTTGCACACTAAGAAGGCCATTGTAGTTGCAGCTGGTTGTTGGAGTGGCTCTTTGATGTGTGACCTGCTTAGAGAATCAGAAGTTGTACTGGACGTCCCTGTGAAACCACGAAAGGTTTAAATCTACATTTTGAACGACTTCTCTTGCATTTCTTAAACTGATGCATTACTTTCACTGATTTTTGCTTTGATTAACTGAAGTAGAGTTATCATATGATTCATGTTTTATGCTATCCAACCTTCTGAAAAAGGTGGTTTAATTTCTCTAGCTTTTGTGTTAAGACCCACCTAATATTTGATCTACATGACAGGGTCACCTTCTAGTGCTTGAGAATTTTAATTCCTTTCAACTCAATCATGGCCTGATGGAGGTGGGATATGTTGATCATCAAACTGCAATTCCACTTCCAAACATATCAACTTCTGGATTGCTCGATCATGATGGACAAACCTTGTCTGTTTCAATGACAGCCACTATGGACACAGCGGGGAACATTGTTCTTGGTAAAGCGTAGATGACTGTTTCTTTTCTTGACAAGACTTGAAATTTTGTATTATAACTTGCAGTTAGCTATGAGTCTAAAGATCTCAGGCTTATTCTGGATCGTGGTTCAACACTAAGTAACTAATAAATGTATCTAAAGTGACCTGGAAATGTTTCCTAACCAAACTTACAGTACTAATTTTTTGAGATCTCTCTCTTCTGAATTATGCATGATCATTTTGTCCCCCCCCTCTTCTTCTTCTCTCTCTCTCTCTCTAGGGAGCAGCCGCCAATTTGCTGGGTTCTGCACGGAATTGGAAGAATCCATCATTAGTTGTATATGGGACCGAGCTGGGGAATTCTTTCCCAAATTAAGAGAAAAGTCCCTTTCAGATTTCAGTAAGAGCAGAGAAGTGAGAGTAGGATTACGACCTTACAGTAAGTTTTGATATCTTTCAGAACCTAATGGAAGTGAACAACATCTGGGTCATCGTATTCTAAGGATTTCAAATGCATGCTAGTACTAAAAAGTCTAGTAATTTCTTGTGAAATTGATGAATGACATAATCTGTACCCTCTCAGTGCCTGATGGGAAGCCAGTGATTGGACCTGTGCCAGGTTTGGCAAACGTGTTCCTTGCAACTGGGCATGAAGGGGGAGGACTTTCTATGGTAGTACTCATACATTGTTACTCTTCTGATTATATAGAGATTTTCCCCAAGTTCTTGCTTCTTACAAAATTTGTGCATGCTATTGCTGGGCTAAACTTCAGTGGACAGTGAATAATAAATTGTTAATAGTTACTTGTATGTCAAGTATAGGAAGAATCAACCATGATTTTGGTCCAATTTCAGGCTCTAGGGACTGCTGAAATGCTTGCGGATATGGTGATAGGCAATCCTGAGAAGGTTAATTCTGCACCGTTTGCTGTTCATGGCCGATGTTGATGATAAAACAATCAGTGCTAATCAACATTAATACATCGATTTTATTGATGATTTCATGGGCTATATTAGTCATAAATTCACAATGTACCCCTGGGCACTCCAGAAAGCCTAAGGTCGAAGGTCATGCCTCTGAGCACCTTGGTTTCTTACAGTGTTGGTATGAATTGTATTGTTCCTGCATATGAGTTGTATTTTTCTGTACTCCATATGTTGTTGCTTCCATTATCTTTAATCATGTATTCTTGTTTTGCCTTATCTAGCCATATATGCAAATTGCAATTGAGAAATGCCTGAAACATATTTACAGGCTCTCATCCTATTTAAAATACATTTAAATACATTTATGTCATGCCTCCCATGCTTGTAAAGTTGCATATCTTTTGCACTGCTTTAAATATGTCAAATGGATATGCTGTTAGGAATCCCCTTCCCTGTGATGCCCCCTCTGGATTCAACATTGGATGTATCAGGGTACAAAAGCATGTACGGAATCTCAGCACGGCCCCTTCTGTTGTTAAGCTCGGGATTGGTATTCTTTTCCTTAATTATTTTCTCTATATTTCGAAGTTCTTGATTGAACTTTTCAAACTTATGGCTAACCTCTTCATTATTTATCCACAACGACGATGGCCTCTGACCCAAGTACACTTCATCCGAAGTGTGTCTTGAGACGGCCTCTGCTAGTGCTATACCCAAGGTCATCTCAACTCTTGTAGGCAACATGTTAAGGTAGTATGTGTCCGGATCCTTCAGGAAATCCGCATATTCAAATGTTCCTTCCTCAGGAATGAACCTTCGGCACAGTGTGGGACGATTTAGGGGATAGCCAGCATATGCATATTGCCCAAAGTTTACTGAAGCATGAAGGGCTGATGCAATCCATATAAGAATTGTCAAAGCTTTGATTAGGTCCTCTCGTGATGTCATGTGGTACCACCATGTTTCACTGCTCTTATCACCATGACCCACATTTCGGATTTCCGACCACCATGCTTGGATTTCTTCATCAGATCTTACAGACTCGTCGTCTGTGTAGAAGAGCATGCAAAAATCTGTAACCCATGCCTGGATGGCGCTCCATATCTCAAGTCCATCTGAGCCATACGGATAGTCCTGGAAGAGGAGCTGAACCCCTGTGGGGTTATCTGGATCTGGGTCTTCTATGGCCATACCTCTGACAAGTGTTTTCACAAAGGAATGAATTCAGAATATGAGAATTTGGTAAAAGTCCCTGTTGTGGTTTTTCCCAATTATGCCCCATTTCTGTTGTAAAACATCTAGAGAACTAATAATATTGCTCAGTGAAAATAAAATATTGGGTTATGATGGAATATAAAATACCTTTTAAGTAGATCAGCAGGAAGGGCTTGTTCATCAAATCTCCACTCTTTGTAGAGCTCAGCAGATAACTCCATGGAGAGTTCAGCAGAAAACAATGTCTTCTCCAGGATTCCTCCAGAGTTAATGAGCATACTACGAGCCAGCGCGTTTACGTGCATGGTGTCCTTGAAATGAGGATCTAGTAGCCAATGGATTGGGTGCATCCCACTTAGCTGCCTTCTAGTAGCAATGATGAACGGCTCAACCACCGCATGTGTATGCAACCTAAAAAATGCATTGCAAGGCAAGTGTTGTGGTAGTAGGAAATGCAATGAACAATGATAACTTGCATTGTTTTGGGTTCATCAAACTGTTCAACTCACCAATGGCTGACTAGTTGATGATAAACAGTGTCATTAACTGCAACATGAGCCTTGGCATAGTGCCACAGTGCCGCTGCTTCGCCCTGTCTTGCTGGAGTAAATACCCAACTGATCTCTTGGCCTCCCGCAAATCCCGGAAAACTAAGTTCTATTGCTATTGGCTTTAGTGTGGCATCACTCTTCAAGAACAGTAGTGTACGTGACGCATAAGTGCATACATCCTTTGTGTTGATTTTTCTTAAGAAGGGTATGAGATAGTCATGGTGATCTAAGATGAATATCCTCCAATTATTCATTGCCTGTGAAATTTATTGCCAATCAAAATGGATGAAAAGTTTTTCCAAGAAATACAATGTCGTTGGGAGGCAGGATGATCATAGAGTATCACCAGCTGGTGCATTGCTATTTTTCTTTTACCTGAGCAATAGTCATCCCTTCAAGGTTGTGCTCTATGTGTGATGGCTCTATCGAACTCACTACTCCATTTTTGCTTTGTGGTGGAAATACCTGCAATTAACTCAAGGTATAACTACGATCTTAAGATAGTTACAGCAGTTTTGTTGTTAATCACTTTGGGATACACTACAGAGTGATAACAATGCCCTAACTGCCCTGCGCCTGCTCAGGCATCCAGCTCAAAACGGTAGGACATACCTGCAAGGATTGTATTCGTGCTGGATTAATTCCTGCAAGCATTTGGCGCCCAAACTCTTCATCATCCTTCCATGCAAATTCATTTTCTGGAAAGTGGAAAACAATAATGTAAAAGAGAAATAAAGCGCTATCCATCATGTATGCTGCAGAAGTCTAATAGTCAACTCTGTCACCTGCTATCATTTGAGGAACTGGAAATTTCAATGGGGTTTTGATTGCATGAGTAATATCTTTGAAGAGCTCATTTGGTACCATAGCTTTCAGCTTCTCTTCGAGTGACCCCTCAATTACTTGATTTTGGTTGTCAGAAAACATGTCATGTATCTCATCAAATGACTCAAAATGATTGGAATCCTTTTGCATCACAGCTTTTACCTCATGGATCAGGAACTGTAGAGCAGCCTGGATTGAATTTGATGTGAACTCGGATTGTTTCTTGGGGCTGAACCTCTCATCCAGAGGAACATATATGTCCAGGTTAGTGGTACATGGCCGGCTCTCGGTTAAAGGATCTAGCATTGATCATGTTGGGAAAGCCAGGTAAGTGTAGAACTTGTAAATTGTATTGGAAAGGAAAAACTATTCACCAGGGTGCCAGTACAATTTGTTGTCACAGCAGAAATGAAATGAGAAAAATGAGAAGTTGTATATACCTGCATTGCTAGGAGGGCGGCCTGTTCTTCCTCTGCGAGGATATGGATGCAATTCAGACCCACCCAAGACAGGTCTCTCATGTTCTGGACCTTTATCAGGATTCCCAAGATCATTGTAGTAGTCGTAGTCGTAAATTCGATCCCATTCTTTCCTCTCCCCACTTCCATCTCCTCTCAAGCTAATAAGCTCTTTATTCCTCAGTTTCATTAGACCTTGGGGTGTTTGATTTGGAAGATATTTCTATGACAACATGAGCAGCTGAGTTGCTTAATTGCATTTGCAAATACTTGTATAAAATAAATCAGGCAAATTCACTATGCAACTTACAGTATTTGAGAAGAAGATTCGATCAAACTTTTTGGTCTTCTGGGATGGGTAGACCCAGGAGTAGCAGTCAAATTGGATAATCTGATTGCTGTGAGTTTCAAATGATGCAGATTGGAGGAAGAATCTATGCTTCCCTTGGTTTCTTATAACGAAAGCTCCTGGAATTCCAAAGCTCGACTCAACATAAAACTTGACATGATATGTTCTGGTTTTTTCACCATTACTTGTTTTGGTCTTTCCATGTTTGAGGTTTGTTTGGCTGCTCATTTTGCCTTTGCCAGTTTCTGTTGGATACAATATCAAACAAAAAACAAGATTTGGGTTTGATACTTGCTCAAATCTCATTAATTTCATTAATTATTCTTGAAATGTTCGAACTTACTTGGATCGACTTCTGCGCAACTATATAATCGAAGAGAAGCTGATTTTCCAGACCCTGGCTGTTTATGACCCTGTACAATGACAATTTCACCATTGATAGTTGATTGCCTGCTCTGTGCTCTGTGTTGCTGCTGATGTTGCATTTTGACTGCCTGTGCATGGAAAAAAGTGACTTCTCAAATCAAATCTGGAGACTTTCTGCTGACTAACAAGGAAGGGTTTCATTAATACAATTGGAACAATTAACTTGTTGATATAGTTTTAATGTGAAAGGGAAAGACTTATGCTTTGCCTTGATTCTTAGCCAATGCATCTGATTCATTGCTTCCACAGAGGTTCTCTTACTTGCTTTTTCAAGTTGAGTTCCACGTGAAACTAGGTGATTCTGTCCCTGTTTCTTATACAATGCATGAGCTATAGAAAATTCATGCTTTCACTCAGTAATGATACTCCATCAAAATCTAAATTAACTCAAAAACATTTTGTTTAAAGAGTTCCAATACACTGTCTAGTCTATTAATTTTCTCTTTTTCTTCCAAACAACTATATTAATGTTGAATTTAGACAATTGTTACTATTTAGTGGGTAAATCATCGATTTTGGATTGGTTACTCGTAACTTCAACGGTAAAACACTTATCTTGCATTTGCTATAAAAATTCCAACTCTTGTTGTTTCTTCCTGAATTAAACAAGAAAAAGGTCCACTGGATTACATAAAAAGCAGTCATTTCTAATTTTTCTTTTAAAAAAAAATCTTTGGTATTAGGAATTAAAACATGCTTAATTTTTCTGTTTTTCTATTTTGTTGTTGGAGTTTCTATTTTTCCTTTTTTAAGTTTTTACAATAAGGCATTTTTCTTTCCAACCAAACAGGTCATCACAGTCGACAGCCAAAAGCGTCCCCAAACCTGAAACAAGCAAAATGGCGATGGCGAGCCTTCAGAGACTTCGCCACTCCCAAATCCACCACCGCCTGCCTTCTCTCTCCTTCATCTCCAGATCCTCCGCCTCCTCTGCATCCCCATCCCCATCCTCGCCCACCCACTCGGCCAAAGTCTCCGATCGAATTGTGAAGCTCTTCGCGATCGACGTCGACGGGCGCAAGCGCGAGGTGGTGGGCCTATCGGGCCACACTCTGCTCCGGGCCCTAGCCCAAGGCGGCCTGATCGACCCGGCCTCCCACCGGCTCGAGGATATCGACGCCTGCTCGGCCGAATGCGAGGTCAATATCGCGCAGGAATGGTTCGAAAAGCTCCCGCCACGGTCCTACGACGAAGAGTACGTGCTCAAGAGGAACTCTAGGGCTAGGGTTCTCAACAAGCACTCCAGGCTCGGATGCCAGGTCGTCCTCACTCCTGAGCTTCAAGGTATGGTCGTCGCTGTTCCCGAGCCCAAACCCTGGGACATCCCATAAGATTAGGGTCTTGAAAG